TGCTGGCTCATTAGCCTGGAGGTTGGATATTTGATCCCTGCATTGTTCCCCCCTTGTCAGTGATGCAAGACGGAGGGCCTGACAAGGACAGCTGTCTAGTCGTTTGGATGGGATAAAAAAAAACTAAGGTCCCATGTATATATACATTGGTGTCAACGTAAAAGATATCTTGACAGTTGGAATTCGATATAAGAGTAGGCCGTATTTCCCTCATAGGTGTATGCGGGTCTTCATTAGCCCAGTGGGACGTTCAACCCCATTCCATTTCATTTCATGGCCTCCAGAAATTGACTGTAAAATATGACAGTTCCCTGGCGAATATCTCCGAATTAACATGAATATTATTTGCCATTTCCATGATTTGATGAGTAGATAAATATGATTTAAATACATATATGCTATGTCATTTTTCAGTATTAGTCATTACCTAAAGATAGGATGCATCTCCATGTGGTTAATACACACAAATAATATAGGCCTACTATATTACTACAGATCGTCTTCATCTTGATGATAGCGGCTACATGGAATATTTCTACAAGATTAGGCCCTATATACAATCCAGATCCTCAATTCTGTATCAAATTAAACCTAATAATAGTCTATTTTTCTTGCTGTCAGGCGACATTTTCATGTATCTGACCTACATAACCGTCGTAACACAGGTATTCAGGACCAGTAAACAAGACTATCCATATGTATGGTGGCCCATAGGTACAATGGTGATTTTTGGTTTTGAATAGTTTTTCTGATTTCATCTTAAAATCCATTTAATAAATGAAGTAAAATTAGAACAGAGTTGTAATAAAAATGATATCTAAAATGAAATGTAAACGAAATGTGAAATAAAATGAAATGTATAAAAAGGAAAACATCAGTGGAAAATCCACCATTACACGCATGGGCTACCATACAGGTGTGACAAAACAAGGTTATCCAGACCTTTCTCAATCAGTGGATTTCGCAAGGTCCGGTGTACGTGCAAATAAACTTCCATGGTTTTGAGACTAACGTGTAATTATTTATGTTTCTATGGTTACGTGTACAGTGCGAGCAAATGTATCAAGACTTAAATAAAATAAAATAACGATCCAGCCAAATTGCTAAATATAATTTGGTTGGAGTATGCCCGTCTTCATTAGCCCAGTATAGGAGCAGAACAGTAGGACGTTAAACCCCATTTCATTTCATTTCATTTCATTTTGTGCTAGTTAAAAAAAAAAAAAAAAAAAAATGAAATAGTGTTTGACGTCCTACTTTTCTGAATCAACCGGGCTAATGAAGACGGGTATATGCCATGTAGTGTGTTATAAGTAATTGGATTCTGTACGGGTAGTGGTATTTCTGCCTGTTCTCCATTGAATTCCAAACCCATATGCCAACGAGTACATATGGGTGAAGTTCATCCGTTGAACCCCCTTTTTTCTTCCCATCCGAAAGACTAGACGATTTTTACTTGTTAGACCCGGAAATAGAACAGTCTTTGGACTATTTGGGTTTGTGTATATCTGACGTTACCTTATTCATAATTAGATTTAATTCATTTAATTATTTGCTTCATTTTTAAAATTCTATTTTATTGTTCTTCTTTCTTTAATGTTATTTTAAATATTATATAGATATTACACGCTCACCTTCATTTCATTTCTTGGTGGTCAAAGGCGTGTGAGCTCAATGAGCTAAAGAGGGGAAAGGGTTGGGGGCAGAAATAAAATTCCCCATTTTTTTTAATTTTTTTTATATTTTTTATATAGAAATTTAGACGCCGCAAACGCGTTTTCATGCAGACCTTTCCACCCGTGGGTACAGCAACTAGAGCGATATCCAATATTATTCTTTTGGGATTTTCAAGCGAAATCCCACTCTGTGCCCATGCACCTGAATCCCATTCTACAGCAACTCGAAAGTGGCCCCATATATCCGTGCTTGGTGTGGCTTTGCAACCGAAATCCCACTCAACCGAAATATGGCCGTTTGCCATTGATGAGAATCAAGACAGTGATTTAATATAGCCTTAACTATATGACTTTGCAACCGAAATCCCATTCTGTGCACACCTGAATTTCAGATTTTTCTCAGAGCTTCGGTCGGCGAATCTGGTCGTCCGCGAGCGGCATGCACTGCTACCGTCTTCCAGTTTAGCTTTATTTATACGTTTTTACTTCCCGAAATCCTTCTCTATGCCCACCTGAATTCCAATGAATCAATCTATGAGACTGTTACAGTTGCATTTACCGGACACCAGAATTTTTACTTCCCGAAAAAACTAATAATGAGGATGCACGAAAAAAAAAAAAGAAGGAATTCGCACATGACAGCTAGAGTACTACTTTTGAGTGGCGCTATAATATATTGGCACTGTTTATTACATCGATTTTAGATATTTTAACACTGATGAAACAATTAAAATGAAGACCGATGCCCGATAACTGCCGTACCTGACAGCATGGCCCCAGACCAAAAGAAAAGCCCCCCCCCCCATCTTTCCACAAATAATATATTATAGAATTTATTTTCATTTCATCCGTCTCCTCCCTCCCGAAAATTCTAATAGCCCGAATATTGGGAGGGGGTCACCAATAACCCTACACCTCTGTCTCGATACAGCTATTGGTGGCTCCTTGCAGGGTAAAGGGACAACATATAGCAATCAACTTCGAGATGCTGTAAATGAATGGCATATTTTTACATTTCTTTCATGTAGGTCTACTGATGAGAGTAACATGTCACGTTAAGGGAGCTGAGTCTCTAACTCAGTATTTTCCATAATATTCGAAATTAAAAACACGAATTAGAAGTCAATATTGATCAATTTCAATCAATATTGATCAATTTCAATCAATATTGATCGATTTCAATTTGAGACACTATTACTTTTAACATTTTATAATCAGTAGGCGAATCGTGTACCCATGGTTTCGGGGGCCATTTTGTAATGAACAAATAAAAATACATCCTACAACACAACGTGGAAGTAATTAGTAAAGGCTGATTCACAAACGACAAAATAATAATTTAAAAAACGTGCAGAATGCACATGGCAGGCGTTATTAAACGACTGCTGTTCAATTTGAACTGTTCACGTGATTCAAAGAACATAACTGATTATAAATTACAATATATTTTTCAAAAATTGAATATAAATCATCTTACATAAATTCATATTACATTAATATGTGCTTTTGGAACCATTTTATGTCTATTTCAAGGTTCCAAAAAATAGAATCATGCGCCCTCTAAGTACTGTACAAAGAGCCTTATGCTATAGAATTTCGTTTCGTATTATAATCACTTCATTTCATAATTTTAAATTTCCGATCATTTTGAGAAGGGACGCAACTCTCATTGCTGGGTGTAAAAAAAAAAACAAAAACACCAAAGCAATAGGCCTATTACCGTCCATTGATTATTGTTGCAATTATTGAGAATTGAACTAAATTGGTAAGTGTCAAGTATCATGATCACTGTATTGCCGTAAAATTTTCGACTAAGCTTTAAAAATGATAATAAATATTAAAAGGCAAGAGTAGATCTACTTAATTTGTCGATTTGACGTTTTTGAAGATTTGAATGAAGGAAGTCAATTGGTTGGTCACTTGGTGACACTGACAATCACTTGAAAGGTGAATTGGTAATCGATATCAACAATTACAAAAAAAAACCCAGTATTGCCAGTACCGTGTTTTTATAATTATTATGATAATGCCTGAATGCGTACTGGCGCTATTGCACTTTCGTACACCTAGTAGTAGTAGTAGTACTTGCCGTGGTCCTAGAGACTTCAGTTCAAATTTGCTGAGGGTGTTCCAGGGTGTTATATATGATCTCACACCACATTAGCGCCTGCGTACTGAGGTAGAATAAATAGTGATTCTGTAGGGCGGTAGCACGATTTGGGTGGATTTGGGCAATATAATTGTCAAATCCCAGTGACACAAAAATAGTCAATGTGTTATTAAATGTTAGAACTGCTGTCCTCAACGGATAACCCCACCCCCAGGATTAATTTGGTTGGTCAAAACCCCATGACATTGTAAGAGAAAGTTATGGACAAAACTTGCTGAAAATAATTTGATATCTAGAATAGGCCTAGGCCTACCTTTACTTTACTCAGATTATGACATGTACAGAGCAAACTTTCACATAAAGCAAAATGTAGCTCAAACTATGCACTATTTGAAAAAAATCTTAAAACTTAACTGGAGTGTGTTTGGTTTACCCCGGTTGTACGTGGCAAAGAGTAGGGTCGCCTGTCCAACCTCGTGGGTTTTCTCCGGGTCCTCTTGTTTCCTAACACTACTAAAGATCCCCACGCGCAGTTGATTTATATTGAAATAAAATTGAACCATGTGTTAGTCCCGAAATGACCTAGTTTGTGTTTGGTTTATAAATACTTTACATTAAAATAATATTATTATTTTGTTTCTTACAGGGATTTTATTTGAATAAAATGGAAACCTACCCTCCCTTTAAATCAACATTATCTGCTGAACTACTTGAAAAAGCAAAAAATGAACTTAATGAAGATCCAGAAACACGAAATGTAGAAATAAATACTTTAAGGACAAGAATACAGTCTTGCCCGGGTTAGTATCTTTTCGATAAGCCAACAAAATATTAGTAAATTGTGCTTTATGAAATCAGTCATTACATGTTAAAGTAGCTAAGTCTCTAAGTCAGTATCATCCACAGTCTTCGACATTGAAAACACAAATTATTTGTCAATTTAAATCAACATTGATGTTGTGATCTTACCGGGAAAAGATTGGTTTCTGATATCCAATATTTAAGACAAAATAAACATTTTACCATTGGTAATGCATTTCAGCGCCATTTGTATCAAGGGACCTCAAGAAAGAGGCTAGACATATTCCACAAGTCATGTCAAACGGTGACGCCACATTCTTATCTGGAGAGCATGCACAGTAAATGCTATCAGTGTAGACTGGAATAACCAGCTGCTAGAGATTGCCATTTGATTGAGACTTCTGGCATATTTCGCCGAACATAACTGATTTGAAATTAGAGTAAAAACGGAAACGATTGAATGTAAATCAGTTTATATACATTCATATTACATTATTATATGCATTGTGACCCATTTGTGTCAATTTCTAAGGTCCCAAATATTAGCGATTTAGCTCCTTTAAAGATATATACCACTGACAGGGGTAACAGAGCTGGAAAATCCTGAGGAAACAAAATGAAATGTGGTTTAACGTCCTACTGTTCTGCTCGAACTGGTCTAAAGAAGACAGGCATTTTTCATACAGTGTGCTATCAGGGAAATGTTGTCCGGACATCTGTGCTATGGCCTACTCTTATATCAAATTCCAACTGTCAAGGGTTCTTTTACGTGCACACCAATGTTTACACGGAACCTTGGTTTTTCGTCCCGTCCAAATGACTATACATTGTCCTTTGCCTGGCCCTCCGTCCTACACTACTGTCTGACAAGGGGGAAACACGCAGGAAAATCCTGATGAATTTTCTCAGCGATTGCAAGGATCGAACACAGAACCTCCTGCTTACCATGGCTCCCAAATCCAGAGGAACTCTCTTGACCAATACTGAGATCTAGTTGGTGACTCAGCTCCATACTCACCGAGCCACTGTGGTTCCCATACAGTTTATAACTTTAATTTGGTGAGAGGGGTTGGATCATAAGGTCTGTCATTGGGTCAACTGGTGTGGTTTTGATTCCCTGGTTGTATGTGACACGGAGTAGGGTTGCCTGTCCAACCTAGTGGGTTTTTCTCCGGGTACTCTGGTTTCCTCCCCCTGCTAAAGACCCATACGCGCAAGTGTATTATTGAAATAAAATTGAACCATGTGTTAGTCCCAAAATGACCTAGTTTGTGTAGAGTAGATGTTAAACCGCCTCTTTCTCTATCTATCTTTTTTGGGAGGGTGAAGGATGAGAAGGCCTGGACTGTCACTACCGATATTTTTGTTATTGTCCCCTGCCTTTTCCATGACTTTTAATTGAGTTGGAATGTTCTAACTTAGTGTAGATATTCATAAGGTGAATGTCTTGACTGAATTCAATGACTAACATTTTCATTAATGCTAAGCAGAGCTAATTCAGAGAGAGTGATGAAACTTAATGTATAGTTACACTACATCAAAACAGTGACTACTTTCGATCACAAATGGGGGGGTTGGATGGCTGAATGGTTAGCGTGCGCGCGCTGTATCATAAAGTCTGTCATTGAGTCGACTGGCGTGGTTTCGAATCCCCGGTTGTACGTGGCAAGGAGTAGGGTCGCCTGTCCAACCTCGTGGGTTTTCTCCGGGTCCTCCGGTTTCCTCCCACTGCTAAAGACCCCTACGCGCAAGCGAATTATGTTAATAAAATTAAAAACCATATGTTAGTCCCGAAATGACCTAGTTTGTGTCGAGTGGACGTTAAACCCCATTTCTCTCTCTCTCTCTCTCTCGATCACAAATGTTTTCTGCTTGGACTAAATATAGATGCTTTATAAAAAGACAAATGTTCATTTAGTTAATACCTGTCATCAATGTTTAAACAATGTTTCTTTTTTCTTTTTAAGGGTTAAAGTCCAGACTGGATTCAGAATTTCTCGTACGTTTTTTAAGAGCCAAAAAGTTTGACCAGGAGCGAGCCTTCAATTTGGTTAAAAGTTATTATAAAATCAGAAAAGATAACCCTGAAATGTTTAAAGATATGGTGCCATCAGCTGTTGATTGTGTTATAGAATCAAAAGTGACAGGGGTATTAGATCATACTGATAAACAAGGGCGTAAAGTTATGATTGTTAGACCAGGTAAGAGTTTATTATTATACTGTGGACATCATTCAGTTATAATATATAAGGATAACTCATGTTTTCCTTTTGATTTTGTCACTTCTTCTTGAAACCTTCATTAGACATCTATCGTAGCAATGATCTCTGTGATAAATTATATTAGGAATGTGTTTAACCAGTTCTATTACATGTGTGATAATGGCTGACACCAATATTGTCCTTTAATCATAAATTATTGTTTTTTTATTTATAAAACTGTAATAGGATATGAGACACTGTTATATGTTTTGCAGTTCACATAGCCTATATTATTATTTGATTTTGGTATTAATCATAAATTATAATAAATGATCTTTGTTTAAAGAGAGAGTGTATAGATCTAGACTTTTAGTGTTTGTTTTGTATAAATTGGAATCTTTCTTTAAATAGTAAGGAGGGTTGGGTGGCCATTTAGTCAAGTGGCATGGTTTTGATTCCCAGCTTGTACGTGAACAAGGAGTAGACAGGGTCACCTGTCCAACCTTATGGGTTTTCTCTGGGTCCTCCAGTTTCCTCCCACTGCTACTCCAGTTTGTGTCGAGTGGAAGTTGCCCCCCCCCCCTATCTCTCTCTCTCTCTCTTTCTCCTTAAATATTAAATGCAGGAGGACCGCACTACACACAAAAAAAACAACCGATAAGACAAACTACACAGACATTACTAGAAATATACAACAAATATCAAATCAAGTGAATGGATCTGGAGGCCAGCTATAAGTGTTTATAGATTTTGATTTTAGTGTTTGTTTATTTTAGTTTTTGGTTATGTTTAATTTTTGTTTATTTTAGGTAAATGGGATCCAAGTCAATGCCCGTTAATGGATATATTTAAATTAAACTATTTAACATTAAGTAAGCTTATTGAGGTAAGTGGTCTATTGTTACACTGTAATCCTGAAATTATTTAAAGGGCCAATCTCGATGATATTTTGGGGAATAAAACTGCTTAATATTGTGTTAAAAGCCCTAAGAATCCTTCTACCTTAAAGCCGAGCAACTAACTCAATATACGTGATACGTTTTCAAACAACTTAAACCTGTCAGTCTTCATTTGGAAATGGAGATCGATGTCCCAAGCAGTATTATACGGTGTCTGGATAATGTGTAGGTGAAATTTACCTTTCGTTATCAAGTACAACATGTGGGTCATGCACTGTATAGACCTCTAAAGGTACGGCAATAGATTATCAGGTCACCAAACAAAAAAATTGACACAAAATCTTAATTTTGAGCTGAAAATTTTAGACAAGCTAAATACACCATTCCTCTATGTTTTGGCACTTAAATTTCATACATACACAGACTTTTATTTCTGAGAATCCGTTACCATGGGGATGGTCCCTTTAATCTTGTGTATTTAGCATTGTGGCCTGTCATTGAGTCAAGTGGCAAGGAGTAGGGTCACCTGTCCAACACCGTGGGTTTTCTCAGGGCTCTTTGGTTTCCTCCCACTGCTAAAGACCCCTGCGTGCAAGTGAATTATTGAAATAAAATTGAACCATATGTTAGTCCCGAAATGACCTAGTTTGAGTCAAGTGGAAGTTTAACAACATTTCTTTCTCAACTTAAATCATTGTTTCCGGACTCAATTTTGGGATAGGTTAGGATGGTCACAAACCACCACCCAAATCTAAATCTCGATCAACTTCGCTCCTTGCAGAGAAATGCTCCAAACTGAGATGGTTTTCAAATCCCCGGTTGTACATGACAAGGAGTAGGGTTGCCTGTCCAGCCTCGTGGGTTTATTTCCCGGTCCTCCTATATTTCCTCCCACTGCTAAAGACCCCTACGTGCAAGCGAATTATTGAAATAAAATTAAACGATATGATGTTAGTCCCGAAATGACCTAGTCTGTATCGAGTGGAGAGTGGACGTTAAACCCCATTTCTCTCCCTCCCCCTCTCTCTCTCTCTCTCTCAGGCGTAGAAATTAACATTTCTTCATGTTTTTGTTTTAGGATGAAGAGACACAAGTAAATGGAGTGATTTTAATGGTTGAATTAGGTGAAATTACTTGGACTCATGCCAAGGCCATTTCACCATTATTTGCCAAGAGATTGTCTGCACTCTTACAGGTTATATTCAAATTTATTACAAAGCATATTCACAATACCAAGTACCTCCATATTACATTCAAGTGTTATTATTCAGAAATACCTATTTAAGTTTGCTTACTATTTCTGTGAACAGTTAGGAGTGGGGTAGGGACTCATGAAGGAGCTTCTATTTATTTAGGCCTCAGGTTATACTCTAAGCATATTCACAGTACCAAATAAGGCCATATTACATTGAAGTTTTAGTTCTTTACAAATATCTATTTAATTTTGTTTCTTATTTGGTGATGAGGGAGAGGTGGCCATTACGTTTCATATTGAACAGAACTCCCTTTTTATCATGAATTAGTATTTCAAACACAGATTTTATCAGCCGTCTTCATTTTATTTAAGATTTTATCAACCTGAGGTTGTGCTGTTGATTGTTAAACTCTGATTGTCCCCAGAGCTGTCAACCCTACCGCATCACACGGTAAAGTGCCGCGAAAAGGCCTCATGTACCGCTCTAGGATACACATGATTAGAATTTTAAGATTATTTCCGTTCGCCAGTTCTCAAAAAGAATCACCAGTACCCCAAAACGTCATCGCCAAAATCAATTTTTTGTGGCCACTTTCATATTTTTATCGCAAATTGTGACTTTGGGTGACTGATTGTCGCCGTTGTGAATTTCATGTGTTAGTGTTAACAGGAGCAGTAATATTGTAAATATTTGCAGCAAATTTTCGCTATGTGTGCCAATCTTTTTTGTGAAAAAATTAATAGGCCTAATATGATTGGTTGATGAACCCTGAATTCCTGTGTGTTATACATTACATTATTGGTGTACAGTCTGCATTTGTGGAATGACTTGCTCAGTTTAAATCTAGACTTAAAAAAACATATGTTTATGATGTATTATTTACAGTAGTCATTGACTTATTACCACACTTGGGAACCACAGTGACCAAGTGGGTAAGATGCTGGCTCTCTAATCTGGAAGTTGCGGGTTCGATCCCTGCATTGGCCGAGAAAGTTCATCAGGATTTTCCGGCGTGGTTTCCCTTGTGCAGGACGGAGGGCCTGACAAGGACAGCTATCTAGTCATTTAGATGGGACGAAAACCGAGGTCCCATGTACAAATTGGTGGGCACGTAAAAGAGCCCTTGGCAGTTGGAAGTCAGTATAAGAGTAGGCCTTAGTGCCGCTGTTCGGGCGAAATTTCCCTCATAGCACAATGCATGGCGTATGCCTGTCTTTATTACCCCAGTCGGCGCAGAACAGTAGGACGTTAAACCCCATTTCATTTCATTTTACCATGCACCTTGGATCGATCAAGCATTCTATAAATGCACATTATTATTATTTTTAAACAAGAACATTTTTTGTAAATATTTGCAACGATTTCTCACTGTGTGTGGATTCATCTTTAAAGGGGCGTTATGGGAGATTAGATGAAGAGCTGGCAGTTCTCACTATAATAGTTAAAAACTAGATGATGTAAAGGGAATATGCTGAAAATTTCAGTTAAATTGATCCACTCTGAATCAAGAATTTAGTGATTGAATATTAAGCCCAGCCTCGATAATCATTACTAAAGTTGGTACGATAAAAAACATAGTATCGATTATCCATTTTTGGATTTAATCATCAATGAGCGTTGAGCAGCAGATCGGATTCAAATCCAATAAATATCGCAGGCTAACAATGGCATTGAGAGTTGATTATGGTCTGGATAAGTTAAAGGAGCTAAATCGCTAATATTTGGGACCTAGAAATTGACCCAAATTGGTCGAAACGCATATAATAATGTAATCTGATTGTATATAAACTGATTTACATTCAATTGTTTCCTTTTTGACTCTTAATTTCAAATCAGTTATGTCCAGCGAAATACAGCATGTGTCTCAACCCTATAGCAATTTCTAGCGTCTGGTTATTCCAGTCCATTAAGCAGGCTCTCCTGTTGAATATGTCTAGCCTTGTTCTTTCTGGTCACTTGTTGCAAATGACGCTAAAACGCACTATGGTACACGATTCGTGTACCAATGGTAAAATGTTTATTTTGTCTTAAATATTGGATATCAGAAGCCTGCCTTTTCCTGGTAAGATCACAACATCAATGTTGATTTGAATTGACAAATAATTCGTATTTTCAACGTGTAAGATTTTGGAGGATATTGAGTTAAAGACTTAGCTACTTTAATGTCTAGTTAATAATTTAGATAACATTTCAGGCTTAAAGAAAGGCCTGCAATAAGCAGATTTGGCTCTTGCATAATGTATTTTTAATGATATGATATGAATTTTTCAGGAAGCCTTTCCTGCTCGTTTTAAATCAATCCACTATATCAATGAACCAAGTTTTTTTGATTATGTTTTTATGATAATAAAACAATTTCTAAAAGAGAAGATTGTCAAACGAGTAAGTCTGATTTTTCAATATTTTTTTTATATAATTAACTTAAAGGCATCTCTCTCTCTCTCTCTCTCTCTCTCGCTCTCTCTCTCTCTCTCTCTTTTTAATTGTTTCTGTGATATTTATTGGACTATTGGTTTGTTTATAGATACATTTCCATGGCGATAGAGTGAAGGAATTACATGAATATATTGATGTACAGTATTTACCAGCAGAGTTTGAGGGACAGGCTCCCGCCTTTGATACCAAGGTAGGATTTAATCAAAAAAAGGGGGCAGTGGTAGGAGGGTTGTCTTTCATTCAGAGAATGAGGGTACCAAAGTAGGATTTAATCCAAAAAAAAGGGGGCAGTGGTTAGAGGGTTGCCTTATGTTCAGAGTATGAGGGAAGAGCTCCTATATTTGATACCAAGGTAGGATTTAATCAAAAAAAAGGACAGTCGTACGAGGGTTGTCTTATTACGTTCAGAGTATGAGGGAAGGGCTACCATCTTTGATACCAAGGTAAGATTTAATCCAAAAAAAGGGGGGCAGTGATTGGAGGGTTGTCTTGTTCAGAGTATGAGGGACACGCTCCCACCTTTGATACCAAGGTAGAGTTTAATCAAAGAAAAGGGTCAGTGATTGGAGGGTTGTCTTACATTCAGAGAATGAGGGTACCAAGGTAGGATTTAATCAAAAAAAGGGGCAGTGGTAGGAGGGTTGTCTTACATTCAGAGTATGAGGGAAGGGATCCCACCTTTGATACAAAGGTAGGATTTAATCAAAAACAGGGGCAGTCATGTGAGGGAAGGGCTCCCATCTTTGATACCAAGGTAGGATTTGATCCAAAAAAAAGACAGTGGTACGAGGGTTGTCTTGCATTCAGAGTATGAGGGAAGGGCTCCAATATTTGATACCAAGGAAGGATTTAATCAAAACAAAGGGGACTGTGGTTGGAGGGCTGTCTTACATTCAGAGTATGAGGGAAAGGCTCCTATATTTGATACCATGGTCAATCTAATTAAAATATAGATCTATATTTCGTTTCGTTTTTTATACTTTCGATGGCCTACACTACATGTAGATCTAACAAGTTATAGTGGGAGTTCACGTTCTATGATGTCAGGTACCAAGCAAGCGACATTTGACCCGATTACGTCAGTCATTCGATTAACCAATTAGCGACCGCCATGTATTTTTTATCTACTTTTGCTTTGTTTTGATTTCTATTGCCGTTAATGTCTACCCACAGTTCCGCGCAAAAAAGGTCAAACGCTCGATTCGACAGACCATTTGATTGGCTGACCCCTCATTTCAAGCAGAACACAAGTTAAATAACAACGCTTCCAGATCCAAGTGTAGTAAAGACAAGTAAAATCGAAATTTTGAACTATAAAAACGAAACGAAATAGGATCTGTGTTTTAATCTGATTGTACCAAGGTAGGATTTAAACAAAAAAAGGGCAGTGGTAGTAGGTTGTCTTAAGTTCAGAGTATGAGGGAATGGATCCCACCTTTGATACCAAGGTAGGATTTAATCAAAAAGGGCAGTGGTAGTAGGTTGTCTTAAGTTCACAGTATGAGGGAATGGATCCCATCTTTGATACCAAGGTAGGATTTAATCAAAAAGGGCAGTGGTAGTAGGTTGTCTTAAGTTCAGAGTATGAGGGAATGGATCCCACCTTTGATACCAAGGTAGGATTTAATCAAAAAGGGCAGTGGAAGGAGGGTTGTCTTACGTTCAGAGTATGAGTGTAGGATTTTATCAAAAAAAAAGGACAGTAGTATGAGGGAAGGGCTCTTATATTTGATACCAAGGTAGGAGGATTTTAACCCCCAAAAAGGAGGCAGTTGTTGGAGAGTTGTCTTACATTCAGAGTATGAGGGTAGGGTTTAATCAAAGTGACGATTTGTTTGGGGTTAGTGATACATTCAGAGTATGAGAGATCCCCCCCAGTTGATACAATAGTAGGATTTAATCATTAAAATAAGGGCAAGGATAGGAGGGTTGTTTGACATTCAGATTATGAGGGATAGCCTTTATCTTTATGAGGTTTTTTTTTATTTATGTCAACAGAAATGGACAGATCACTTGAAGACATTTGAAGATGAATTCAGGGATGATCTTAAATATGGTTTCTATGACGTTCAGGCTGTTACCACAGAAACGAAAAACCAAGATGCCATGGCTAATAGTGTGACAGGATCATTTCGTAAATTGGATGTAAATTAGCTGATTACCTCATTCCAAGCTTCCCTTGATTATACTGAACTTTTTAAGTTTTCACAATTTAGGCCTTAGGGACTGTCACAAAATTTCAAAACTTGCTTCCAAGCGTATAACCCAGAGATCTGTTCACAGGTTATACATTTGGACTCAAGTTTTGAAATTTTGAGAAGGTCCCTAATTTAGAGATTTGGAACAAGTAGAATTTTTGGTGAACATCACATTTAAACCATGTTAAGGCAATACAAAAAACAATATTCTGATAATCAGTGCGGATAATTTATTAAGGCCGAACAAAAGAGTATTCTGGTCATCAGTTAATATATAGATTTTGTTTTTTTAAATTAAAAATAAATGATGTAGCTGAAAACCAAAATATTTTTTTTATGGCCTAACAAAAATTATATTTTGATATCTGCTGAAATTACTGTTCACTTTGAAAACTTAATGGATTTTATTAATCAAGTGGAATCAACATTTCATAAGATCAAAGTAATTTTGTGATAAGGCCAATCTAAAAAAAATAATGTGTTTACGGTAACTTAACCGACCCTATTTTAAACAGGAACCTAATTGACACCTTTTTTTTCTTATATCTAACAACGAAAAACTAACAATTTAAGCATATCAAATGTTGGTCAATTTGGGTTTTACAAAAGACGGGTTTTCAGAAATTTGTTCTAAAGATGTGCTGTATGTGATTATGAAAATCAAACCACATGGACTGAAGTACCGGTAACCCGAAATCCTTTTTATTAAAATCACGACTCCAATCAGCTGAGTCTGCCTTTTACTTTCATCGAGACTTGTAATATTATATTCATTGGATATTTCATCATTCTCGATATCTCCAGTGGTATTGTTCTGTTACACACTACTAATCCCTGGGTCCATCAAAGGGGGAGACACATAGTTGAATTATCCACCCTTGATACTTCTGCTAGTTTTATTGACCAATCAATTGGGTGAAGGGAAGTAACTCGTGAATTAAAATTATCCACCCTTGATACTTCTGCTATTTTTATCGAGCAGTCGATTAGGTGAAGGGAAGTAACTCCCATTTTATTGCAACTAAGCATGTGGTGAACATAAACTATGATGTTAAAACACGTATGTAAACTGTTTTTTGATTGGTTCATAGAATCAAGCTACGATCAAGGGCAGATAATTAAATTCATGAAAACCCTGTGGATGGATCCAGAAGTTAGTGGAGTAATACGGAACGATACCACTGGCGATAGCAAGAATGATATCTCATTAGATTGGAGTTAGGTACTTGCTGAAATTAACTTAAAGGAAAAAATTTGAATGACTCTCGGGTCAGTTCCACCCTCAATATAGGTCCAAATCTGATCTGAAAAATGTATCTCAAAAGCATTATTACACAATTGTCACACAATCTTGTGATGATATATCAGATGTATTGACATAGTAGCTAGAATCATGGCAGACAAACTGACATAGTGGCTAGAAACTTTCCAAATATATTAACATATGAATGTGCAACGTTTGGGCCACAGAGGTTTTCTTTTCCCTGGTAGCTGAAACCTCAGGTATGTGCAATGTTTCGGCCACTGATGTGACAGACACAGACGTCTGTTTAACTCTTAACATCTGTGACCTTTACATTGGTGGCTGAAAACCTTGTGTGTACCATTATTTGGGTAGCTAGGAATATACCATTAACCTAATAAGAAAAACTGCTACTGTTCCTCAGGGTTTAGTTTCAATAAGATGTTTTATTATGAAATCCTTTTAGAAATCCTAAATTTTATCGTGTTTATAATTTGTGCAAATCATGACATTGTCTATAGACATAAAAATCATGACATTGTCTATAGACATAAAAATCATGACTTTGTCTATAGACATAAATATCATGACATTGCAGACTACAGACATAAAAAATTCATGACATTGTCTAAAGACATAAATAAAAAAAAATCATGACATTGTCTAAAGATATAAATGAAAAAATCATGACATTGTCTGTAGATATAAAATAATTATATTGCCTATAGACATTAAAAAATCACAATATTTTCATTAGACATAAAATATCACGATATTTATCTAAAGACATAAACAAATCATGATATTGTATATAGTGTATTATCAAAGATAATCAAGTGTTTAATTGTTGAAAGTAGTAATAAGAGATATAAGCTATGTAATACTAGTAAATATCATCCAGTGGTGGATTACAGGGTTTGCTGACAGGACACCCCAAAATTAGTTTCAGGACACCCCAAAATTAGTTTCCATATGTTGACATGTATAGTTGTTTCTTAAATTCTTCTTAAAGAGGCATTATATAAGAGCTAAATATTTTTGAACTATTATCACAAGAACAGCCTAGCCCCGAGTTCACAAAGCATTCTCAGACTTAAGTTAAGAGATTACTCAAAATTGTTCGCCATATTTTAATTAAAATATTGACCTTTATAAAACTATTGTTGTTTTAATGTATCAAATACATCACTAAGAAACCATGCTTCCGGTTTCCTCCCACTGCTAAAGACCCCTATGCACAAGCGAATTATCGAAATAAAAATTGAACCATATGTTAGTCCCAAAATGACCTAGTTTGTGTCGAGTGGCTGTTAAACCCTATTTCTCTCTCTCTCTCTCTCTCTCTCTCTCTGAGATTTGTGAACTGGGGACCAGCTCTTTATATAAATTTTACATAATGCTTCTTTACTACTAATACATTTATGGCTTATTATGATTTCATCATTCTGCACGCACAGATCCATCTACTTCATACTTCGAGAATAAATCTCTGTCCTGAATGGCCGCCATATTGTTTTGTAATGCAGTTTTACATCGTTTCACATCTGACATACACACAAAGACTAAATAATTTTATCAAATGGAAGCAGAATAAATATTTCTCAAAATTCTCGAAGTGTACTTGGTGTGGCCTAAGTTTTTGCTTTACAATATATAATTGTATTTTAACAAGGATCTCAGAAATCCAATATATATGTTTATTATATAGTGAATTATAAATTATTTTTATATTTTCTTTTATTTGAATCTCACATTATTATTATTATTTAACCAAGTTATATATTATATATATTTCTATGATTTTACGTTCCAATAACACGGAAATCAATAAAATGATCTAAGCTTACTTGAATATACATATTTTATTTTAAAGTTTTGATATTAACAATTTATAAAATGAATTGACTGTCACAGGATTAGAAAAAAAAAAAAAAAAAAATAGTGTGTTTCTTTTTCTGAATTGTTGATTTCAATTGATATCCTCTTTCATTTATTTGAATCTTGTATTATTATTTAATCAAGTTCTATTTCTATTTTCTATGTACTAATAACGCTAAAATCCACAAAATAATCCAAGCTTACTTGTACATATACTGTTAATATACATATATTAGTTTTGTTTTCTAAATTAAATGTTAATTAATTTCAGTATATCGTCGTCGGTGAAGTGTCAAAAGAGTGTATCTAAGAATTTCTAAAGATTAAGAAATAGGACCTTTTGCATTTCAAAATTTCCACAAATCAAGATACAATATTTGGACACATGATACCCAGAACAGTTCTAATTGGCTGTCAACAATTACAGTTGACTAGAATAGATTACAACGATAGCTGTCAGCAATTACAGCTGACTAGACTAGAATATAGAGATAGCTGGCAGCAATTGCAGTTGACTAGACTAGATTACAGTGATAGCTGTCAGCAATTGTAGCTGACTAGACTAGAATACAGCGATAGCTGTCAGTAATTACAGCTGACTAGACTAAATAATAGAGATAGCGGTCAGTAATTGCAGCTGACTAGACTAGAGTACAGAGATACCTATCAGCAATTACAGCTGAGTAGACTAGATTACAGCATAGCTGCCAGCAATTACAGCTGACCAGACTAGAATACCGAGATAGGTGTCAGCAATTACAGCTGACTAGACTAGAATACATGTATAGCTGTCAGTAATTACAGCTGTGCAGATTAAGCCATGAAAACTTAGATATTGTTCGGTGACTTTAATATAAATAAAATATACCACCATTAGTTCTATAAACAGTATTTAAACTCTGTAAATAAATTCTACTCTTTCAAACATAACAAGATTTTGCTTACAGTTGTGTACATTTAGAACATTGTTACAAAGATGAATTGAACAATACCCAAAATTTTCGTCATCTGCGTCAGAAGATATAGACAGGTAATCCATCACCACTTCGGATAAATCTGTTGATTCACCTAAATCCAATTGAATCCAAACCGTGAGATTATCTACTATTTCTTTATTAAATGATAAATAATTCAATTTAGGTTCATTTCATCAATTTAGATAGAGATTAACTACCGTTGATATTTTGGGTTTGTTTTCTTGATTAAAAGATAAATAGTTATTTTTAATATATTTTGTTTTCTTAACTAAATGTTAATTACAAGTTGCATACATTTCACCCTGGATGAAGATGTGAAAATTAGACATGTCTGAAAAATGCACAATTGTTTTGTTATGTTATAATTCCGTCACTCGCCTCTTAAGGTTTAGCTTCTAGTCCATGTTGTTGTGTAAAATTAGAGCATTGTTGATTTTTTGTTTTGTTAATTATTTTTGGGGGGTTGGATGGCTGAATGGTTAGCGTGCGCGCGCTGTATCATAAAGTCTGTCATTGAGTCGACTGGCGTGGTTTCGAATCCCCGGTTGTACGTGGCAAGGAGTAGGGTCGCCTGTCCAACCTCGTGGGTTTTCTCCGGGGCCTCCGGTTTCCTCCCACTGCTAAAGACCCCTACGCGCAAGCGAATTATGTAAATAAAGTTAAACCATATGTTAGTCCCGAAATGACCTAGTTTGTGTCGAGTGGACGTTAAACCCCATTTCTCTCTCTCTCTTTAATTATTTTTATGTCTAATATTGCCACAAATATTAAATACTCGATGTATCATTTAGCAATATAGGAATCTCTTGCAAACTAGGGGTTTGGGTGGCCGAATGCATGCTCCTTAGATCATAAGGTCTGTTATTGAGTGGTTTTGATTCCCTACTCGTACTTGACAAGGAGTAAGGGCACCTGTCCAACCTGGTGGGTTTTCTTCGGTTTCCTCCCACTGCTATAGAGACCCCAAGCATATTATTGAAATAAAATTGAACCATGTTAATGAAGAAATGACCTAGTTTGCATCGAGTGGACGTTAAACCCTTTTACAATATTCTGAAAGTTTAATATTTAATAGGAATATTGGTTCAATAATGGTTCTATTCCGTTCAGTATTTACAAAGTTATGATAAATTGAAATTTATTTGATCTATGCTGCTCCGCTTGTATGTGACAAGGAGTAGGGACACCTGCCCAGCCTCATGGGTTTTCTCCAGGTCCTCAGGTCCTCTGGTTTCCTTCCACAGCTAAAGACCCCTGCACGAAAGAGAATTATTGAAATAAAATTGAACCATATGTTAGTCCCATAATGACTTAGTCAGTTAAACCCCATTTCTCGCTTTTATCTAAATCTTACATAATATGAATCTTTAATTAAATGTTAAATAATCAATCCGAGTACATATTTAGCATGTATTAAGCTGTGAGATATTTGATATTTTTGCGAACATGTAAAATGTAAATGAGACATCGAGCCTTTAATTTTATTCATTTAATACTTATACAAATCATATATATATACATTTATCATTTCTGTCTCTTCTTTTAACTTTAGATTGTTTTTCAAGTTATGATTTATTTTTATATATGTTTAATTATAAACAAGCCTTGAATGACATTTAGAGGTAGAGGTATAACTCTCTCTCTCTCTCCCTCTCTCTGTTTCTTAGTGTGTTCAGGTTTAATTCTGTGTTAAGGTTGCCCTAACAATAATTTATATAAGCATTAATATTAATAATATAAAATTTATGTTATGTTGATATTAACTTCCTTTATTATGAAGTAAACATGATAAATCTTCCGTGTGTTCAGGCCTTAATTCTGAGTTAAGGTTGACCCAGTAATAACTTAAGTTAGCACTAACATTAATAATATAAACTTTATGTTATACTGATATTTATGTTCCTTAAACATATCAACTTTATTTCATATATCATATATATATATACCAGTAATATATAAAATATTCATTAACCAACTTTCTTTGTTGTTCTAATACTGTGGTAATTCCTTTAGGAACGCTTCTGATCAAACCCTGTCCTCTAGGACACACAGGGTCCGATCAGAAGCTGTTCCTAAAGAAACTACTGCTGTGGGATCCGCGGCAACTCGGTGGGTATGGTGCTTGCTTACTTACCAGGAAGTCCGAGGTTCATTTCCAGTGTTGGCAGAGAAAGTTTACTTTGAGTTCCCAGCATGGTTTCAACTAGTCAGTGGTGTAGGACGGAGGGCCTGTCAAGGGACAACGAATTGTTGTTCAGATGAGACGTAAAATAACCCTTGGCAGGGTAGTTAACTTGGCACTGGTTCACTAACCAGGATGGCGTGAGTTCGATCCTGGTGTTGGCAGTTCGAGCATGCTTTCCCCTTGTCAGTGGTGTAGGACGACGGTACTGAGAAGGAAAGACATATTGTCATTTTAATGGGGCATAAAATAACGCTTGGCAGGGTACTTAAGGTGCTGGTTCACAAAACAGGAGGCCTGGGGTTCGATCCTGGTGTTGGCAGAGAAAGTTGACTTTGATTTCCTTGCGTGGTTTCCCCATGTCAGTGGTACAGGACGGAGGGCCTGGCAAAGGAAAATGTGTAGTCATTTGGATGGGACGAAAAACTGAGGTCCCGTGACCACATTGGCATGCACGTAAAAGAACCCCTGGCAGTTGGAATTCGATATAAGAGTAGGTCTTAGTGCCGTTGTCTGGCATATGCTCGTCTTCATTAGCCTGTATGGGAGCAAAAGAGTAGAATGTTAAACCCCATTTCATTTCATTTCATTTATTTTGTCAAAGGATCACATTTATCTTAAAATGTTGTTTATAGCAATGTATGCAGGGCTGCGAGCAAGTTAAAATTTCCTGTAAAGATACATTAGTTAAAAGTTTTATAAAGAGTTGGCCATTCTTGCTATAATAATTCAAAAATAGATTTTAAAAAAAGAAAATGTTGAAAATTTCAGTCAAACTACTTTGTTCTGAACGGAATTGTCGCTGTTGGAAGTTTGGACCAGAAATAGGCATCAATTGTGTCTGCACCGTCTATGAGAATTGGCGATCGTTTGATTGACAGACGATAACTCCACACACATATTATAGATTATCAAGTAACATGCTCAATGGCTATGGTAGCCTCGCTTGGCAGGCCTTTCATCACCAGTTTCCGGTAGTGACATCAGCGACTAACGGTAAACATTAGCTTGTTCCGCCATTTATTGATTTAATTTTAAATGGACGACTCTTTAAATCCAAACTGTATCCAAACCATCTGTGGGTCTACAGAGTTGATTTTGAGCTTGTTGTGTAATAAAGGTCTAATTAATAATTTCTATAACATCTGAAGCCTAAATAAAGACTTGCAATAGTCAGATTTAGCTCTTGCATAATGTATGTTTAACTGGTTAACGTGTTAATATGATTTAATTATCGAAGCTCCTAAAACATAGCCATTTTCGTACCCAACCTATTTCAGACAGTAAACAAAAATTATTATTGGTCATTATTTTTATTCTGGGCTCCAAATCCTGGATTTAGGTGGCATTTTGACGGAAAAACGTTTAACAACAAATCAATTTTGACGGAAAAACGTTTAAAAACAAGTCAAATTTGGTGGTTTCAACCTTGACCCTTGATTCAAGGGAGACTAGAGACCAAGGTATTACGACCGGAGGCTTACGATCCAGCAGACGTAACAGTTCCACTGTGGTTTCTGAATGATATTTTGCAGGAATTAGGCTCTTTCAAGCGTTAATCTCATTTATACGTTAACCAATTAAACATACATATTAATAAAGTTAAAACTGCTCTCAGCCCTGAAATGTATGATTATCTAGTGTTGTTTATGATTGTCAGTAATATTTATCCAGGTTGCATACACTTGTAATATATTAGCCTCTTGTAACTCATGGAAAATATTTACCTGAGGCAATTAATAAGATTGTGTTTACATGTATTTGAAATAAAAAAAAGTCGCGCAGTCGTTTTCAAGAGACGCAGGAGTATCTGAAAACCAGAATATTATTTTTTGTATGGCCTTAGTTTGTCATACAAAGTCAATAACACAGATCCTATTTCGTTTCATTTTTTATAGTTCAAAATATTGTTTTATTTGTCTGCACAACACTAGGATCTGGTAGAGTTGTTATATAAGCTGCGTTCTGGTTGATGTGAGGGATTAGTCAATGAAACGGTCTGTTACGGTGAGTTCTTGGCGTGTGATGCACAGAACTGTGGGTACACCACTAGAAACATTACCACTGGTTGATTAATCAATGTCTGACATCATAGGGTCAAAAGCCGTTTGTATGACCCCTGACACAACTTTCCACTATGTAGTGTAGGCCATCGAAAGTATAAAACAAACGATACGAAATGTAGATCTGTATTTTAATCCGGATGACACCATATACTAGTTCTGGGACACAGGAGGTTTGAGTCACTCTGCTGCTCTAGAATCTAGTTATCCATCTGGTCACTTTATATGCATTATTCAGATTGGTGATCCCTGACACAACCTCCCCAAAAATCTTGTCAGATCTTCATGTAGTGTAGGCCATCGAAAGTATAAAACAACGAAACTAAATATAGATCTGTGTTTTAATCAGATTGAATTATTGGCAAATCCCAATGGCCCTTTTACTTGTGAATAATCCAAATTTGTTTGCTTTCCATGAGACATATTCAGTAAAGTCATTAGCATAAATTCACTTAAACTACATGAAGATCTGATCGGTTGTAGCAACAGGTCGCGTCAGAGGTCATACGAACAGCTTTTGACCTTATGACGTCGGACAATTGATTAACCAATCAGCATTGATGTTACTGGTGGATTACCCACTGTTCCGTGCAAAACACGACTAAAGCTCGCCGTAACAGACCGTTTCATTGGCTAATCACTCACATCATTCAGAACACGTCAATGATAACAACTCTTCCAGATCCTAGTGTAGTAAAGACAAGTAAAACGAAATTTTGAACAATAAAAAACAAAACGAAATAGGATCTGTGTTTTAATCCGATTGATACAAAGCTTAATTTAAATTAAAGGAGGTCCTTATGCTAATTCTTTTCTTCTTATCCTCCAAAATGGCCACCCGTTTTTTTAAGTCTTTTATCATCTGCTCAAGCTCATCAACATTGTCATTGGTCAGTTTAACTGGGACTTTTTTTCTTATGTACGTATCATTACCCCTCTTGGTGTAAATACACGATGAAGACGATCCATATTGTGATGATGCTGAACACAGAGGGGTATTATCCGATGGTCGGGGAAGGGGTGCAGGGGCTCTATCTTTGGAAGATGGCTGCTTGTCAAACATTTTCAACTCTTCGTCAAACTTTTGAACGACCTTATAGATCTGGTCTCTTTTGTATGATGTATCTTTGCGGTTTGAGTTGACGCTCTTTAGTTTCTTCTCCAGCGTTTTCAGTAAATCTTTCGGATCTTGTTCTTCATTTTCAACCGGTTCTTTTTTGTCTCTCATCACTAATTCCTAAAACAAAGAGACAGAAATAAAAAAAGAAAGATCCAAAAACAAAACAAGCAGGCGAAAAAAAAAAAAATACAAAAGACTGAAATAAAACAATTACAAAAGACTGAAATAAAATAAATACAAAAGACTGAATTAAAACAAATACAAAAGACTGAATTAAAACAAACACAAAAGACTGAATTAAAACAAACACAAAAGACTGAATTAAAACAAACACAAAAGACTGAATTAAAACAAACACAAAAGACTGAAATAAAATAAACACAAAAGACTGAAATAAAACAAATACAAAAGACTGAAATAAAACAAAACAAAGATGGAATGGAATAAAGGGGCAGAAATAAAACCAAGAGACAGAAAAAAGAAAGAGAGCAAAATAAAACAAAAACAAAGAGAGCAAAATAGAACAAATACAAAGAGATAAAAAAAACAAAGAGAAAGAGACCAAAATAAAATAAATAGAGAGAAATAAAACAAAAAAACAAATAAAACAAAGGGACAGAAAAAAAAGAGACAAATAAAACTATGAGACTTCTGTCATGGAATTCATAAACCTATAGAGAGTGGCTCAAAGGAAATTTCCCATGAGTAAGTCAGTAGCAAATATATTTAATCTCGAGACACCACAGGATAGAACAATCCTATCACACAGCACACGGTAGGATATAACAATCTAAATGTCTCCAGATATACTGACTATCACACAGCATAGAACAAGTTAAGTGTCCTCAGATGTACTAACACACAGCACACCACTGGATAGAACAATCCAAGTGTCCCAAGACATACTATCACACAGCACACCATTGGATAGAACAAGATAAGTGTCCTCAGATATACTATCACACAGCACACCACAGGATAGAACAATCTACCTGTAAGTGTCCCAAGACATACTATCACACAGCACACCACTGGATAGAACAATCTAAGTGTCCCAAGATATACTATCACACAGCACACCACAGGATAGAAGAACCTGAGTGTCCCCAGATATACTGACTATCACACATATGGCACACCACATATTTACATCCCTGCTACATAAAGAGAGAGAGAGAAATGGGGTTTAACGTCCACTCGACACATACTAGGTCATTTCGCGTAGGGGTCTTTCGCAGTGAGAGGAAACTGGAGGACCCGGAGAAAACCCACGAGGTTGGACAGGTGACCCTACTCCTTGTCACGTACAACCGGGGAATCGAATTCAGGCCAGTTGACTCAATGACAGACCGTATGATACAGCACGCGCGTGCTAACCATTCGGCCATCCAACACCCTCCCTGCTACATAAGCATGGGTGTATGTTCATCAGATTACTGAGGAAGGAAAGTTGTTCCCAACTGTTAATTTTCATATCCTACATGGGAAAAAGTAGTGTAGATACACTGTATCAATGTGTAGCCCTGTGTCTACCCCAGACTGATTACCTGGCATGATTCTCCAGCTGGTCGGAGGAGGTGGGGTAGGGGGAAAATTAATAAAAGTAAAAATTATCTTACTAATGGTATATCATCGTAAATCTCATCATAAATTGCTTCTGCTTCAGCATTCAGATAATGAGTAGACGCATCATCATCTTCAGGCCAAGTAAACTTCTCATCTGTAAATTGTTTGAATGGCATTTAGTATACAGGTCACAATTTTATAGAATACAATTACTGCTTATAACTGAGTGACGTTTCGACTTGGCTTCTATTACTGCTTATTACTGAGCGACGTTTCAACTAGGCTTCTCTAGTCATTATCAAGCAATGATGAAATCTATATTTTCCAATCGTATTTTAGATTTCACCACTAAAATAGAGAAGCCTAGTTGAAATGTCGCTTAGTAATAAGCAGTAATTGTATTCCATAGAATTGTGACCTGTATACTCATCTGTAGCAAAAGTCAATTAAATTTTAACATAGGACTTTTACAGAAACTGAGGAACTTTCTTGGACAATACTGGGATCGAACTGCGAACCTACTGGTTAGTGAGAGAGAGAGAGAAATAAGGTTTAACATCCACTTGGCACAAACTAGATCATTTCTGGACTAACATCCATTTCGTTTCAATAAATTGCTTGCACGTTGGGTCTTTAGCAGTGGGAAGAAACTGAACAGGAAACAGTACTCCTTGTCATGTACAAGTGGGGATTCGAAACTTGACTCAATGAATGATTATTTGGCCATCCAATCCCCCTTAGTGTAGAGAGAGAGAAATGGGGTCTAACATCCACTCGACACAAACTAGGTCATTTCGGGACTAATATATGGTTCAAATTTATTTTAATAAAATTTTAAACCAGAAAAGTCATGGCAAGAAAAACATACCCCAAAACACAATTCCTGATTAGCATATTCTTTAATAAATATAGATCATGTGATCTACTGTACACGTTTTAAACCATTCGGTTTTTCGTCCCATCCAAACGACTAGACAGCTGTCCTTGTCAGGCCCTCCTTCCAATCCCCCTTAGTGTAGAGAGGGAGATATGGGGTTTAACATCCACTCGACACAAACTAGGTTATTTCGGGACTAACATATGGGCCTGGCAAGGACAGTGTCTAGTCATTTGGATAGGACAAAAAATACGAGTTGCTGTGTACATGTTGTTATGCATGTAAAAAAAAGTAGGCAGAAGTGCCGCTGTCCCGGCAAAATGTTCCCCATAGCACACAACCATCTTCATTAACCCAGTCAGTCCAGCAAATGGAGAAAGAGAAATGGTGTTTAATGTCCACTTGACACAAACTTGGTCATTTTGGGACTAACACATGGTTCAATTCTATTTCAATAATTCGCTTGCGCGTGGGCGGTCATTATTAGCTGTGGGAGGAAACCGGAGAAAAGGAGGGTACCATAGTCATTGAGAATGTTACTTGATAACTTGATAATTAAGAATATGTGTGTTTTTATGGGGGGTATCGTCTGTCAATCAAACGATGCAATTTTCATTGATGGTGCTGACACAGTTGATGCCAATTTCTAGTCCAAATTTCCAACAGTGATAACTCCGTTCAGAATAAACAGAAATTTTCAATATTTTCTTTTTTTTATCATCTATTTTTAAATTATTATAGCAAAATGATTCCAACTCTTCATTAAAGATGCATTATGGGTGATAAGATAAAGAGTTGGCAGTTCTCACTATAATAGTTAAAAACTAGATAATGTAAAGGCAATTTGCTGAAAATTTCAGTCAAATTGATCCACTATGAACCGAGAATAAGCGATTGAAATTTCGTCTGTATGATAAAAAAAAGGGCTCCGTCATCCATTTCATAATTAAATTATGAATGGAAGTCGAGCATCAAATGGGATCATAATCCAGTCAATATCCCGGGCTAGCAATGGCATCAAGAGTTGATTATGGTCTGGATAAGTTAATAAATGTCTAATTAATAATTTAGGACTTCGAATTTTGTCTAATGGTTTGGATTGTTCGTACATGTACTTGGTTTTATTTTATTAGATAACATTTCAGGCCTAAAGAAAGACCTGCAATAGGCAGATTTAGCTCTTGCATAATGTATGTTTAAACTCTTAACTAATGCATCTTTAAACATAATTTCAGTTCATTACCTTTGCTAACATCCATGGTTAGCACAAGACGACATATCTCGGCATATATATAGATAGGATTGTTGGTTTCAACAGTCATCTGGATATAACTCGCTGAACCTAATCCAACTTTACAGGTTATTGTATTTCCGTTTAACCACATGATTAGCTGATCTTTAGGGTTCTTTATCCTAATAAGGGGCACGAAAATGGCATTATCTGTAACACAATAAGTACAAATAGATCTATAAATCAATTTTCTGAATGAGTTTTGTCAACTTCAATAACATTATGTGCCTTTGAGCAGGGTTATACTATATACCGGAAAACACTGGAAGACACCGAAAAACACCGGAAAACAACCGGAAAACACCGAAAAACTACTGGAAAACACCATGTTATACTGAATACCGGAAAACACCAGAAAAACACTAAATACCGGAAACCACCCTAAATACCGGAAACCACCCTAAATAGGTAACCCGGAGAAGGGCTATACTATAAACCGGAAACTAACCCTAATCCTAACCCTAACCCAGGCACACAGAGGACCAGGCTGCCGGTTACCTATTTAGAGTGCCAGTCTCTGGGTTACCCATTTAGGGTATTTTCTGGTATTTAGTGTGTTTACCGGTATTCCGGTAAACCACCCTAAATACCGGAAACCACCCTAAATAGGTAACCCGGAGAAGGGCTATACTATAAACCGGAAACTAACCCTAATCCTAACCCTAACCCAGGCACACAGAGGACCAGGCTGCCGGTTACCTATTTAGAGTGCCAGTCTCCGGGTTACCCATTTAGGGTATTTTCCGGTATTTAGTGTGTTTTCCGGTGTTTTCCTGTATTCAGTATAAAATGGTGTTTTCCGGTTGTTTTCCGGTTGTTTTCTGGTGTTTTCCGGTATATAGTATTGCCCCTTTGAGCATAGGGGAGCTGTCCTCGTCAGAGAAGGGCTATACTATAAACCGGAAACTAACCCTAATCCTAACCCTAACCCAGGCACACAGAGGACCAGGCTGCCGGTTACCTATTTAGAGTGCCAGTCTCCGGGTTACCCATTTAGGGTATTTTCCGGTATTTAGTGTGTTTTCCGGTATTTAGTGTGTTTTCCGGTGTTTTCCGGTATTCAGTATAAAATGGTGTTTTCCGGTTGTTTTCCGTTGTTTTCCGGTTGTTTTCTGGTGTTTTCCGGTATATAGTATTGCCGCTTTGAGCATAGGGGAGCTGTCCTCGTCAGATCTTCTGTCTTGCACCACTGACAAGGGGAAACAACGCCGGAAAATTCTGATGAACTTTCTCGGCCAATGCAGGGATCGAACATGCGACCTTCAGGCTAGCAAGCCAGCGTCTTACCCACTTAGCCGCGGTGGCTTCCCTAAGGCATACAAGAATATATATCTAAAATATAGAATTGCTAATGGTTCATGCATCCAAGGGGGGTTGGATGGACAAATGTTTAGCCGAATGTTTAGAGTGTGCACGGTTTATCATAAGGTCTCTCATTGAGTCAACTGGCGTGGTTTCGATTCCCCAGTTGTATGTGACAAGGAGTAGGGTCGCCTGTCCAACCTCGTGGGTTTTCTCCGGGTCCTCCGGTTTCTTCCCACTGCTAAAGACCCCTATGCGCAAGCGAATTAATGAAATAAAATAGAAGCATATGTTAGTCCCAAAATGACCTAGTTTGTTGTCAAGTGGACAAATCTCACTCACTCACTCACTCACTCTCTCACTCTCTCTCTCTCTCTTTCTTACATCCAAAATGTGTGAAAACTAGAAAAATGAATCAAATAATCTCTGCTTAAAATTACCTTCAAAGGAAAAATTGGTTGATTTATTTATTCGAGATTCGAGTGGAGGAATTTGACTTGCAAACAGCTTCATATAGTGCCACTGAGCGCCATCCTTAGGAGTCAGTTTTATTTTGATTGGCTGTTGTTCCTCTAGGGGGTTCTGTATCGCCAGGCTACATTGAGGGTTTGTATCAATCAACGAGACCATTTTATAATCTTTGAATATCTGCACATTTTGTCCGTATAATTTACGATTCCAAGAGAATTTTTTTGATTTAGGATCTGAAAAAAAAATGAGATAAAATTAATGAATAATATTATGAAATATTTGTCGAATGGGGTTTAACATCCTACTGTTCCACACAGATTTGGCTAATGGGGTTTAACGTCCTACTGTTCTGCACAGATTTGACTAATGAAGATGGGCATACACCATGTAGGGTGCTATCAGAGAAATTTTGCCCAGAAATTAATTAGGAGGAACTTTCGTGGCCAACATTTGCAAATAGGAGCATTTACAAGACACTGATGTCAATCTAAAACATTGGATGATATATTTTGTTGAAATAGCATTCACAAGGTTCTACAATGTTAAACAAATTTGATAGGGTTCTTCACACGAATAATTTAAATAATGCATATACATTTCATACAGATCGGATGATAACTTATGTCATTAGAGTGTTCAGAAGGTTCTACATAGTGAAACAAGACCCATAACTCTAGAAGCAATGAACGGAAATAGCTAAATTTCACTAAATTTCCTCACTTCACAAGGTGCAACAAAATGGAACATGGGCCATAAATCTAGAAGTAATTAATGGAAGTTGTTGAAATTAAATATATAATTTTTTTAAAAATCGGATAATAAATGTAGACTGTTCACAAGAGGTTGTGGATGACGAATGGAGGAGACATTTCCATGTGGATGTGTAAAAAGAAATATGACAAATTTCCTATTTCAATACATGTACATATTGTGGGGGTTTTTCTCCGGATCCTCCGGTTTCCTCCCACTGCTAAAGACCCCTACGCACAAGAGATTTATTGAAATAAAATTGAACCATTTGTTAGTCCCTAAATGACATTAAACCCCATCTCTGTCTCTCACATTTCAATACATCAATACATGTACAGTACATATTGTGGGTTAAATTTGGACTTAAAAATGGAATCGTGATCATGATCAAAGATCCACTCGATAAAATCCTTTATAAGAAGACATGGCCACCTACCCACCATCTTCAACAGATGGCTTGAATTCGCTTTAACTTTGTACATGTTATCAAGGCCTTCATGTAATACCCTGGATATTTCAGCACTGATTTCAATTGGGTATTCACCCAACTTGTGAGCCTATCAGATTCCTCGATCATCGCGCATACATGTACCAAGTCTCGCGCATACCAAGTCTCGCGCCTTCCAACTAAAATGTCTACCTGTGATAATTGACTTGTAAAGTACAAGCTTTGTTCAATGTCAAGGTTTCCGTGGACGTCGTTATATTTGATTTGGGCATGTTTCTGTCACAACATCTGATTAGACGCTACTGTTCACATGTCTGTAGATAACGTAGCTATGAGTTTGGAAATTATGAAGTAATCATAGCAATGTCTAGATGTTGTAAAACTCATAGTCGTTGCTTCAGGAACATGCCTACCCACCTATCAACGACAGTGATGGGATTTCAAAATTTTTCTTGTCGGACATTTACCGAAAATAAAGGAGCATAACTCTTATCATTATTTAAAGGCTCAATACCACTCATCTTGTAACTGAATAATATGTCCCAATCTTTATTCTGGTCAACAAATTGTACTATTTTACAATATTCCAATTAATTGATGATACAAATTTCATCTTTACACAACTAATTTAAAAAATTGGAAAAATTCAACTAAATGATTTGAAAAGCCTGACGTAAAGCTTTTCAAATGTGACTTGGATTTAAAAATATTTTTGAACCCTCTGGACAAGTAAAATAGGATTTAATGGATAATTTACACAACAGGTAAGACACTAACACATCTAGGTTATTTTTTATTTTCTGGAGCTGTCTAGTCAGCAAGAGTGTTATTGTCCCTTTAAGCAGAAGAATTCATAAGCAGAAGAATTCATACCACAATTAAAAATCACATGTCGACAAAATATTCAAATCCCATACATAATAAAAATAGGGGAACGTCGCTATTTTTCATTTTTAATTCCCATACGGTATTCAATTCATACCACAATTAAAAATCATATGATTCAACCATATTTTATAATAATATTACTGTACCATCATTTATAGCAAGAGTCAGCTGGCCAAACAATATGTCTGCACAAAGTCGGTAATTATCTCCCCTGTCTATATCGATCACAGTTTCTTCACCACGTAAGGTCTGTATCACCTGACATTCTGATCTTCGTTCTAATCTAAAGCAGTCCTTATCGCCTTTCACCATGACCCGTTGAACTTTTCCTGGTTTACCACCAACTTTAGTTCCTGAATAACAAACGAACGGTGAGAGTGATGTCCCCTGCCTCAATCCCAAAATTGATGACATATAATAATCAATAGAATCTTCCATCAACATTCTATGCCAGTTGCAGAGAAAGAAATGGGGTTAAAGGTCCACTCAACACAAACTACTGAATGAATGAATGAATAAAATGGTGTTTAGTGTCCTGCTTTCTAAACGAACTGGGCTAATAACCAGCGGTTGCAAGGCAAGATACGCCCACATTTTACAAGAGATGGATAGAGAACAAGCTAAAAACAAAAGCATTTTTTTTATACAATCAGCAGCCATAATCCAGAAAGTTATGGTCTGAAATGCGCAAATATAGAAACAGACTGAGATATTTGGGATATAAACATATATTTTCAGTTTCATCAAAATTGGATAAATTCTAGAGAGTCCACAACCTTGGTATTACATACTTTTACACTATTTGCATATAAGGAGCAGCCATAATGTCAGGCATTTTCGGTCCGATTTTCATGAGATTCGAACTCATCCGTCATTAGGGTGTAATGGTGATACATGTAAACGCTTTTTAAAATCGGATAAAGTTTGTGACCTCTAGAGGGTCCACAAGCTAATAACATGATTTTTCGTACAATCAGGGGCCATAATTTAGGAAGTTACAGTCTGATATATGCGAAATATCGAAAGGAACCAAGATCTATGGGTTATAAACATGCATATTGAGTTTTATCAAAATGGGATGAAAATTGTGATATCTAGAGTGTCCACAAGCTAAAAACGTGATTTTTCGTACGATCAGGGGCCATAATCCATGAAGTTATGGTCCGATACATGCCAATATCGACAGGAACCGAGATCTTAGGGAGATGGACCTATATTTCAAGTTTCGTCAAAATCGGATAAAAATTGTGACCTGTAGAGTGTCCACAAACAAATTGTGGACAGATGTCCGGACGGACAGTTGCGACAGCATAATACGTCCAGATGAAAATGTGGGCGTATAAAAATCAACCTACTTACCATGATCCTTACATCCTTTAAAATCTTTATCCTTGAAATTTGTCAAGCCCAATAAAACATGGCCGCCTCCACCTGTACCATCTATAATGAGTTCTATGCTATCACCTTTTATTAAAGTTTGGTCTATGACACAAATACCGTAATGTTTATTAACTGTCCAGCTGGCCGTCTTAAGGTCATCACTCACATCAACATTATCTCCATGTATCCTTGAAAATACGGCTGCCATTTTTCTCTCTCTGAAGTTTAAGTCAAAAAGTTCTACTTCCTGAAACGAGTTTATATATACGACGAAAAATTCTGGTCTCTATATATAATGCTGACGTTTTCGTCAATAAACAGACCTTTCAATTTCTATTATAATTTCATAGATTAGAAACTCTCGTCTTTCCAGGTACTTCAAATCTGCAATGAATAATTTTTTACAAGATGTTAAATAAAACTGTAGTAGATGTGTGTCCCCAAATTCATGCCTCCCCCAAAAAACACAAACAATATGACATTTTTGAAACACGTTTCTTTGAAACTTGATTATCTGTCACGAAATATTTGAAAGAACGTATTACATAGAAAGAAATAATAACTTTAAGTATGTGGTATATTATGGTTAACCCTTCGCCACCTGGTACATGTAAATATTGTCTCTTTCAGTTCCTTGAACATTATAGAGAAAAGTGTGAGGACAGCCCAACACTATATATTGTTAGAGATATTTGAATAGCTTTTGCGCATGCCACAGCTATTCAAAGTTATCAGGTAATTCAGGCGGACCAAAATTGTTATTGGGTCATTCCATGTCAAGTGGACTAAATTCTCAGAAAAATGTCAGGTGACCTCCTCAGAAAATTATGAAAAGAATATATGTTATAGTACATAAAATCGCAAAGCAAAATATTGACTGAGACATAACCTTTTGAATTGGAGTACCTTTTTGGGTCATTGACTAAATTCTCAGAAAAGGTGAACTCCTCAGAAAATTATGTTATAGTACATACAAACTTAGGTAAAACTGTAAAGTTATATGACTCTATTATTAATATTGACTGAGATATGGCCTTTTGAATTGGAGTACCTTTTCGGGTCATTGACTAAATTCTCAGAAAAGGTGAGCCCCTCAGAAAATTATGTTATAGTACATACAAACTTAGGTAAGACTAAAAGAGGTAAATGACCTTTTGCATTAATATTGACTGAGATATGGCCTTTTGAATTGGGGTACCTTTTTGCGGATTTTGAAACTACTATCCTATGACTCAGTTTTGGTGTACTGATTTTATATTTTCTAGTTAGACAATATTCTTGAGATTATGGAGAGAGAGAGAGAGAGAGAGAGAGAGAGAGAGATGGGGGTTTAACATCCACTTGACACATACTAGGTCATTTCGGGACTAACATATGGTTCAATTTTATTTCAATAATTCGCTTGTGCGTAGGGGTCTTTAGCAGTTGGAGGAAACTGGAGAAAACCCACGAGGTTGGTCCAACCACACTCCTTGTCACGTACAACCGGGTAATCAAAACCATGCCAGTTGACTCAATGACAGCTAGACCTTATGATACAGCGCACATATGCTAACCATTCGGTCATCCAACCCTCCTCTTGAGATTATGGGGTTTGTAAGAGAATGTTATGTAGATTTTAAGTAGCTAAGTCTCTAACTCAATATCATCCAAAGTCTTCAACATTGAAAATACAAATTATTTTTCAATTTAAATTAACATTGATGTTGTGATCTTACCGGGAAAAGATGGGCTTCTGATATCCAATATTTAAGACAAAATAAACATTTTACCATTGGTGCACGAATCGTGTACCATAATGCGTTTCAGCGTCATGTGTAACAAGGGACTCGAAGAACGAGGCTAAACATATTCCATGTCAAACGGTGACTTCATATTCTTGTCTGGAGAGCATATGCAATAAATACTATCGGTGTAGACTGGAATAACAAGACGCTAGAGATTGCCATTCAATTGAGACTTCTGGCGTATTTCACTGAACATAACTGATAAGTAATCACAGTAAAAACAGAAACGATTGAATGTAAATCAGTTTATATACATTCATGTTACATTATTATATGCGTTGCGACCCATTTGTGTCAATTTCTAGACCCCAAATATTAGCGATTTAGCTCCTTTAAGAATTCACCACCAAATTTTACATAACTAGTACTGTCAACTGTGTATGGAGTGCCTTAAGTGCCAAAAGTTGATACTTGTGTAAAAAAAAAATCAATATTTCGATACAGTGTAGAAATTTTACTATACTATATTAGAAGTTGTTACTTATCACAAGTAAAATGTATCAATGGGTATTGTTTGAACAAATATTATTAGAAGCCATATCTTTGTTGGTTTCCTGTAAAATTACACAGGAAAATCGCTAAAATCACTCTCTTTCAAAACTGATTTTACCCATGAATACAGCCTGCCAACCTAAATTAAGACTTCTAACTTACCCATGAATATAGCCTACCTGTATTAAGACGTCTGACTTACTTATGAATACAGCCTACCTGTATTAAGACTTCTAACTTACCCATGAATATAGCCTACTTGTATTAAGATTTCTAACTTACCCATGAATATAGCCTATCCGTATTAAGATTTTTAACTTGCCTATGAATATAGCCTACCTGTATTAAGATTTCTAACTTAAGCTTTCTAACTCATCTGAAAATAGCCTACCAGTATTGAGATTTCTAACTCACCTGAATATAGCCTACCTGTATTAAGATGTCTAACTTACTTATGAATATAGCCTACCTGTATTAAGATGTCTAACTTACTTATGAATATAGACTACCTGTATTAAGATTTCTAACTTACTTATGAATATAGACTACCTGTATTAAGATTTCTAACTCACCTGAATATAGCCTACCTGTATTAAGACCGTTAACTCACATAATGTTACAGTAGTCAAATAAATCATTTTCTAGTTCAATCCATTCAATATAGATTCTTATGCCATCTGTTTACTTATCAACATCCTTGTCTCCTACATTCATGGTGACACTCAAATAATTTTTGAATACCATTGTAAATATGAACTGAGCATCAAACACTCTATAGGCCAAAAATAATAATTCCTATGTTTATGGTTACCTGAGAGAGAGAAAGAAAAAGAAATGTGGTTTAATGTTCACTTGGCACAAACTGGGTCATTTTGGGACTAACATATGGTTCAGTTTTATTTCATTAATTCGCTTGCGCGTAGGGGTCTTTAACAGTGGAAGGAAACAAGAGGACCAGAGTAAACCCACGAGGTTGGACAGGCGACCCTACTCCTTGTCATGTACAACCAGGGAATTGAAACCATGCCAGTTGACTCAATGACAGATCTTAGGATACAACGCTCAAACACTAACCATTCAGCCATCCCCACACCCCCTACCCCCACATGACAGTTACGGTTACCCAACCGACCTTATATTTGTTTAGACGATATCTCTGAACCCAATTTTTTTCTCTTATTTCCTAGGCCCCATAACTTGGTCGTGACATGAATTTTTTTTAAGACAGATTCTAACACTGAAATTTTGATATTATTTTCAAGAACCTCAGTCAATAATTAAGCTAGAAATATTAAGAAATAGATTAAAACCCACCGAAAAAAAAGAAAGTTAAAAATGATTTACCAACCAATCCTTTTTTGAGACATCAAATAACTTTAGTGCTGGGTATTATAAGGTCACTGCAGTCACAATCATGGGCGTGGATTTAGGGGGGGGGGGGGGGCGTGTCCCCCCCTTAGAATCGGAAGGGGGAGACAAATAGGTCTCTGTCTCCTCCATGATTTTGATCGCCAGGCCAGATTTTCAGGTTTATATCCACATGATGGTGAGCTTCTTTCTACGTATCTGGAACTGAATCGGGACTTGGAACAAGAATTGAGATTTTTCAAGCGCCAGTTTTCGGCCAATCTATTTCACTTGTGCACGAAGCGTTCCTCATTATGTCAACTGAAGTTAGGCAGATGTTCCCTTCTGTCGAAGCTCTTCTCATCTCACACTCCTGAACTCTGCAAGTTCCTGCTCAGCCGAGCGTTCCTTCAGCACTCTGCGCCGTATCAAAACTTGGCTGTGCAACTCCATGACACAAAACCGACTGAACCACTTGAGGGCGTGTGCGGTGCATAATGACCCCCTTCATGTCGCCAAGATATTCAGAGAGAACAGTCCTGATCGTAGAACAATTCACTTAACTTCATGAACAATTAATATTTATGCAGCTTTGATATAGGTAGTCAATTTTTCCATATTGTCATCATATTCCCCTAGTTACAGCCTTCATCGAAATAACACTGGTACAGTAAACTGTTCGTAATTATTTATTTCGTTTGGTAACGAAATGTTCCAGGTTCGAGGGTTCGTTCGTCCCCCCCAAAGTTTTGACAAATCCACGCACTTGGTCACGATAAGATACGAGTCAGTTGCTACGATACGATTCACATCACGATTACTAACCAGGTCAATATATACTAAGAAAACAACAGGATAATTGATATTTTTAGCCGTGCAGATGTCGAAGAAATAAAACTGTTTTATCACGATATTGATGTGGATCGAAATAAGGACCAAAACAATTTAAGAGTGTTTGTATACCTATGGATTATGTCTGACGTGGATAAATTAAGAGTGACAGGTTACTTACTGAAGCGACAAAAATAAGGATATGATAATTTTAGAGTGTTTGTGTACCTATGGACAATGTGTGACATGGATAATTAAGAGTGTTTGTTTACCTATGGATAATGTGTGACATGGATAATTAAGAGTGACAGGTTACTAACTGAAGCGATAAAAATAAAACCTAAAAAAGAATCACGAAAAATCGACTCAGGAACCAGCGATTTAATACACAAATTTTGAGAAGGTGAATCGTGATACATAGATCAACGAGATATCGTGCCATCACTAGAAAACACAGGTAATTTATTTTTCTTGGCCTTATCTAGCTTCCTTTTTTTATTTTCCACATCTGTAAATGGATTTCTAAGTAATGGCTGTAACTCCTGTATCTATTTGAAAGAGACCCAACCTCTATTATTATTTGTAAAACCATTGTTACCATGACAATAGCCTAAGTACTTAATGTCAAACATTCTTTATCAAATACTTACACAATATCTTCCTCTATTACTCTCCACATCTTTATAAAACTATTTGCATATATATATGTACACACCATTATTGGTTTGGTATTACAGAAGAATCTATTTCACTTGTGCACCAAGCGTTCCTCATTATGTCACCTGAAGTTAGGCAGATGTTCCCTTCTGTCGAAGCTCTTCTCATCTCACACTCCTGAACCCTGCAAGTTCAAGCTCAGCCAAGCGATCCTTCAGCACTCTGCGCCATATAAAAACTTGGCTGTGCAACTCCATGACACAAAACCGACTGAAACACTTGAGGGCGTGTGCGGTGCATAATGACCCCCTTCATGTCGCCAAGATATTCAGAGAGAACAGTCCTGATCGTAGAACGATTCACTTAACTTCATGAACAATTAATATTTATGCAGCTTTGATATAGGTAGTCAATTTTTCCATATTGTCATCATATTCCCCTAGTTACAGCCTTCATCGAAATAACACTGGTACAGTAAACTGTTCGTAATTATTTATTTCGTTTGGTAATGAAATGTTCCAGGTTCGAGGGTTCGTTCGTCCCCCCCCAAAAGTTTTGACAAATCCACGCACTTGGTCACGATAAGATACGAGTCAGTTGCTACGATACGATTCACATCACGATTACTAACCAGGTCAATATATACTAAGAAAACAACAGGATAATTGATATTTTTAGCTGTGCAGATGTCGAAGAAATAAAACTGTTTTATCACGATATTGATGTGGATCAAAAAAAGGACCAAAACAATTTAAGAGTGTTTGTATACCTATGGATTATGTCTGACGTGGATAAATTAAGAGTGACAGGTTACTTACTGAAGCGACAAAAATAAGGATATGATAATTTTAGAGTGTTTGTGTACCTATGGACAATGTGCGACATGGATAATTAAGAGTGTTTGTTTACCTATGGATAATGTGTGACATTGATAATTAAGAGTGACAGGTTACTAACTGAAGCGAGAAAAATAAAACCTAAAAAAGAATCACGAAAAATCGACTCAGGAACCAGCGATTTAATACACAAATTGTGAGAAGGTGAATCGTGATACATAGATCAACGAGATATCGTGCCATCACTAGAAAACACAGGTAATTTATTTTTCTTGGCCTTATCTAGCTTCCTTTTATTTTCCACATCTGTAAATGGGTTTCTAAGTAATGGCTGTAACTCCTGTATCTATTTGAAAGAGACCCAACCTCTATTATTATTTGTAAAACCATTGTTACCATGACAATAGCCTAAGTACTTATCAAATACTTACACAATATCTTCCTCTATTACTCTCCACATCTTTATAAAACTATTTGCATATATATATGTACACACCATTATTGGTTTGGTATTACAGAAGAATTTTTAATTTACCACATTATACACCTATCAGCCTCAGTTTTTAATTTCCTAGTCTTATTTTCTTTAAGTCCTTCTTTCCCCAGCATAAAGAAATATGGGTGTACGAACTGCAAAAGTAAATAATTATACAAAAGTAAATAATTATACAAAAGTAAATAATTATACAAAAGAAAAATGTGAGTATGATTTTTTAATAACAAAATCATGTGCTTTTAAGTATACATGTTTATATAGGCTACAGCAGGGAGTTTTCGACACAAAACACAGTAGCTTAATTACAGCACAGTTTTTTTCTTAATAGTATGTGCAGGGGGACTGCACTACATGCAAAACAAAACCGTTAAGATAAACCTAGATACAAGGGCGGATCCAGGAATTTTCATAGAAGGGGGTTTGCCTGGTTCCTGTTAAAGTCTCAATACCACTCTTGTTGTAACTGAATAATATGTCCCAATCTTTATTCTGGTCAACAAATTGTACTATTTTAGAATAATTCAATTAATTGATGATACAAATTTCATCTTAACACACCTTATTTAAAATTTTGAAAAATTCAACTTAATGGTTTGAAACGTCTAACGTAAACGTCTAACGTAAGCATACATACATATCGAGCTTTTTATAAAGAGAGAAATCCAACACCCTGTTTAATGTCAGATTTTTATTATGAATTAATAGGATCACATTGTGATTCAATTTCATTAAAGCACCTCATTAATTGCGATATCACACATGTCTATATCTTTATTTCATGCTTTGAATCCCAATCCCATTCTACCATCTAATGATAAAGGATAAAGCAAAACACACACTCGGTCTGTCGCTGAGATAAGACAAACTAGGCCTATAGACATTGCTAGAAATAAACAACAAATATCAAATCAAGTGATCAGATCAGGTCTTTTTTCAAAAAAAAATTATTTACATTTTTTTTATTTTTTATCACCAGTTGACTTTTCGTTTCATTATTTTTTCCATAAAATTTCCTTTTAATTTTTATGAGATTTTCGTTTGTACTTTTCATTTCTTTTACCACTACGCTAACCAGGTATGAGGTTCGATCTTCGAGTTTTCCTTCCATTTCACTTGATCGCGTGCTCCGACACGGAAAACGACTAGTCGTTTGGATAGGACAAAAAAACAATGTCCACCCGTGTACAAATTCCAGTGGCAACGCATGGCATGGCAATGACCTATTCATTTCCCGATTGAAGAATAAAAGTAAGATGTGACTGAAACACCATTTACGGATAACATTTTCATCTTGGCCTTTTCTGAAAACTTATTAGTTTACTTTTGGATGATGGCGGCTACAATTTATATTATTAGTATTACGACATACCGGTGCTGTAAAGTATGATAACTTAAAATAATAATAATAAAAATGTTTTTCCATATGCTAATGTTAAACATATTTGATTATTCCCATCTTTTAATAAATTGCAGTGTCAATCAAGATCTGACAATATTTTCAAGAAGCAATTGAATGTCGTAAAATTAACGACCAATTTGGGATATCAATATCTTGCCACGTGACTCAAAATGGCAGGAAAATGAAATAATTTTTCAAAACATAACAAAATAAAATGTAACAACAAGAACCGTTGTCATGGATCCGGATGAATTGGCGAATATATTTTAATGCATTGCCATTTGTTTACTTCTGAAAGCATACAGTGAAGATATTGCTGTTGCTATTCGTTCTATTTCAGCCGACAGAGGCTAGGGACGGTGTCGGCGTCGATAGTTCGTTTTCTGGAACACCGGTAATCTGCAATGTCACGTGGATGTATAAATGGTGTAAGAACTAGGACTGTGAATATATCAACGTGTGATAACGGATATAGTCACCATTTAAACACTGAAACATTAACACAAAGCTACCCTATTGCTCTTCAAAGTGCCTTATTTTATCAAAATGGAAACGAGATCTAGAAATTTGGACAAAAACAAAGACATTCCAAGCAGACGAAAAGACATGGAAGATTCAAGTTTTGTTAATTCTGCCAAGGACAAGGGACCAGATGTTGCCGATGACAATATGCATGAGAAACATATGATTGAAATTGCTGGTAGAAAATTTCACAAAGTTATTTTAGTGACACACTTTAATGTTTTTTTGTATGCAACATGTTTCTGGATACAGCAGGGTGTTGTGCCAGTAAGTTTTGTAATTCTATACGTCATGTAGTTATATATGTTTTAGAAAGGGCCCAAAAAACAAGATAGCTAACAATAAAGGGATGTACAAGGTCCATGCTGTCACTGTTATGTACATGTAATCATGTCATTGGTATGGCTAATCCAAATAGGATAAATTGAAAGTAGTCTATTTTTAGTAATTGGGTTATTGTTTGAGACCTATATTTTGACATTCAACCTTGCTGCCCCCAACCATGGACCTTATAAGGTCCATGCCCGAATGAGCTCCTTTACAGAATGATATTTATTCTATGTGTGTAGATATAGATATGTCAGAAAAAAGTTACTTATAAACCCTGTTTACATTACAAATTTTAAGCGTGCCAGGCACAGCACAGTTACATTTTTTGTAGTGTTAACGGGTCAAACATAAGCGTGCTGTACTGAGTACCGTGCCAATTTGGCCTACTGCAGTAAGGTGGTCAAGGTACGGTGCCAGGCACGGCACGGTTAAATTTTCGTAGTGGTTCTCAGTACGGTTTACTGTGCATGTTCTGTCATCAGTTCTGTCAAATGGCTGCCCAAACTAAATCAATCGCCATAATTTTTCTGTGAAGAGTTCCACATTTGGTATATCTGGCACGTTTCTGAGACCGGTTATTTTAGAGTAATGTGAATGCGTCAATTTCTTAAATTTATTGCAGCCTGTGGTACTGTGCCGAGAACGGCACACTTATCACGGCCAAGTAAAAACAGGGCTATAGAGAGAGACTAATTGCAAACTAGAACCAATGATTTGCTTTTTGGTTGTACATGATTGGACATGTGGATAATGCTACTGATGATCGATGACTCATAGCATTAGTACTTTACACAGGAGACCTTGCAGTTAGACAGAAGTCAGAGTCCTTTTCTAGACTATGGGATCATTTTCTTGAACTTGGGTGCCAAGCTTTTACTCAGATTTGGCCTTTTTAAAGAATGAGAGAAAATGGGGAATAAAGTCCACTCAACACAAACTTGGTCATTTCGGGACCAACATATGGTTTAGTTTTATTTCAATAATTCGCTTGCACGCAGCGGTCTTTAGCAGTTGGAGGAAACCCGAGGACCCGGGGAAAACCCAAGAGTTTGGACAGGTGACCCTACTCTTTGTCACCTACAACTGGGGATTCGAAACCACACCAGTTGACTCAATGACAGGCCTTATGGTACACCGTGCATGTGCTAACCATTCGGCCATCCAACCCCCCCCCCCCCAGACTATTTAAAAAACATTTCAAGTTAGAGACAGCTGCCATACAAATATTTAGAAAATGTATAATTATAAATATGAATTTTTTAATATTTGTTCTCTTATTTCAGTATTTATCAGTGAAACTTGGCGTAGATCAAGTAACATTCGGTTATTTACAAACAGTTTTTGCCGTGGTGCAGCTGGCAGGGGGACCGTTATTTGGAAGATTTGGTGATTTGTATGGTAGTCGAGCAGCCATGAGTCTTGCGTTCATAGCCTGTGCATTGAACTATTTATTACTAGGATTTGCTACTAGCATTCCGCTATTGTTTATATCAAGATTACCGTCCTTATTCATGCACTGTATGCAAGGTAAGGAGTGAATTATGAAATGTTTGATATACAAACTTGGAGAGAGAGAGAGTAATGGAGTTAAGTGTTTACTTGAAACAAACTAAGTCATTTCAATTGATTGTTATGTAGTCTACTGGAGAGAGAGAGAGAGAGACAGAGAGAGAGAGAGAGAGAGAGAGACTTTCAGGACTAACATGTGGTTCAATTTTATTTCAATAAATCACTTGCGCGTAGGGTTTTTTAGTAGTGGGAGGAAACCGGAGAACCCAATCCAAAGAAAACCCACAAGGTTGGAAAGACGACTCTACTCCTTGTCACATACAAACTGGAAAAGGAAAGCATGCCGCTTGACTCAATGACAGACATTATGATCTAAAGCACATACATTAGACCATTAGACCTCCCCTCCCCCTTATATACTGATTTCCAAAAGAAAGTATACACACTAAAAGTATGACTAAGTTTTGTTTAGATTAAAAACATTTGATAAAGCATTACTGAGTTTGTCTCTTGCGTCCAAACTCAACATTTCTAAGCAAAATAAAAATGTGAAACAAATTGACATTCTACCCAAATACTGTATACCATGGAAAAAACGACTTTGGTTGATGCAGCACAAAATGCACAGTGTATACTTTCTTTTGGACATTAGTATACATGTACATGTAGATGTATGGAAACAGAGTTGTAAATTTTTTTATTGCAAGCTTTAAGAAACGGACATAATCAAACCATAAAGTTCAATGTATTTTAATGGGAACTGAAGCCTCCACAGGTCCAACAGCCAGATCTGTATTTACCTGGTAGGGTTGCCTGTCCAATCTCGTGGGTTTTCTCCGGGTCCTCCGCTTTCCTCCCACTGCTAAAGACCCCTACGCTCAAGCGAATTATTGAAATGAAATTAAACCATATGTTGGTCCTGAAATGACCTAGTTTGTGTCGAGTGGACGTTAAACCCTATTTCTCTCTCTCTCTCGGTATTTATCTGGTAGTATCAACACTCAACCACATCACCCTCTTCTCCACTCACACCAAGTTTTATTTGCTTACCCTGACAAGGATAGCTGTCTAGTCCTTCGGATGAGACGAAAAACCGAAAAGATCCCTTGGCAGTTGGAATTCGATATAAGAGTAGGCCGTAGTACCGCTGTCCGGGCAAAATTTCCCTCATAGCACACTGTATGGCGTATGCGCGTCTTCATTAGCCCAGGTTAGGAGCAGAACAGTAGGACGTTAAACTCCATTTCATTTCATTTATTTGCTTACAGCAGGGTCTAATAGCCCGTTCAGACCCTTAAGTTGAACTGGTTTAAAAACCCCGGGGATCGTTAAACCAGTTTAACTTATCCAGTTTAAACGCAAATGCGGGGCAAATAAACCAGTTTAAAAACCCCAGCTCACGTTCTATCTTCGAGAAGGCTTTTTATTTTAAACTGGTTCATCTTAGCCGTCTGAACGGGTTGGCTTAAAAACCCCGGCTCCAGCTTGCTTTGAGCATGCGCAGTACGCAGTAAGTCACATTCCTGTGAAAATATCGGGGTCAGACAGTGCCAATGTTATCGAAAGCGTGCGAGAAAAGAATAAAGAATATGAAGCTACCCATGTGTAGTTAACTCTAACCTCCGACCGAAGAGGTCAGAATAGTTAAACTTGTTTGGCTTATTGTACGTGTGAACGCAATACGATGCTGTCTTAAAAACCCCAGCGATTATGAACTGGTTTAAAAATAAGCATCTGAATGGGCTATATGAGTCCAGGAATGCTATGTGATCCTAAAAGAACAGCTAAACTTTAATTAAGAGTCATTATTGTACACAATGATATTCAATCTCAAATTGATTTTGTTATTTTAGGTGGTCAGATGATAGTCACTGATTTAGGTGATTCCCATCAAAGAGCTGATGCTATGGGTAAACTTGGTCTATCATATGGTGTTGGTATGGTAGTAGGACCATTAATAGGAGGAATTATTATCAAAACATTCAGGTAAAGTTGTTTTGTAATCCGTTGTTATGTAGTGAGAGAGAGAGAGAGAGAGAGAGAGAGAGAGAGAGAGTTTAACCTCCACTAGACATATGGTTCAATTTTATTTCAATGATTCGCTTGCGCGTGAGGGTCTTTGGCAGTGGAAGGAAACCGGAGGATTCGGAGAAAACCCACGAGGTTGGTCAGACGACCTTACTCCTTGTCATGTACAACCGGGAAATCGAAACCATGTGAGTTTACTCAATGACAGACCTTATGATACAACACGAATGTGCTAACCATTCGGCCATCCACTCCCCCCTGTTGTACGGGAACTAACCCAGTGATTTAAGATTCATATATGGGGGCTAAGGATGCAAAATAATGGTGATCAATCAGGATTATTGCAAAATGAATAATCACAATATCTTGGATTATTGTGATAAGATAATTTATCATGATGATTTAAATAATCATGCTTGACGGATTTATTATCACAATTATTAAAACTACGAAATTGATGCAGAATCCAAGTTTTCTGCAGCCAAATCATAATTGTGATTATGTTAAAAATAATCGTGATACAGCAATTATTGAGAGAGACGGTGATTATTTAATCACCTGACCCTATAACCATGAGACAATCCCAGGGTATCGCTGCATCCTTAATGGGAGCCATCGTTCCTTGGTGAGCATGCCATTGTCTCACTAACCAGAACGTCTTGGATTTGATCCCATGTTGGGGGTTTGGATGGCCGAATGGTTAGCACGTGCGTGCTGTATCATAAGGCCTGTCATTGAGTCAACTGGCGTGGTTTCGAATCACCGCTTGTACATGACAAAGAGTAGGGTCGCCTGTCCAACCTCGTGGGTTTTCTCCGGGTCCTCCGGTTTCCTCCCACTGCTAAAGACCCTATGCGCAAGCGAATTATTGAAATAAAATTAAACCATATGTTAAGTCCCAAAATGACCTAGTTTGTGTCGAGTGGACGTTAAACTCCATTTCTCTCTCTCTCTCTCTCTCTCGATCCCATGTTGACTGATCAGATTGTTCCTCAGGATTTTTCAGCATTATTTCCCTTTTGTCATTGGTGCAGTAGGGAGGATCTGTCAAGGAAAAACATCTTCAGGTAGTCCTTTGGATTGGGGGGGGGGGGGGGTGGATGGCTGAATGGTTAGCGTGCGCGCGCTGTATCATAAAGTCTGTCATTGAGTCGACTGGCGTGGTTTCGAATCCCCAGTTGTACGTGACAAGGAGTAGGGTCGCCTGTCCAACCTCGTGGGTTTTCTCTGGGTCCTCCGGTTTCCTCCCACTGCTAAAGAGCCCTACGCGCAAGCGAATTATGTAAATAAAATTAAACCATATGTTAGTCCCGAAATGACCTAGTTTGTGTCGAGTGGACGTTAAACCCCATTTCTCTCTCTCTCTCTCTCTCCCTTTGGATTGGACGAAAAACTGAGGGTCATCCGTCTACCCTTTACAGATGGAATTTAATGTAATTGTATAGCGGGTGGAAACGGCACTATCCAGGCAACTGCATGTAATAAGCCATGTCTGCATTTGCTTGGTTTGTGCAATAGTTAGTAACTCTATCTGGTTAATCTTCAAACTTATCCTATACAGAAGTAACCAACTCTCGATGGCTCCGCTATTTAGTAGATTTGAATATGTTTTGTGATTGATGAAATAACCGTAAAAATGGATAATCAAGACTTTGTTTACTATCGTATCGACGGTAGAAATGACAATCTAGGCTGGACTATAATTGTATCTAATGCCACTTTAAAGATATTTTATCTTATTGTAGTGAAGAGTCTGCAGCTTTTGTTGCCTGTGCTGGTTCATTAGCTAGTTTAGTGATGGTACAAACATTGATACCAGCTCATACAAAAAAACAACATATACGACAAAGTACAGATACAGGTATGTATTATATATACCATGCACTCTATCACTTCCAACATCGTATAGGATCGATACAATATCCCGTATTATACAGCATGTTGGAATACTCAATTGTCTCAATAACAGAAGTATTATTTCAATACACCTTCAGTTCATCCTGATTTTCCGGTGTGGTTCCCCCTTGTCAGCGATGCAGGACGGAGGGCCTGACAAGGACTGTCTAGTCCTTCGGATGAGACGAAAAACAGAGGTCCTGTGTATACATTGGAATGCACGTAAAAGATCCCTTGGCATTTGGAATTCTATATAATAGTAGGCGATAGTGCCGCTGCCCGGGCAAAATTTCCCTCATAGCACAGGGTATGGCCTATGCACGTAAAAGATCCCTTGGCAGTTGGAATTTGATATAAGTGTAGGCGATAGTGCCGCTGCCCGGGTAAAATTTCCCTCATAGCACACTGTATGGCGTATGCCTGTCTTCATTAGCCCAGCATAGGAGCAGAACAGTAGGACGTTAAACCCCATTTCATTTCATTTCATTTCAATACACCTTCAAATACCGAAAGTACATGTATTATTTCAATACACCTTCAAATACCGAAAGTATTATTTCAATACACCTTCAAATACCGAAAGTATTATTTCACTACACCTCAGAATACCCAGAACTTAAAATATGATATGGATAAACCTTTCTGTATATTCAAAACTTATTACATAAAATTAATACGTTTTTACATCGGACGCGTACAAACCACTTGTGGGTCATTTTGTTGATGTCTTCAAATTTAGAGTTCAAGTAAAATCGTTTCTTACTGTTTGTTATTTCACTATATCGATATGGATCAAGAGTGACAGGTTAGTTACTGAAGAGACGAGTATTGAAGTAAGAGAGAGAGAGAGGAATGGGTTTAACGGCCACTCGACACAAACTAGGTCATTTCAGGACTAACACATAGTTTATTTTTATTTCAATAATTCACTTGTGCGTAGGGGTTTTTAGCAGTGGGAGGAAACTGGAGGACCCGGAGAAAACCCACGAGGTTGGACAGGCGACCCTTGTCACTTACAACTATTGAAGTAAGAAGTGGTACCGATATCACTGCCTATTATAATTATTATAATATGGTTTCTTATATTTGTTTTATCAGTTTTTAACGAGGTTTTCTTTTGCTTTCAAAAAGTAATTTGTGTTGTATGGTGCTGCACTAATACAAGGACAGCTTACATAGTTACCGCGAGTTGCCATCTGACAACAATGCAAAGAATTATGGGTAATTCCTGTCCACACGGAACCATCTATTGAATACAGTGTATTTTACGCACCAAACTGATTATTGTAAAAGTATCTTAGGTTTGGAGTCCAGAGTAATCTTTCGTGTTCGTCCCTGGTTTTGGCCGCGAAAGTTCCTTAGGATTTTCAACATGGTTTTCCATGCCATTGGTGGATTATGGAGGGCCTGACAGAGAACAGTGTCTGGTGGTAAGGAAGGGACAAAAAACTGAGGTCCCTTGTTCACATTGGCGTTGACACTTGGAATTCGAAATAAATGTAGGCGTAGTGCTACCAATCTGGTTAAAGCACAGATCCTATTTCGTTTCGTTTTTATAGTTCAAAATTTCGTTTTACTTGCCTTTACTACACTTGGATCTGGAAGAGTTGTTCTTTAACTCGTGTTCTGAATGGTGTCAGGGATAAGCCAATGAAATGGTCTGTTACGGTGAGCTTTAGGCATGTGGGTAATCCACTAGTAACATCAATGCTGATTGGTTAATCAAATGTCTGATGTCATAGGTCGGTCTTTTGACCCCTGACGTGACCTATCACTATAACTTGTCAGATCTTCATGTAGTGTAGGCCATCGAAAGTATAAAAAAACGAAACGAAATATAGATCTGTATTATAATCAGATTGAAGTGGTACTGTCCAGGCATGATTTCCCTCATAGATTACTGTATGCCTGTCTTCATTAGCCAAGTCGGTGCAGAAAAGTAGGACATTAAACCCCATTTCATTTCGTTTGCAATCTTCCGACTTCTCATTTTTTTATAAATGATAGGAAATTGGTAACAGTCCACAACACATAATATTTTAATTGATTTACTATGTATGATTATCAATATATATTTCAGCACAAGCCAGTGATGTATTTAGTTTAAAGAAATTTATACATTTGATATTCATGCCGGGTGCTTTGTTTTTACTGTTGGTTAGAATGGGAACAGGTGAGAGAATATAATATTATCAGGAATTTGAGCAGGGGTGGGTCTAGGTTGGAGACAACATCAAGCTAAGCATGTGATCTAGCAGATTACCCAAGAATTTGATGAAAGGGACAATATTTCTGTTGATTTACGTCCATATTTAGAGTAGAGGGAGTCGGAAACGGCAGTAAAGCTTTGCACGTCCGTTTATGTTCGATGTTATGAATGTAGGAGAAACTAATATGATCTAATAAAAAGGTAAATGTGAACGCATAGTTACATATCGGTCACAACTCTATGGAATACATATTACAATCTGATTAAAACACAGATTCTATTTTGTTTCGTTTTTTATAGTTCAAAATTTCGTTTTACTTGTCTTTACTACACTAGAATCTGGAAGAGTTGTTATCATGGGTGCATGGAACTATGGGTATCCCACTAGAAACACCAATGCTGATTTGTTTATGGAATGTCTTATGTCATAGGGTCAAAAGCCAATGGTATGATCTCTGACGCGAACCCCCATTACAACTGCTCCGGTCTTCAAGTTTTCCGGCGTGGTTCTCCCTTGTCAGTGATGCAAGACGGAAGGCCTGACAAGGACAGCTGTCTAGTCATTTGGATGGGAAGAAAAAAACGAGGTCCGGTGTACACATTGGTGTGCACGTAAAAGATCCCTTGACAGAAGGAATTTGATATACATGTACTAGTGCCGCTGTCAGGTCAAAATTTCCCTCATAGCACACTGTATGGCGTATGCCCGTCTTTATTAGCCCAGTTCGGAGCCGAACAGTAGGACGTTTAACCCCATTTCATTTCATTTCATTTCGGTCTTCATGTAGTGGAGGACATCAGAAGTATAAAAAAACGAATTGAAATATAGATCTGTATTTTAAACAGATTGTGTTTATTACTGAGGGAGGCTTCAACTAGGCTTCTCTACATGCAGTCATTATCAAGCCTATTCAAGACATCGCTCAGTAATAAGCAGTAATTGTATTCCATAGAATTGTGACCTGTATATTCGACTTCAATTACTAAATGCCATTCAAACAATTTAGTTACATATCATGTAACAATGAGATTAAGAGATCTTATGTGGAATTGTATTTATTTTTTTTTTAGGTTTACCAATAGGAATATTTCAGAGTATGTTTAGTCGAGTTGCATTAGATGAATTTCATTTAGCTGCCGATCAGAATGGTTATTTAATGTCATATATTGGCGTCATGTCAATGGTAGGTTTCAAGAAAAAAAACCTTGTCTTTTTATATGCTCATACTAGACAGGGCCAGTTAATCTAAAAGGTGGTGTGACCCCAAATACATTGCAAAAACAGAATCCAATATGTGTTAACAATCGTATTCTTATTATTTAGGTAAACATTGTGAAAACAAGTGGCAAATAACTCAAGGGTTGGGGCATGTTCTCAGATACATTAGACAACATCATATTCAGATTTGACGAAAGTCGATCCCTGCGAAATACCGTAATTAAGTTAACCTTGCTCGTCTTTTTATATAGTTGTTCGGATGGGAAGGAAAACTGAGGACCCATGTACATATTGGCATGCACGTAATAGAACCCTTGGCACTTGGAATTCGATATAAGAGTAGGCTGTAGCGCTGCTGTCTGGGCAAAATTTCCCTCATAGCATACTGCATGGTGTATGTCTGTCTTCATTAGCCCAGTTTAGGAGCAGAACAGTAGGACAAGGGGAAGTCCTATTTCATTTTAAACAACTGACAAATATATTTTTAAAAGATACTACAAAACACAATCTGATTAAAACACAGATCCTATTTCGTTTCATTTTTTTATAGTTCAAAACTTTGTTTTACCTGTCTTCATGTAGTGGAGCCAATCAAAAGTATAAAAAAGCAAAAAAACAAATGAAATATAGATCATAACGTTATTATTACTAGGAGAAAATATTATTTTATATTAATAGATTGTACAAGGTGTAGGGGTTGGTATTTTAACAAAGAAATTTAGTGAAAATTCCATATTGAAAGCATCAACTATGATTTTAGTCTTTTCCTATTCTTTACTGGTAAGTAAATATTTCAGTTTATGTTAATCTCTGACTTAAATGACAATATTGGTGATATAAGAGATAAGGTGGCTATGAAGACCTGGTTATCCTGAATGTCAGTGACTAGTTTCATTCGTATTGAACTCTTCAGACTGATTGGACTCACGTGTTGGGCGTTTTTATTTATACTATTCCGAAACCCTGGTGGGGTTTCCATGGTTACTAATTGGTGAGGCTACCAGGGTTGGCCCCATGGCGGGGTTTGCTAATTTGTTACCGGGGTCGGTAGCTAGCTTACAAGGGTTGTACAGAGGTTTGACAAATTGGCGGGGTTCTGAATTTGTTACGGGGTCACTAGCTCGCTTACCAGGGTTGTACTGATCGTTTAGATTGAAGTGTTAGTGTCCATAATTTTGCTAACTAGGGTGCCTTGGGTTGGTTTGTAACAATGTTACTAGTCATAACAATGAAGGGATAGTATATAGACAAGGGTGTTGATGTAACACCCTTGAGAGGGGTGTAAGGCTAAATATAAATCCAAAGTTGGAACACTCAGGGGTAGAGCATTGTGATACAAAAATAAAAATGGTTGGACAATATTGGTGTCAGCTATTATCACATATGTGACAGAACTGGTTAAACACATTCCAAATATAATTTTAACACAGAGATCATTACTACGATAGATGCATAACAAAGATTTGAAGAATCAGAAGTGACGAAAGCAAAAGGAAAACAAGAGTTATCCTTCTATATAACTGACTGAAGTGACGAGTGATAACAGATACACAGGCGAATTTCTCCTCACTGATAAACCTTCAAAGACAAAAAGTTATGTGAGACTGTGAGAGGATATCTGACAATTTATAAAAAGAACTGACTGTCACTAGATAAAAGGAAAGGAAAATTTTCAGTTTGTTCTTAAAAACAAAAAGACATGACTCTAGGCGTGTAATATATATGTATAATTTCAGTCTTTTGTAAGTAATGTATGGCAGCTATGTTTAGTTTGTTTACCACTAGTTATTGGTTTAACTACACAGAATGTTGTTATAACCAGTGCTCTAACTAGAACAGTCAGTGAGGCTGATACAGGTGAGTTATATTGTTGTTTTAACTACCCAGAATGTTGTTATAACTAATGCACTAACTAGAACAGTCAGCGAGGCTGATACAGGTGAGTTATATTGTTGGTTTAACTACACAGAATGTTGTTATAATGAGTACTCTAACAAGAACAGTCAGTGAGGCTGATACAGGTGGGTTATATTGTTGTTTTAACTATGAAGAATGTTTTTATAATGAGTGCACTAACTAGAACAGTCAGCGAGGTTGATACAGGTGTATTGCTAACCTACAGGGGGGGTTGGATGGCCGAATGGTTAGCATGTGCGCGCTGTATCATAAGGCCTGTCATTGAGTGAACTGGCGTGGTTTCGAATCCTGGTTGTACGTGACAAGGAGTAGGGTCTCCTGTCCAACCTTGTGGGTTTTCTCCGGGTCCTCCAGTTTCCTCCCACTGCTAAAGACCCCTACGCGCAAGCGAATTATTGAAATAAAATTAAACCATATGTCAGTCCCGAAATGACCTAGTTTGTGTTGAGTGGACGTTAACCCCATTTCTGTCTGTCTGTTAACCTACAGAAATTTCAGGAAATTGTTGATAAAAACGGTGGTTGTCTCTGCTGCATGCTGTTTTTTGATGGTGATAGTCTCTCAGTTGATGACATGAGTTAGAACGTCTAAAAGTGTAGGTTAAGAAATTTCATTGTTCAAATGTATAAGCGACTTAATAATCCTGACAATCACTTACCTTGGTCATCCAGGTGGGAATTAAGCTACATTAGTTTATTGATGTTAAACATACATTATGCAAGAGCTAAATCTGACTATTGCAGGTCTTTATTAAGGCCTGACATGTTATCTAAATTATTAATTAGACATTAATTAACTTATCCAGATCATAATCAACTCTTGATGTCATCGTAAGCCTGTGATATTTAATGGATTAGAATCATATCTGCTGCACAACGCTCATTGATAATTAAATAAAAAATGGATAATCGAGACTAAGTTATTTTATTGTACGACTTTAGTAATGACGATCGAGGCTAGGCCAAAAATTCAATCACTTAATTCTCGGTTCAGAGTGGATCGATTTGATTGAATTGCCAGCTCTTTATCTAATCTCCCATAATTTATCCTTAAAGTAGCTAAGTCTCTAACTCAGTATCATCCAAAATCTTCGACATTGAAAACACGAATTATTTGTCAATTTAAATCAACATTGATGTTGTAATCTTACGGGGAAAAGATGGGCTTCTGATATCCAATAATTAAGACAAAATAAACAATTTACCGTTGGGACTCGTAGAAAGAGGCTAGATATATTCCACAATTCATGTCAAACAGTGACGTCATATTCTTATTGGATTGAGACTTCTGGCGTATTTCGCCGAACATAACTGATTAGAAATTGCAGTAAAAACAGAAACGATTGAATGTTAATCAGTTTATATACATTCACATCATATTATTATATACGTTGCGACCCATTTATGTCAATTTCTAGATCCAAAATATTAGCGATTTAGCTCCTTTAAGTTTCTATTCTCCTCGTGCAATATATCAAAATTTTCAGGTCTACTCAAACATAAAAAATAATCTAATAATGTTTTGTTGGTTTGTTTCAGGTGCTATGATTGGTTTAAATATGGCTGTCAATTCGTTAGTACGAACCGTCTCACCAACTATAGGAGGATACATGTTTGCAGCATACGGTTTTCCATCATTCGGTTATTTTGGCTCAGTAGTGTGTTTTATTGTTACGTTGGTTCTATTTTGGAAGATCTAATATTTCTATCAGCAATTCGTTAAATTGTCCTACAGGTAATACATGGGACACAATTCTATGGAATACAACTGTTTATTACTGAGCGATGGTTTCAATAAGGCTTCTCTCATCTTGATCAGGCAACGATCAGATGTGATGGGACATTATTAATAATTACAAGTCTTTATTTAATGAGAAGGCCTTATCTTTGAGTAATTCTAGTATTTCTATCAGAAAATTGTTAAATTGTTGGAATGGCTGGAAGTGCATAAGAAATATTCAGCAAGTTGTTAATGGTAAATCTTTGATTAATGGGATGGCCTTAATCTGATTAAAATACAGATCTATATTTCGTTTTGTTTTTTTATATTTTTGATGACCTACACAACATGAAGATCTGACCGGTTGTAGTGGAAGGTCGCGTCAGGGGTGGCACAAGCGACTTTTTACTCTATGGTGTCAGACATTGATTAATCAATCAGCGTTCATGTTTCTGGTGGTTTACCCACAGTTCCATGCATGGAATGCTAAGAAGTCGCCGTAACAGATAGTTTTATTGTCTGATACCTCACACCATCCAGAACGCATGTTATATAACAACTCTTCCAGATCCCTGTGTAGTACAGACAAATAAAGTGAAATTTTAAACTATAAAAAACGAAACGAAATAGGTTCTGAGTTTTAACCAGATTGGGAAAGCCTTATCTTTTAGAAGATCTAGTATTTCTATCGGCAAATGGTTAATGTTATATCTTTGTTAAATGGGAAGGCCTTTTTGTTTGGTAAATCTAGTATTTCTATCAACAAATCGTTAATGTTAAGTCTTTGTCTAAAGGGAAGGCCGTATCTTTTGGTAAATCGAGTATTTCTATCAGCCAATTGTTAATGTTATATCTTTGTTTAAAGGGAAGGTCGTATCTTTTGGTAAATCTAGTATTTCTATCAGCAAATCGTTAATGTTAAAACTTTGTTAAATGGGAAAGCCTTATCTTAGTAATTAGAACATTTTGAAGGAGAATATAAATGTTGAAAAGGTGATTAGTTAGGCCATATAAAAAATATACTGGTTCCGAGATACTCTGTATCTTATTCGGTATAGTAACAGTGTGTAACAATTAGAGAATATATCTTGAGATATATTGGATATATCTGTTATCAGGTATAATATGTGACCAGCTCTGGCTAAAGGATATACATGTCACACGGCATTGAATTTCAATTCATTTATAGAAGTGTTATGGGACGAAAATTCTGAATTTAAGATTTCTGTGAAAATACATCACATAATGTCTCTAGGTTCATGTCCCAAAATCATAAGTAGGTAAAAAGTAGCAATTAATCAGCCGTATGCATCAACACACTGCTTTTTTAGGTGTTTTTGCGGTACCATATCGAACGAACCACCAGGACTTTCACAACAAACCTTCAGAATTAAAAGTAGAATTGTAATATATCAATAACTCAGTGTTCATTTTTTGATCCATGAGGATCCTTTAATCAGAGCTGGACACATATAATATGCAACTGACCAGGGGCGTATCCAGGAATTTGAGGAGAGTGGGTCCGAGATTACCCGATAATTTGATAAAATCAGAAGCTCTGAGACAATATTTCTGCTCATTTAGGTTGATAGGATTACAGTGGAGAGAGACCAAAATGTTGGCATTATATGCACCTCTCACCTGAGCTAAAGTAAGGTGTAATATATGCACCTCTCACCTGAGCTAAAGTAAGGTGTAATATATGCACCTCTCACCTGAGCTAAAGTAAGGTGTAATATATGCACCTCTCACCTGAGCTAAAGTAAGGTGTAATATTTATTACACCTCTCACCTGAGCTAAAGTAAGGTGTAATATATGCACCTCTCACCTGAGCTAAAGTAAGGTGTAATATATGCACTTCTCACCTGAGCTAAAGTAAGGTGTAATATATGCACCTCTCACCTGAGCTAAAATATCTGTTATAAGGTGTAATATATGCACCTTTCACCTGAGCTAAAGTAAGGTGTAATATATGCACCTCTCACCTGAGCTAAAATATCTGTTATAAGGTGTAACATATGCACCGCTCACCTGAGCTAAAATATCTGTCATAAGGTGTAATATATGCACTTCTTACCTGAGCTAAAGTAAGGTGTAATATATATACCTATCACCTGAGCTAAAATATCTGTTATAAGGTGTAACATATGCACCTCTTACCTGAGCTAAAATATCTGTTATATAGGGTGCAATATATGCACCTCTCACCTGAGCTAAAATATCAGTTTATAGGTGTAATTTTTTACCCTCTCACCCGAGCTAAATGTCTGTTAATTTGAATGTAAAACTATATTTATTCATTGAAGTTTTTATTTTATTATTAACAATAAATTTTGTTGTATTTTTTTTATAACTTTATGTATATGCATTTATTTAATCTAGATTAAAATAAATTTAACTTTAATTTCTATTTTTTTATTTATTTTTTTTTATTGTTTTCCACTTTTTGTTATAAAAATAGCATTGCCAAGCTGAAAAATCCCTTAGGATCATACCCCCGGACCTCCTGGTAAGTGAGCTAGCTCCTTACACCAAGGGAGGGGGAGAGGGTTGGATGGCCGAATGGTTAGCCCGTACGCATTGTATCATAAGGTCTGTCATTGAGTCAACTGGTGTGGTGTCGATCCCCCGGGTTGTACGTGGCAAGGAGTCGCCTGTCCAATCTCGTGGGTTTACTCTGGGTTCTCCTGGTTTCCTCTCACTGCTAAAGACTCCTACGTGCAAGTGAATTATTGAAATAAAATTACACCATGTTAGTCCCGAGATGACTTAGTTTGTGTCGAGTGGACCTTAAACCCCATTTCATACCATAATAGGATCATAGAAGTGGCATAGATAAAATCCTACATAGCCACATTCTTCATATAAGTCTCACTATCCAGCATTCGAGTTAGATTCAACTGCAAGGGAAGACAACTCTGTTTGTGAGAGTGACACAGTCAGGGCTTGAGAGAACCTGTAATATGTAGACCACAAGGAAAGTTGTTCATGCTGCCTCTTAATTCAAAACAAGTTTTATTTTTCTAAAATGCACTACTAACTCTGCCTCGCCATTAAATTTTGAAATTGGATACCATTCTTGATTATACCCTAATGAACAATCCTATCAAGTTTTACCCGGATGAGTAAGACATTGGCTCATTTACCTGGTGCAGGACTGAGGGCTTGGCAAGGGACAATATATAGTCATTTGGATGGGATGAAAAGCCAAGGTCCTGTGTACACATTGATGTGCACGTAAATGATCCCTTGGCAGATGGAATTTCAGTTCATTTCATTTACTCTGATGGCAGACAGCAGGGTCAATCTGATTAAAATACAGATCTATTTTTCGTTTCGTTTTTTTATACTTTTGATGGCCTACACTACATCAAGATCTGAAAAGTTATAGCTATAGGTCACATCCATTCTCCACACAAGTCTCGATATCCAGCATTCGACTCTGCCGTAGGCTCGCGCACTACACCAGTTGACCTAGAGGTCATTGGTCACGTGATTAACTACATGATGAAAATGGCATCTGTCAGAAAAGTTCCTGGCGTTATAAACACTTGATGAGTTTTACTCAATTTTGTCATTAAATACTACCCCTCCGAAAGAAAACAGTCTAATTTTGCATATTTCGTGTGTAAATGTATTAGGCCTTACGATCGCGTTATAAAGGTAAACAGATCCACATGTATTATATTCTAAAATTAGCACGGCGACATGCGCAGTTTGTATTTACGACCATTGAACCCTGTAATCTTACGCGAAAGAGTTCCCTGTATATTTTTAAATACTTTATTATTTTGCAATAAATATGACCACATTTCTATTTTAATATAGTAATGGTAACAAATGTATTATTAGTTATTTGGTATTCATCGTATCGTTTATCATTGTCTATCATCACCAAGAATCTTGGTGGCGTAATCAAATGAGCCGTTAGCAGAGGTTAGTGTGAACTGCAAGGGAAGACAACTCTGTTTGGGAGATTGGGTCACATCAGGGGTCAAAAGACCGACTTATGACCCAATGACATCAGACATTTGATTAACCAATCAGCATTGATGTTACTAGTGGATTACCCACAGTTCCGTGAAAAACACGCCTAAAGATCGCCGTAACAGACCGTTCCATTGGCTTATCCCTGACAGCATTCAGAACACGAGTTAAATAACAACTCTTCCAGATCCAAGTGTAGTAAAGACAAGTAAAACGAAATTTTGAACTATAAAAACGAAACGAAATAGGATCTGTGTTTTAACCAGATTGACAGCAGGGCCTAAAATAACGTGCCTTGGAGCACGAACGTGCTTAGAAATGAAGAATCTGTGCTTCAAGAATAAGAAACCTGTCCTTCAGGAATAAGAAACCTGTGGGACCTTGATCGTCATTTCATTTTCACTCTGAAAATTATTTTTTTTGACATAATTTTCAAGAATTTGCGCAATAAATTTCAGCTCCGAATTTTCAAAATTTTCTGGGGGGAGACCACCCTACCCCCCACCGGCGCTTGCGGGCGGTCGGCTTTGCAAACACAGAATCCGTACTACGAGAATTTAATCTTATTTTAGGCCCTGGCGAACAGAGGTTATAACAATATACATCCACATTACATATAGGCATTTAACAAAACAACTGAAAACTTAACAACATTTATTAACAAACTATTTCACTCTATATAAATATATCCATATTAAAAATCTTATTGTTTAACAAAACTCATTCATACTGGCATTCACGTCTTCATTAGCCCAATCAGACCAGAACAGTAGGATGTTAAACCCCATTTCATTTCATTCTTAAACATGCATTACGCAAAGCTAAATCTTCCTATTGCAGGTCTTTCTTTAAGCCTTAAATGTTATATTATTATAAATTATTAATTAGACATTGATTAACTTACGAAGACAATAATCAACTCTCGATGCCATCGGATGGCTCTGATATTTAGTAAGATTTAAATATGTTTTGCAGTTGCTGATTTAACGTAAAAATGGATAATCGAGACTCATAACAATGGTAGCAATCAGAGTGAAGTAATTTGTCAGTTAAAATTTCAATATATTTCCTTTTTCATTATCTATTTTTGAACTATTACAGTGAAAAACTGTCAGCTCTTTATTTAATCTTACATAATGGCCCTTTAATAAATATTACCTTATTAAGCCAACCCAGTTTTTTTTTTACTTCTTCAGAGAATGGGGGGTTGGATGGCCGAATGGTTAGCACGTGTGTGCTGTATCATAAAGCCTGTCATTGAGTCAACTGGCGTGGTTTCGAATCCCTGGTTGTACGTGACAAGAAGTTGGGTCGCCTGTCCAATCTCGTGGGTTTTCTCCAGGTCCTCCGGTTTCCTCCCACTGCTAAAGACCCCTACGCGCAGACGAATTATTGAAATAAAATTAAACCATATGTTAGTCCCGAAATGACCTAGTTTGTGTCAAGTGGACATTAAACCCCATTTCTCTCTTTCTCTCTCTTCAGAGAATTGATAAATATAAATATAGCCATTTGAGTCTGATGAACAATGTCTTAAACACATACATTATGCAAGAGCTAAATCTGCATATTACAGGTCTTTCTTTAGGCTTTAAATGTTATCTAAATTATTAATTAGACATTATTTAACTTATCAAGGCCATAATCAACTCTTGATGCCATCGGATATCTCCGATATTTTGCGGATTTGAATAAGTTTTGTGATAGATAATCTAATGGAAAAAGAGATAATCGAGACTTTGCTTTTATTGTGCCTAAAATTGAATGCTAATATCTAGGTTCACAGTGAAGCAATTTGACTGAAATTTTCAGCATATTCTGTTTTCTTTATCTATTTTTTAACTATCATAGCGATAAATGTCAGCTTTTTATCTAATCTTACCTAATGTCCCTTAATTAAAATTTCAAAACATAAAAATTTGAACTAAAAGCCTTTGAGAACAGAAACCAAGTACTTTTGTATTTTAATTAGATTTTCTCCAAAAGAAATAGGAATCAAAATGAAGAGAGAGAGAGAGAGAGAGAAATGGGGTTTAACGTCCACTCGACACAAACTAGGTCATTTCGGGACTAACATATGGTTTAATTTTATTTCAATAATTCGCTTGCGCATAGGGGTCTTTAGCAGTGGGAGGAAACCGGAGGACCCGGAGAAAACCCACGAGGTTGGACAGGCGACCCTACTCCTTGTCACGTACAACCGGGGATTCGAAACCACGCCAGTCGACTCAATGACAGACTTTATGATACAGCGCGCGAACGCTAACCATTCAGCCATCCAACCCCCCAAGGCCCTATGGAAGCTAGAACAAGTCCAAATCTGCATCTGTTGATGAATTATCTGTGATATATTTCATAATATCATCATTTGACAGGTCAATGGTTTCGGAACCTTTTGTTTTCAATTCTGAAGATTTCGCATCATTGGGATTATCTTCCTTTACGTTTGGTTTTGAGGGTAATGGTGGCTTTGGTTTGGTTGTCAATGGTTTCGGTTTGACAGGTACGTCGGGTTTATTTGAAAATTGTTTTGATTTTGGCGGGATTTCTGGTTTCGATTTTCTTGGGGCAGGAACGGGTCTAAATTTTGGAGTTTCTTCTTTGGTTTCTGTTTCAACTTTTGGATCTTTCGTCTTCTTGACTTTTAGAGACAATAATTCATCTAAATCATCCTCTATTCTGTAAAATCAAATAGAAAAAGAATTACAAATAGGAGAAAATTAATACAAAAGTTCTTCTCATCTGGAAGCATGCAGGTACTTGGGGTATAAGTACTTGTATGAATATCGGATACTGAATATTGGATATTATCACCCAATAATACATTCTACAGTAGATATCGCTTGTGTGATATATTTCATAATCTCCTTAGGAGATATCGCCTTACATGAATTTGATTGGTCAGTTGAAAAGGAACTACTTTTTTTTATTTTCAAAGAACAGTTCATTTCTTATTAAAAATATTTTTTTTTTAAATTAAAAATGAACTATTGTTATTCAATTGACCTTGATTGAAACACTGGGTCAATATAAAGGACTTTGCAATGGTTGAATTGCTGTCAAAAAATGATGTATCACTATGCCGTAATGTTCAGTAAAAGTGAAATCTACAGTAAAGAATTATATTTATCTATTTGTGCATGTAAGAAGGGATTGGGTGATAAATAAAATCTCCTACTCGTCTTTTTTGATATCAAAAAATATCAACACTCGTTGATAAAGTAAAACTTGTGTTGATATTTCTTGATATCAAAAAAGACTGGTAGGAGATTCTCTATTTATATATCACAGAGGAAATGAAATGAAATGGGGTTTAACGTCCTACTGTTCTGCTCCTATGATGGGCTAATGAAGACGGGCATACACCATACAGTGTGCTATGAGGGAAATTTTGCCCGGGCAGCGGCACTATCACCTACTCTTATATCGAATTCCAACTGCCAAGGGATCTTTTACGTGCATTCCAATGTATACACAGGACCTCGGTTTTTCGTATCATCCAAAGGACTAGACAGCTGTCCTTGTCAGGCCCCCCGTCCTGCATCACTGACGAGGGGAAACCACGCTGGAAAATCTGGATGAACTTTCTCGGCCAATGCAGGGATCGAACACCCGACCTCCAGGCTAGCAAGCCAGCGTCTTACCCATTTAGCCACGTGATCCCCCATATCACAGAGGAAATTAATACAAAGGTTATTCTCTTCTGGGTGCATGCAGGTACTTGGGGGTATATGTACTTGTATGGATATTGGATATTATATATCACAGAATAACAAATGGGAGGAAATTAATACAAAGGTTAGTCTTATCTGGGAGCATGCAGGTACTTGGGGTATATGTACTTATATGGATATTAGATACTGGGTATTGGATATTATAAATGTGGTTTAAAGATACATTCTCACAAAAGTATTTATAGGGTAGTTATTTCCAATAACGAACATGCGACCTCCAAGCTAGCGAGCCAACACCTTAATCACTTAGCCACCGTGGCTCCGTCAAAGACAGCAGCACTTAGACCAACTCTTATTTGGATTTCCAAGTGTTATTTCAAGTACAAACTTGAGCAATTCCAAGTGTAATTTCAAGGACACACTTGAGTAATTCCAAGTATTATTTCAAGAAAATATTTGAGTAATTCTAAGTGTTATTCCAAGGACATACTTGAGTAATTCCAAGTGTTATTTCAAGGACATACTTGAGTAATTCTGAGATTTCTTTATCCTCTGGTGTTTCTTCTCTTGTTGATGTTTTTTTGTCTACTATGGCGGACGGCAAAAACAGATCTTCTGCTTCACCAGCCGCAACTCCACCACCAAGATCAGGTTCTTCAAACATTCCCACGCCCTCTATAAATATAATGAAATATATTAATTAGACATTTATTAACATGACAGAACCTTAATCAACTCTCGATGCCATTGAATGGCTCTGATTTTAAGTAGATTAGAAGGGTTCAGCCTTTTAATTATTTACTTTAAAAATGGAGAAGCGGAGAGAGAGAGAGAGATAGAAATGGAGTTTAACGTCCACTCTACACAAACTAGGTCATTTCGGGACTAACATATGGTTTAATTTTATTTACATAATTCGCTTGCGTGTAGGGGTCTTTAGCAGTGGGAGGAAACCGGAGGACCCGGAGAAAACCCACGAGGTTGGACAGGCGACCCTACTCCTTGTCACGTACAACCGGGGATTCAAAACCACGCCAGTTGACTCAATGACAGACTTTATGATACAGCGCGCGCATGCTAACCATCTTGTCAAAACTACAACTATTGACAACTTCGCTCAAAATAAAGTAATTTGAATCAAATTTTCAACAGATTCATTTTACATTATCTATTTTTGAAATATCATATTGAGAACGGTCAGTTCTTGATCTAAATCTTACATAATGCCTCTTTAAATTCTTTAAAATGCCTATGGCATGTAAATTAACAGACAGGCAGGTTTTCCAGCAGGTCAATTTTACTGCCATTAAAGATACACTATGGGAGATTAGATAAAGAGCTGACAGTTCTCACTATGATAGTTAAAAACTAGATAATGTAAAGGGGATATGCTGAAAACTTCAGTCAAATTGATCCACTATGAACCGAGATATCAGTTTTGTAAATTTCCGCCTAGCCTCGTTCATCATTACTAAAGTTAGTACGTTAAAAAGCATAGTCTCGATTATCCATTGTTTTGATTTAATTATCAATGAGCGTTTGCAGTATATAGGATTCTAATCCAGTCGATATCGAAGGCTTGCCTTGACATCGAGAGTTGATTATGGTCTGGATAAGTTAATTAATGTCTAATTAATAATTTAGATAACATTTCAGGCCTAAAAAAAGACCTGCGGTAGGCAGATTTAGCTCTTGCATAATGCAGATATGGCTGAAAGTAGAGCTCCGGCCTCTAGTTCACAAAGCAATCTCAGACTTAAGTTAAGAATTTACTCAAAATCGTTCGCCTTATTTTAAATAAAATATAGCCCTTTATAAAATAATGTCTGTTTCTCATAAACAGTGATTGAAAGGTGAGTAAATTCTTAACTGAAGTCTGAGAATGCTTTGTGAACGCGGGGGCTGGGTTGGACAATTCTGCTAAAGAGAATAGGCTGGACAATCCTACTATAGAGAATAGTCTGGACAATCCTGCTATAGAGAATAGGCTGGACAATACTGCTATAGAGATCGACTGAACAATCCTGCTATAGAGAATAGACTGGACAATCTTGCTATAGAGAATAGACTGGACAATCCTGCTAAAGAGAATTGGCTATACCTGTTCTAGATGTTGGACTATTGAATAAATCATCAAGTTTGTCATCTTTTTCACCTTCTTCTTCTATAAACAATTCATTATCAGCTTCATCTTCATCAAATACACCAGTAGATTCTCTGTACAATACAATACAATACAATACAATACAATATAATATACTAGCAGAATGCCCGGCTTCGCTCGGGGTTCATAACTCCGAAATCAGAAGTGGTAGACTAACACCACCTGGCCTATGTTACTCCCCGGTCCCGAACAGACAGACAAACGACAGTCACAAATATTAGTATAGATCATGTGGGAACAAGTCTCTGGACCTCAAGTCCGAGTCGGGCCCCAAGTTGCTGCACAAAGACCGAGTCTCAATCGAGCCGCCAGTTCATCAAATGAGTCAGCAATTCATGGCGAATAACGTAAGTTAGAGTTGCCCAGCCTGAGTGGAGTCTCAAGTCGTAAATAATATTTCAAGATGAGTCTCAAGTCGGGTCATTGATGTGACTTAAGTCGAGCTGGAGTCCGAGTCACACGACTTGAGTTCCCACCTCTAGTAAAGAGTAACGAATTCAATGTTGTGGGCAAAAAACAAGCTTGGAAATAAAGCACCTGCCATTGACAATGTCAGGTACAAATTCAGGCTTTGTCAGGTAATAAATATATTTAATGCCAGTGAAAATAATTTTTCTTTGCATGCCGAAAAGTAATAAATGAATATGTAATGTTAATTAATTATGTTGAAATGGTAATTAAATATTGAGTAATGCGTAACCGTAATTAATGGTAGGTCTAAATAATTATTTTTCAAAGTAATGGTTAACGGTAATTAATTTTTTATTAATGGTAAATAATTATTTTTAAAGTAATGGTAAATAATTATTTTTAAAATAAGGGGTATCAGTAATTCATTTTAAAGTAATAGTAATTAATTTTTATTGAAAGTAATGGTAATTTTTTTTAAAAGTAATGGGTAAGTAATTAATTAGTTTTGAAAGTAATGGATAACAGTAATTAATTTTAAAGTAATGGTAATTAATTATTTTTAAAAGTAAATGGGTAATGGTAATTAATTTTAAAGTATTGAGTAATGGTAATTAAGTAATGGGTAACAGTCATGGATAATGGTAATCTTAAAGTAGGCTAAGTAATGTTATTCAATTATTTTTATAAGTAATTGGTAAAAGTCATGGGTAATGGTAATTAATTTTAAAGTAATGGTAATTAATTTATTTGAAAGTAAATGGGTTATGGTAATTAATTTTAAAAGTAGTGAGTAATTATAATTGAGTAATTGTTAAAAGTCATGGGTAATGGTAATTAATTTTAAAGTAATGGTAATTCATTATTTTTGAAATTAATGGGTAATGGTAATTAATTTGAAAGTAATGATAATTACATACTTTTAAACAAAGGGGTAATTACTTTTAAAGTAATTGAAATCAATTATTTTTGAAAGTAAATGGGTAATGATAATTAATTTTAAAGTAGTGAGTAATGGTAATTAATTATTTTTAAAAGTTATGGTTAATGGTAATTAATTTTTTAAAGTAATGGTTAGTAATTACTTTTAAAGAAATGGGTAATGTTAAACATGCATTATGCAAGAGCAAAATCTGCTCATTACAAGTCTTTCTTTAGGCCTGAAATGTTATCTAAATTATCAATTAGACATTAATTAACTTATCCAGACCATAATAAACTCTCGATGTCAAGGCTAGCCTTCGATGTTGGTTGGATTAGATTCCTATATGCCGCTAACGGCCATTGATAATTAAATAAAAAAGTGGATAATAGAGACTATGCTGTTTATATTAATGACTTTAGTAATGATGACTGAGACTATGCAAAAAATTCATCCGCTTCTTTCTCGGCTCATAGTGGATCAATTTGACTGAAATTTTCAGCAAATGACCTTTACACTATCTAGTTTTTAACTATTATAGCGAGAACTGCCATCTCTTTATCTTATCTCCCATAATGTATCTTTAATTAATAACATTGCTGAAAATTCAACAAAGTAAAAGTCATATTGTTATAGATGTTTTGCTTCCTCACATATAATAACATACTTTTCTTCTTCCTTTGTTTCCTTATCATCTTTCTCCTTGTCTTCATCTACTTTCTCATCCTCTTGTTGGAATTTACCAGCTTTGGATGAACTCACACCTAAACAAATTAAATGAAATGGGGTTTAAACTCCTACTTCTCTGGGGGATCACGTGGCTAAGTGGGTAAGACGCTGGCTCGCTAGCCTGGAGGTCGGGTGTTCGATCCCTGCATTGGCCGAGAAAGTTCATCCAGATTTTCCGGCATGGTTCCCCCTTGTCAGTGATGCAGGACGGAGGGCCTGACAAGGACAGCTGTCTAGTCCTTCGGAAGAGACGAAAAACCGAGGTTCCGTGTATACATTGGAATGCACGTAAAAGATCCCTTGGCAGTTGAAATTCGATATAAGAGTAGGTGATAGTGCCGCTGCCTGGGCAAAATTTCCCTCATAGCACACTGTATGGCGTATGCCCGTCTTCATTAGCCCAGTATAGGAGCAGAACAGTAGGACGTTAAACCCCATTTCATTTCATTTCATTTCCTACTTCTCTGCACTAACCCATCCTCAGTATCCTCAGTGGTCTCATTCCGTGCTACTCCACTATACCCTGGATTAATCTATGGGGGATTCAAGAATTCAAATTATCTGCCCTTGATCGTAGCTTGAGTCTGCAGTTAACAAACCAGTCTTAGCCGCGTTGTTTACGTTCACAACAATATGCTGAGATAACCTGACACACTATAAGCTAGCACACTACAAGGATATTCACCACATGTTAAGCAGAAATTAACCTGGCACTGTAAGAAATTCGCTGGACGACCGTGACTGCAATGAAATCACATGATTGGTATAGTTAATCCGAGCCTTCGACAAACAACATAAATTGAAAGTAGAGTCTAGTATTAGTAATTAGGTTACCATGGACAGCGATTTCTTTTGAGAGAGAGAGAGAGAGAGAGAGAGAGAGAGAGGGAGGGTTTAATGTCCACTCGACAAAAATTAGGTCATTTTGAGACTAACAGGGTTTCATTTTATTTCAATAATTCGTTTGCGTGTAGGGGTCTTTAGCAGTAGGAGGTAACTGGAGGACCCAGAAAAAACCCACGAGGGTGGAAAGGCGTCCCTACTCATTGTCGCGTACAACCGGGGAATCAAAACCATGCCAGTTGACTCAATGACAGACCTTATGATACAGCGCACACGTGCTAACCATTCGGCCATCCAATCCCCCCTTTTGGACAAAAGAACCACAACTAAATTAAATGATATGGGTTTAACGTTGAACCTCTTACTTTCCTGCATTAACCATGCTAATAAAGATAGGTATATCTATTTTGCCCAGATAGCGACGCTATGTGGCCTACTCTAAACAAATTTGAGTGCCATGGTGGCTATATGAGTAAGACGCTGGCTCACTAGCCTGGAGGTCACAGGTTCGATCCTGGTGTTGGTCAGAAAGTTTATCAGGATTTTTCCTGCGTGGTTTTACCTTGTCAGTGGTGCAAGACAGAGGGCCTGACAAGGACAGCTGTCTAGTCGTCCGGATGGGAAGAAAAGTATGAAAACCTAAGTCCTAAGGTCCTGTGAATACATTGGCATGCACGTAAAAGATTCCTTGGCAGTTGGAATTTGATATAAGAGTAGGCCATAGTGCTGCTGCTCAGGCAAAATTTCCCTTATAGCACACTGAATGGTGTATGCGCATATTCATTAGTCCTGTCGAAGCAGAACAGTAGGACGTTAAATCCCATTTCATTTCATTTCCATTGAAATATTTTACATTTATACTGTAAATCTGAATACAAATTAACAGAGGCAGATCCAGAAAATTCAGACCTCCATGACATTTCGCCAGTGGCGACAGCACAAGGCCCACAACGGAAGGGTTTGGGTGGCCTCCACTTTAAAATTTGAAAAAAATAGAATGCTGTTGATGCCATTTCTGACCATTTTGGGCCCTGGTTCCCCCAAATTGAGCCCGGGCATACTAGTACCTAAAAATTCCAAGAAGGCTGGCGATGTAACAACCTTTGGGATGACTGCAATAAATTTCATAAAATGTTCCAAGCCATTTCTTCTTTCTTTTATTATTGCATCCGATTTCATTAATACTTTTCGTGGTAAAGGTGGGAGTGCGGTTCCTGAAAACTTCTCGTTTAATTTCTTATGTAGATCATTAAAATCGTCAAACTTTTTACCAATCTGTAAAACATAGAACAATATTTAAGACAAATGAAGAAAGAGAGAGAGAGAGAGAGAGAGAGAGAGAGAGAGAGAGAGATGGCCTACTCTTATCTCAAATTCCAATTGCAGAGGGATCTTTAATGTGCACGCCAATGTGTACACAGGATCTCAAATTTTCATTCCAAACAAATGACTCTACATTGTCCCTTGCCAGGTTCTGTATTCTGCACCACTGACAAGGGGAAGCGATGCTGGAAAATCCTGATGAACTTTCTCAGCCAACACCGGGATCGAACAGGCAACCCTCAGGTAAGCCAGCCAACGTCTTACTCGCTGAGCCACCGTGACCCTCAACTATTGAAGAAAGAGAGTGATGTGTCATCAGACAGCACCATACTCTGACATAGAGATAGATAGACACAAACTAGATCATTTTGGGACTAATACAATTCAATTTCATTTCAATAATTTGTTTGTGTGTAAGGCCCTTTAATTAGTAGTGGGAGAAAACCAGAGGACCTTGAGAAAACATGTTGGACAGGCGACCACACTCCTTGTCACGTACAACTGGGGAATTGAAACCAAGCCAGTTGACTCAATGACAGACCTTATGATACAGCGCACATATAGGGGTATTTAGCAGTGGGAGGAGATCGGAGGACCCAAAGAAAACCCATGAGGTTGGACAGGTGACCGTACTCCTTGTCATGTTCAACCATGGAATCGAAACCAAGCCAGTTGACTCAATGACAGATCTTATGATACAGCGCACACGTAGGGGTATTTAGCAATGGGAGGAAACTGGAGGACCCGGAGAAAACCCACGAGGTTGGACAGGCGACCCTACTCCTTGTCACGTACAAGAAGGGGATCAAACCACACAACCTGACTCTAACACGGACCTTTTGATCTAAAGAGCACTCATTAAACCATTCGATCACCCCACCCCCAGGGGGTTGGATGGCTGAATGGTTAGCACGTGCGCGCTTAACCATATGTTAGTTCCAAAATCATAAGATCTGTCATTGAGTCAACTGGCATGGTTTTGATTCCCCAGTTGTACGTGACAAGGAGTAGGGTCTCCTGTCCAACCTCGTGGGTTTTCTCTGGGTCCTTTGGTTTCCTCCCACTGCTAAAGACCCCTACGCGCAAGCGAATTATTGAAATAAAATTGAACCATATGTTAGTCCCAAAAGGACCTAGTTTGTGTCGAGTGGAGGTTGAACCCCATTTCTCTCACTTTTTCTCTCACCCTACCCCCAGACAACATGAACATACCATAAACTGTACTGTGTCTGTTTGTTTATGTTTGGGCGATTTAAATACATCGAGATTGGTAACAACAACTACGTTATAGACTACTGTAGAACCAAGTAGACCAGCTGTTTCTTCATAGTTAGGTACACTCAAATCTATTCCAGATTTTTTATTCTTCAATTCTCTGAATAAAAAAGACATGAAATGAAATGAAATGGGGTTTAACGTTCTCTACTCCGACTGGGCTAATGGAAACTGGAATCAAAAAAGAGAAATGACAAAAAGGTTGTGAAAAAAAATTAAATGAAATGGGGTCTTATATCTTATATATTTTGTACCAACTGAGGGAGAGTTTCATAAATAGAAATGAAATAGGCTTTAACCCGTTAAGCGTGACGTTTTTAAAAAATTAACTACCCCCTATTGTGTAAATAATTTGACGAATTGACGAAGAACTATGTACTATGTTCGAAGAATAGGTTGGGGAAAATACCTCCAAGGCGTTATATTACACCCTACACACAGTGAGTGGCAGTTGTCCAGGACGTAATATAACGTCCTACACATGCTGCGATCGTGGGGGAATAAATACTATGTAGACTGGAATAGCCTGATTTGAAATTAGAGTAAAAATGGAACCGATTGAATGTAAATCAGTTTATATATATATTCATGTTACATTATTATATGCGTTTCAACCCATTTGTATCAATTTCTAGGTCCCAAATATTAGCGATTTAGCTCCTTTAATAGTAATACTTTAATTCAAATCGCCTAAATTGACAATCAATCAGGGACATTAAGAGTGTATCCGCGAGAAGACCATGCAAAAATTGCAAAAAGTGCTAAGATGGGGGGTCAGAAGTTTTTGATCAAACTTATGGTATGACACCCCCTAGGGGCATGAGGTAACATGCTGAAGTGGTTACAGTCTGATGTCGCTCTAAAGGACTGTACAGGAATTATTCATTTTATGGGTAAAATTGCGGTTTTCACATGTGTATTTATCACCTTTTTTAAGCACAGACTGCATTCTATGGTGGAATAGCAACCTTCTAATTTTGACCCTGTCTGATACATTTTTTTGCAAATTTAATTAGAGAAATAAAATTTTTGACTTTTATACGTTTTCATCATATCCATAGCCATTATTTGTACCATGTTGTATTCTATATAAGTGTGTATTTGTATTTATTGTATATTTGGTATTGTCTTATTGTCCCTTTAACATATTTGTTGTATTGTCTCTTTAAGATTTCATTTTCAAACAAGTTACCGAAAATGGCTACAAAATGTTTAATTTCAGAGCATGTTTCCACTATTCATTTTGGGACACATCCACTGATTTCTACAATACAGAAATGTGGAAGCTTAAATATTAACGGCAACGAAGCCTAATTGCGTCAAAGTAGGTGACATTGAACAGTGTAGTATGGTAGCTACAGCTCTCGGGCACCGTCAGCTGCACCTTCAGGGCCGGATTTAGAATAAGAGAGGCCCTAGGCAAACCCCCTGAACAGGGCCCACGACATGGACTCGGTGAGAGGGTGGGTCGGGGGAAGTCATGCGGTTGGTGGTTCGAATCTCACTTTTAGGTGAATTTTTCATTTTCGTTGGATTTTTTTATTTAAAATAATGTCTATTTGAGAGTAATGGATATGTTTTTTTAAGATTGAGCACATCGAAACTCCAATGGAAGGTCGTGAACAACTGCAGAAGTCAATTCCTGTTGACGCCAGATGAGCCATGAACGATTACAGGCCTTTGAAAGTATTTTTTTTTTTCAAGATATTTTTATAAAACAGATACTAATGTATTTTAGGGCTGGTAGTAAACACCATATGAATGAAAAGAAAAATAAATTGTTAGGTTTTTTTTATCTACTACGGTTAATTATCTCCAAAATAGGGAAATTACAGGTTAATTTCATGGGTTATTGTTTCCTTTACCTAGTTTTTGTCAAGTCGATTCCGGTCATTTTTATTTTTTGTATCAAATGTTGGGAGGTTGCTTGTTCACGTGAGCATAAATTTTTTAAACCCACCCCATGAAAGAAGTAGCAATAGGGCGTCAAACTTTGGGTGACGAAAAATGGGGAATTTAGACAGGCTTTGATATCCAGTCTGTATACAGATCTCGTTCGCCAGAATCGTCTGAAGTTAATATTGTGGTAACAGCACTGAGTCATCTATAAACTGTGTGAGTTTGGTCTTTCTGCTACGTATAGTAAAGGTGTAAGGACTTGCCAAAGTTGGTATTTGAGAAAAGACAGATTTTGGCAATTTCACCATATGAAAAATGTTTTTTCAATTTTCTCATATAGGAATTGAAAGATTTATCTAATATTGCACATTTATGTGTTTTGGGACTATCCCAACTTATAAACCAAATTTGGTCAAAACTGTGATTGAAGCCTTAGCACCTTCTGCAAGGTTTTCTCGCGGACACGCTCTTAATTACTTTATTTTGACTCATATCACAGCTAGATGGATTGCTTGATACGATGTGATTTTTTTTAAAAAAAATACTGTGTTCTTTGTGGTTCAATATCTATGCGATTAACAGTATGCTACATTTTCTGAAAACTGAAAGTGAAAGACGATAAAAATTTAGATCAACGCAATAGCACAATAGATACTCCCTGTAGCAATCTACCTTATTGTCACAGTTGCAGTCGGCATAATGAATATGATTGGTTGTCTTCTCTCCAATAAAAAATAATAACTATAAAGAATTTCAATAAAACGCGTAATAAAAAGAAAACGCCCCCTTTTTTGTTTCCATCATGGGTGCAGACATTTTGAAATGTCATGTGACTTACAATTATCACCGTCGCTGCTGTTTTATCACACATTTTGAGGTGCCTTTCAAATATCGCTAAAAAATTTTAAAGTATAGATGGAAATAATAACATTTAAAAAAAAAAAAAAAAAAAAGCAAAAATACATATTTTTAAGTTAAGAGCATGACCCTTGACCTTTCAAGGACGGAAATAGCAAGATGGCAGCTCCTATAAGACGTGCTGTAGCAGAAAGTAAGATAGCTGGGAATAAATGGTTTATTTACCGTTTTTCATGCATTCATCTAATTAGTAGAAGAATAACCAATTGTAGCTTTTATATTTCACAAATAAATGTCATTCCCTAAGCTGTTTTTTCGCTACAATAACGATTATTTTATGGCGTCCTAGCAACAACCTTCAAAAAATGGTTTTGTAATAGTAATAATCTCAAAATAGCCTTATTCTTATATTGATCAATATCATGCTGACTATACACACTGCATTAATGTTGACAAGCTAGACCATACTCTTTTTAGCGAGTTGTTAGCAGAAATATAAAATACTAATTTAGACTTTTAAATGAGAGACCTTGTCCATATGAGGGACAGTCAATTTATTTAAAAATAAATTCACTCTGCTGATGTTCCTCATCTGCACACAGCGATCCATCTACTTCATACCTCGAGAATACATCACTGCGCTAAATGCCGTCCATTTAAAACGCTCACGTGATCATTTTGGTGACTGGACTTATCGATTTTACTGCCAGTGACGTATATATATATAATACTCCTTTTTATAACCGAAGCACGTGGTTTATGTAAACACGTGGTGAATCTCTAACATTCTGTTTGTCATTCATCTGGTGAACCTGTCATTCTGTTTGTCATTCCAACTGTCCAGGGATCTTTTACATGCATGTCAATGTGTACACGGGACCTCGTTTTTTTGTCCCATCCAAATGATTAGACAAATGTCCTTGTCAGGCTTCTTGTAATTGCTATTACATAAATATGGGTAACAATTATTTCATTAGCACTCAAGTGACTTAATCTAAGTGTTTTATTTCATGTTTGGTGATAAGCCTATATTGGTGTTAACTGTAAATGGCTTCGTTTCAGAAATATGCTTTTAATACTATTTATTACGGGGGATCACAGTGGCTAAGTGTGCAAGACGCTGGCTTGCTAGCCTTAAAGTAGTTAAGTCTCTAACTCAATATCATTCAAAGTCTTACACGTTGAAAATACGAATTATTTGTCAATTCAAATCAACATTGATGTTGTGATCTTACCAGGAAAAGGCAGGCTTCTGATATCCAATATTTAAGACAAAATAAACATTTTACCATTGGTACACGAATCGTCTACCATAGTGTGTTTTAGCGTCATTTGCAACAAGTGACCAGAAAGAACGAGGCTAGACATATTCAACTGGAGAGCCTGCTCAACAGATTGGAATAACCAGACGCTAGAAATTGCTATAGGGTGTTTGATCCCTGCATTAGCCAAGAAAGTTCATCCAGATTTTCCGGCGTGGTTCCCCGTTGTCAGTGATGCAGCTCATTGGGCCTGACAATGACAGCTGTCTAGTTGTTTGGATGGGATGAAAAACTAGGTCCTATGTACACATTGGCGTGCAGGTAAAAGATCCCTTGACAGTTGGAATTCGATATATAAGTTGGCCATAGTGCCACTGTCCGGGCAAAATTTCCCTCATAGCACACTGTATGGCGTATTCCCGTCTTCATTAACCCAGTTTGGAGTAGGACGTTAAACCCCATTTCATTTCATTTCATTTCATTTACTATTTCCAAGGAAGAGACGTTAAAACCTTCACAGGAGGGCGGAAGATTCCCTATAACAGTGCAGGCAAGTTCGGATCTCAGTGATGCATCGCGTACTGGAATACATTTTTATTAACTAATACAGTGTTGTGAAGTTTGTTGCCGAGGATACTCCTATATGATTCATTTACTATTCATTACAATTATTTTTAACAGTGTTGATATTATTTTTAACAATGTTGTTATTATTTTTAACAGTGTTGTTATTATTTTTCAGTGCCAGCCTGGAGAAAGGCTCTTCAACGATGGGCCTACCATAAATCGAATTTTGGAAAACTGGGTAAGAACATTTTTATCTAAAACTAGCACTAAATTTATGTCCCCTTCAACATATGAAATTTATTATTTTTACATGTATGTGCCAAATTGAGTTATTAAAGGGGCATTATGGACGACTAGATAAAGAGCTGACAGTCCTCACTATAATAGTTAAAAACTAGACAATGTAAAGGAAATATGCTGAAAATTTCAGTCGAATTGCTCCACTTGCTGACTTGCTAACCAGAAGGTTCCAAATATGCTTCCTGTGTTCGCCAAGAAAGTTCCCATTGATTTTTGTCCCCCGCCTTTCAAAGAAAGCAGGGGACTATTAAAATGGGTCTGTCTGTCTCTCCTTTTAATTGAGCTAGAATGTTGAAACTTGGTGTAGGTGTTTATTAGGTCAATCCCTTAATGGATTTCGAAATGAGGATTTTCTGCTTAGGGTAAGCAGAGATAAGCAATTTGATTGGTTGGTGGTTTGGGACACGATAACTTTAATTCTATTAAGTGAGAGTGATGAAACTTTGTGTATAGTTTCATTACATAATCACGATGACTAAGTTTGCTCTGTGTAAGCAGAGCGATTAGCTATTTGATTGGCTGAGACTTTGGGACACAATAACTCTCCTTCTAATGGAACTAGAATTTTCAAACTTGGTGTAGATGTTTATTAGGTCAATGCCTTGATGGAATTTGAAGATGAGCAGTTTGATTGGTTGATGGTTTGGGTCACAATAACTTTAGTTCTTATTAAGTGAGAGTGATGAAATTTGGTGTATAATTTTATTACATCAATACCTTGACTAATTTCGATAATGAGCATTTTCTGCTCAGGGTAAGCAGAGCGATAAGCTATTTAATTGGCCGAGACTTTGGAACACAATAATTCTCCTTCTAATTGAGCTAGAATGTTCAAACTTGGTGTAGGTGTTCATTAGGTCAATGCCTTGATGGAGATCGATGATAAACATTGTCTGCTTACGGTAAGCAATCTGATTGGTTGATGCTTTGGGGCACGATAACTTCGATTACAAACATTACCTTGACTAAGTCCAATGATTAGAATTTTCTGCTTAGGTTAAAGAGCGATAAGCAATTTGATTGGTCACGACTTTGGAACATAACAGGTAGAGGTAGAATGTTTAAACTTGATGTTCCTTAGGTGAGTTCAATGATTAACATTTCAAGCTAAAGCTAAGCAGAGCTAAGCAATTTCATTGGTCGATGCTTTGGGACAAGAAAACTTTGATTCTATCTGATAGAGAGTGATGAAACTTAGTGTATAGTTAATAATCAGTTTGATTGCTTGATACTTTTGAAAAAAATAAATGTGTGTTTAATTAATATGTGTCATCTATTAATTTTGGGATTTCGGCGGGGGACATCAGCCACACTGCTGGCTTGTTGAGTATAACCTGTTTGTTGATTATAACATATTTATTGATTACAACCTACTTATTGATTATAACCTATTTATTGATTATAACCTGTGTATTGATTATAACCTATTTATTGATTATAACCTATTTTATAACCTATTTATTGATTATAACCAGTTTATTTATTATAACCTATTTATTAAATATAACCTATTTATTGATTATTAGCTATTTTATTTTAAAGGTTTGATGATAGATGATTGTCTATATGAAACACCTGAAGTAAAAGAGGCTGTAAGTCGTCTACCAGCAGATTTATATAATCAGAGAGTATATCGTATCTCACGAGCTCTCAATCTCTCCATGCGAAAAGATATTTTACCTAAAGAGGAACAACACACGGTAGATGATGTAAGTTAAAAATTTCACGATTAACAGTTTTGAGTATTTTAAGATATTCTAGAGCCATGGTTTCCAGTTTCCACACACTCGCTGACCCTCTCTGAGCCTCCCACATTTACACTTATTCTTTTCAGTCAGATTTGCAATATTAGGGGTGTTAGGCGTTGTGGACCGCATGATTTTGATGAAACTTGAAATATATCTTTATAACCCAAAGATCTTGGTTCCTGTCAATATTCGAGCATATTGGATTGTAACTTCCTGAATTATGATCCTTGATGTTACGAAAAATCGCATTTTATTTAGCTTGTTCTCTATCCATCTCTTGCAAAATGTGGGCGTATCCTGCCTTGCAGCCGCTGGTTGTACTATTTTTATTTAGAGATTGATATAATGAGATCGTCAACTCTGGCAGGTCTTTCAATAATGTGTCCCAAGTATAAAAATCCTCATACTTTGAGCTAAATCTGCCTATTGCAAGTATTTTTTACGGCTTAGATGTTATCTAAATTATTAATTAGACATTTATTAACATGATAACTCAGACAAGCTCAAAATCAACTCTAGTCTACAGAGTGTAGACCCACGGATGGCTTGGATACAGTTCTGATTTAAACAGTCGTCCATTTAAAATTAAATCAATAAATGGCGAACCAAGCTAACATTTACCGTTAGTCGCTGATGTCACTACCGGAAACTGGTGATGAGAGGCCTGCCAAGCAAGGCTACCATAGCCATTGAGCATGTTACTTGATAATCGACAATATGTGGGTGGAGTTTTCGTCTGTCAATCAAACGATCGCCAATTCTCATAGACGGTGCAGACACAATTGATGCCTATTTCTAATCAAAACTTCCAACAGTGACAATTCCGTTCAGAACAAAGTAATTTGACTGAATTTTTTTAACATTTTCTTTTCTTATCATCTATTTTTGAATTATTATTATAACAAGAATGACCAACTCTTTGTAAAACCCTCTCCCTAAATAATTTGTATATATACAGTAGAATCTGTATGAGCAGCCACTCCTATTCAGCAACATCTCCTTGTAAGCGGTCACGATAAATTCTCCCCGTAAAAATTCTGTTGTTTCATCTCTTTATTCAACAGTCACTCCTCTAACGCGGCCAGCGGTCACTATTTTACTAATAAATTCAACAAAACATCGCCCATTCAACGGCCATTGTTGAATGATACCCTCTTGTCGGTTGTCGTTCTTTGTTATACCCCGCTGATCCCGTGAGTAGTAGTTAATTAACTGGACCCCCACTGATCAGGTAAAAAATGTAAAAATAACAATCAACCCGGGATTATCTGTTAATTAATCTTTTGTTTTATTAAACGACTAACCTGATCATTGTTTTCACGCATAACAACATATTATTTGATACTGATTGAATAAAATAAAATTACAGAGTTTTGTCACGATCATCTAGTATCTCTTTTCCATTGCCACTTTGTTGTTAAACAGACATTTTAGCGCCTCATATAATATTACATACAGCGTTACACTCCCTGTAAATAGGTGATAAAATGAGCGATGTTTTTTTGTTCATGTGCTTTTTTGATAAAATAAAATTAATTCTTCGATTTTCTTCACAAAAATGGATAAATATTATCGAATGCATCACAATGGTAGACAGTAGTATCGAAGGTTGGTACAAAATGACAAGTTTACAGAAGTTATGTCTGAGATTTGAGTAAAGAATTTTAGTTCGGCGCAAGATTCAGCGGCGGTCAAATTTACAGATGCAAGTATTGATGTTCGCTTCCAATTCATCCAGGCGTAATATTTAATTTATGTCAGCACAAAAAGCACCAAGATTTTATTAAGAGGCCACTCCCGTTAAGCGGTCAGTTGTGAAAATTCCCTTGGGTGGCTGCTTAATGCAGATTCTACTGTATATTATAAATGCAAAATAGGTGTATATACATAGTTATAATGGCAAACACATACATATTATATAAATATAATAAAATGGATGAAAATGTACAGTATATATAGTAGGTTATAATTATACATATACAACCATAGTAAGAATTTTTTAATAATAGGTTACATTAGTATACTTCTTCTCAATTAGATCATTGTTTCATATGTACATGTATATATTCACTTAGTTCTGCATGCATGGCCGATCGTTTTCCATGTACACGTTTTCGCTGGTTACATGGAAACGGTCCCATTACATATGCATTAGACCGACTTTTTCACCAGCAATGGCAAATAATACATTGACTTGTCATTTGGATAGGACGGAAAATCGATTTCTCGTGTATAAATTGGAGTGCATGTAAAAGATCCATTGGCAGTTGGAATTCGATATAAAAGTAGGCCATAGTGCCACTGTCCGGGCAAAATTTCCCCTCATAGCACACTGTATTGTATTTGCCCGTCTTCATTAGCCCAGTTTAGGAGCAGAACAGTAGTGACATTAATACCCCATTTCATTTGATTTCTATGTTATTTCAGGATGTGAGATATCTAAAGCCATATTTGGACGAAGTAAAGAAGGAAAAAGCTGAAAAACTAGAATGGGACCTGAAATAAAATGATATTTAATATGGTGGAGTTGATTGATGACAAGTTGATGAGACCATAGAAGAATGTTTTTGATTATTCGATTTGGATATCAGTTTAGTTTATAATCACCTATCAGTTGTTAACATCTTTCGACTTTATGCAAGAACAATATGGATTGGCAAATATTCAGTTTATGTATCTATTACAGGGGCAGATCTGGGGGATGGGGGAAAGACCCCTTCCCCTAAGATATATTGTCTCAGGTACCGGACAAACCCCCTCCTGCAAAAATTACTGGATCCGCCCTTGTATTAGGAACAGTTTTTTGAGTAAAATCATTTTAAAATGGACAGTTTTTGGTTATAAAGGATTTGATATTCAACAAGTGATGTAAGATAGTGTTGTTATTATCCATAATAAAATATAGGCAATATAAACTTTCATTTATTTATTGTGTTGTTTTTCCGTGTCAAGGAAAATTGATATAATATCCTGAAATGGACTCTGCTGTCCGTCGTTTCATTCTTCCAATCTGATTAAAACGCAGATCCTATTTCGTTTCATTTTTATAGTTCAAAATTTTGTGGGGATCATGGTGGCTAAGTGGGCAAGACGCTGGCTCGCTAGCCTAGAGGTCGGGTGTTCGATCCCTGCATTGGCCGAGAAAGTTCATCCAGATTTTCCAGCGTGGTTTCCCCTTGTCAGTGATGCAGGACAGAGGGCCTGACAAGGACAGCTGTCTAGTCGTTTGGATGGGACGAAAAACCGAGGTCCCGTGTATACATTGGAATGCATGTAAAAGATACCATGGCAGTTTGAATTCGATATAAGAGTAGGCCATAGCGCAGCTGCCCACGCAAAATTTCCCTCATAGCACACTGTATGGCATATGCCCGTCTTCATTAGCCCAGTTTAGGAGCAGGACAGTAGGACGTTAAACCCCATTTCATTTCATTTTATTAACCATACTTCTAATACTGTGCAGAGTTCGATTTGTCCCTGGGTATGACACAGGGGTGAATGAACAGCAAATTTATCTACATAGAGTGTATCTTTAATTCTATTGTGCACAGCCCAGGGCCCGATTCCTAGAAAATTCTTAAGCACGTTCTTGTGCTTAGATTTAAGTAGACTTTGCATTTAAGTAAACTTACCTTATTTTGTGTTCCCAGAAAATTCTTAAGAACGTTCTTGTGCTTAGATTTTAAGTAGACTTCAATGTAAGCACAAGAACGTTATTATGCGTTCCAAGAACGTTATTATGCGTTCAAAGAAAAAACTTAAGCACAACTTTGTTCTTAAACATAGTTAATCTAAGCACAAGTCCCAAACAAGGTATACGGCTTGCTTACCAACCTTAAGTCTGTTTCTGCTTCAAAAAGATGGCTGACCGTAGAGTTATTCAACGGCATTTCTGACACCTTTTGATACCAAAGAGACAGAGAAAATCATTCTCCATAAGAAATTTCAAATTAAGAATGCTATAGAAAATTTCGCTTCTAGGCCTACCCTGAAACCATTTTATTTATTTGCCAATTAGTAAACAATAGGCTACAAACACACAGGCTACTTTAAGATCTGGCGCTCTCACAATTATTCTGTTAGTTTGTATGTGTCTTGTGATAGAATACATAACTCTTATTAATTAAAAAGATATTTTAATACTGGATAACATATTTACATGTACAATGTCATTGTGGTTAGATCTATGTAGCCTTTTCCCTCAGGTCTGCCAAGACCTCCTTTTCCCGGGGTCCAAGGGAAGACCGCCTTGCCCCAGGTTCAAAATAGTTCTCTCTAGGTCTCTCTCTGCGTCTCTTCTGTCCTTCTTCCTGCCTGCTTCTAAACTAGGCTTTTTTTTTATATCGGCTAGGGCACGCCATAGTTAATACCATTAGTAATCAGAACAATGAAAACTTATTATTAAGATTCACACATCTTATCTCTAGACAATATGTGTTAATGCTTGTTACCTAAATCTTATATCATAATATACTTGTCTAAGACAAGCCGGCTATACATTGTTTGTACAACGCTTTTAAATCTTACATAATACTATGTCAACTCCCCACACCTGATATAGATTAAAACTTACAATTAATCTGTCACTTAATATATGTCCAAAATGAGTTACAAATAAAATATGAAATCAGAACACAATATTGAAATTTAGATCCCAAATGATATTGTATTACAGTCTGCGTTTTTTATCTTGTGGCATATTTTATATGGAATAGGGGACATGTTAAATGCATCGGAATGAACATTATATATGCCGTCAATGAAGCAGACGACAAATTTAAGACGTAATTCGCACACCAAAGTTGTTTTTATGACGTTAAAAAGCATCGTAGTCTCAGTTTATGGTAAACTTTACCAGTCACAATGTGCTTAGACTTATACTTGACTTGTGCTATCGTAAGAATGGTCTTGAGAATTTTCTAGGGGCGGTATTTTTATAAGTTTCTTACGTAAGAAAAAGTGAAGCATGACTTTGTGCTCACTTTAAGAATGTTCTAGGCCCAGGTCTTGATTCGCGTGCAATTTCTTGTATCATTTTTGTAGATATCTACGTTATCCTCTAGCTTTAATAGTAAGTGCAGGGGGACTGCACCACACATAATTTACACAAAAACAAATATATGGACAAGACACAATACGCAGAAATCACAAACGAACAATTCAAATTAAGTGAATGGATCCGGGGGCTAGCCGTAAGCGTCCACTACGCTTTATAGTCCCGGACCTGTAGTGATACAGACTTCACTCAAATTTGAAAACAATCAGGGATATAACCCAGAGAAACCATTGTGTAATGCCAGCATGAGTCATGATCTGCTATATGTTACAAGAAACAGGGCCGGCGGAAGCAATTCTTGTTTTGGGGGGGTACCATCCTAGGACTTTAGACGAGGGTCCAGGGACCGCCTAGGCCCCGGAAGCTCCGGGGGATCTAGAGACGCTTTCTGGCAAATGAAATTACTCAGTAATGAAGTGAAATTTTATTTCTTTTCTAAATCCCTAACCATGCATGCACATTCGATGGTGATTTCCTGCAATGCTGAACTTCGCAAATATATGCATAATAATTCCATGGTTGTGGACACTAGAGGTCGCAATTTTTATACGATTTGGATTAAACTGACAATGTAGTATAACCAAAAGATCTCGACATTTTTAGCTTGTGGACCCTCTAGATCTCATTGTTCGTATTTGATTGTCAAAACCGTTCAAATATATCACAGAGGCACCATAATTATGGCTCAAGTCAAATTTCGTGAAAATCGGACCGAAACTGCCCGACAAAATGGCCGCTACCCTTAAAATTTTAAGCATGTAATACCCAAGTTGTGGGTCAGAGGTTTGAATTTTCATCCAATTTTGATATATCCTAAAGGCCTGGGTTCCTTTCGATATTGGCATGTATTGGTCCGTAGCTTTCTGGATTATGACCACTAATATACGAAATATCACATTTTTAGCTTGTGGACCCTCTAGAGGGCCCCATTTTTTAAAATCTTATTTTCAAAACTGTTTAAATGAATCCCTATTACATCATAATCGGACCGAAACTTTCAGTCAAATGGCCACTCTCCTTTACGCAAATAGTATAAAAGCATGTAATACCAAGGTTGTGGACCATCTAAAGGTCAGAAGTTTTATCCGATTTAGATGAACTTAAAACGAGTATCACTAGCTCTTGGATGATTTCAATTTTGGTGCGCATTGGCCCCCGGTCTTTTACGCAAAATGTGATTGAAGTTTGTGGACCTTCCTGAGGCTACAATTATTGTCCGATGCATGAGATGAAACTTAAACTATGTGTTAAGGATCAAAAGTTCTTGGATGATTTCGACTTTGGTACGCATCAGACCTCACATTTAAAGCTATAGTCCCTGCTTTTTACGCAAGACGTGAAATATGTATGAATTTTTAGGCCGCCCAGATGGGCGGTTGTTGTCCCATTGTGATGAAACTTACCAAATATGTTAAGGATCAAATGATCTTGAACGAGTGAATCAGCCCTATTGATTTTACCTCTTCCCCATACAATTCTTGGAAAATGTGGGCGTATTTTGCATATTAACCGCTTGTTTCAACTGATCATAACTGATAGCAGTGAATTATTTGATAGATAAAGGACACAGGGAAAGAGTGTGAGAAAAACTCTATCCCGTCGGGTTTTTTAATTACAAATCCTATTTCGTTTCGTTTTTATAGTTCAAAATTTCGTGTTACTTGTCTTTACTACACTTGGATCTGGAAGAGTTGTTATTTAACCCGTGTTCTGAATGGTGTCAGGGATAAGCCAATGAAACGGTCTGTTACGGCGAGCTTTAGGCGTGTTTTGCACGGAACTGTGGGTAATCCACTAGTAACATCAATGCTGGTTGGTTAATCAAGTCGGTCTTTTGACCCCTGACATGACCTATCACTATAACTTGTCAGATCTTCATGTAGTGTAGGCCATCGAAAGTATAAAAAAACGAAACGAAATATAAATCTGTATTATAATCAGATTGAGAATTATCTGATATTTCTAGATTTATTTTGATAAAAAGTCAACGGTGAAACGTGAAACACCCTTCATAAAAGGCTTCTGATTAAAAAATTTAAAAATCACGTCATGCTCCAAATGTATAATGAATTTAATATTTATCGTTGATGTTATGGGCTATTTTCACAAAAACTTCAAATAACGGTAAAAAACGGTTTACCCAAATGATATAAAATTTTCGTAACCGTCAATTTTCGCAACTGTTATAAATAATGGTAACGGAAAAGACTTTTTGCATTAAGATAGACAAAAGAAAAGATATTTTGTTAAAATTATATCGCTTTTTAAATTCTTTCCAATGATTTTCAATCATTTATTTAGACAACTGGAGTCAAATTAATAACTTTGAATTTTTGTCATTTCCGTTAAATGTCTTTACTGTTTACATGGTCTTTTACATGTTAATAACTGAAAAGACAGTCTTACAAATTTGATTTTGTTATATTTTTGTTATTTCTAAGAGTGCTGTATGGCTATTGCATATACCACCTCTTGAAATAAACCTAAAGAATACAGTGAAAATTTCCATAAAAATTCATAATTACTTTTCAAAATTTGTCTTTACCATTATTTGTACGTTTTTGTGAAAATAGCCCTTATACATACGTATACACTTTCATTCATCGTCTTCTTTATATTATATATTATTATTGGCATGCTTATTCAACAAGGGTGTTACCCAAATATCTATTTTATTCTTAATCATAGGGGCATTTAATTTTATTTGCGCAAACCAGTGAAATAGAGAAATGAAATGAAATGGGGTTTAACGTCCTACTGTTTTGCTCCAAAACTGGGCTAATGAAGACGGGCATACGCCATACAGTGTGCTATGAGGGAAATTTTGCCCGGGCAGCGGCGCTACGGCCTACTCTTATATCGAATTCCAACTGCCAGGGGATCGTTTACGTGCACGCGAATTTGTACACGGGACCTCGGTATTTCGTCCCATCCGAATGACTAGACAGTTGTCCTTGTCAGGCCCTCCGTCCTGCATCATTGACAAGGGGAAACCACGCCGGAAAATCTGGATGAACTTTCTCGGCAAATGCAGGGATCGAACACCCGACCTCACCCGACCTCCAGGCTAGCGAGCCAGCGTCTTACCCACTTAGCCACGTGATCCCCACATAGAAATAGAAGATGTTAATACAACCGCCTTAATCCAATATCCCACTATCACGATTCGCGTCAGGAAAACGTGTCTGCGACCTCATATTTTCCAAATTATCTTGGGGGGGGGGGGGGGACACGGTAAGCTCTGCTCCTTCGCCTCTCGCAGCCGACCGGCACCACCATCTATAACCCGAAATTAATTTGGGGGGGCATTTCAGGTTCTGCCCCTAACATTTACACAGAGCAACGAGGGGGGCGGGAAGTGATCTCAAGGGGTGCTGTAAAATTGACGGACAATGTATATCTATTGTTTTTATGGTCGACATTTTTTTCACAGGCGGGGGCGAACATTTTTGCAAGGGTGGCTTTGACCCCCCTCCCCCTGCGCCCCGCTAGTTACGGGCCTGCTTGTACGGCGTTGCTCGCAACTGGGGATCTCTCAACCTAGGGATCAGTAAAAAGCATAATAGGGTTTTCTTCTGAAAGTCTACGTTCTAGACGTGTCACTTCTATGTTAAAATCAAACTTCGTTGTATCTAACGGCTTATAAACCTGTAACGGTAAATCTCTTTGATCTTTGGGGTATATTCTATGCCCTGAATAACTTGAGGTCTGAAAGTCGAGGGGAATTTGGGGTTATTCTTCTGAAAGTTTTTCTTTAAACCTGTAACAGGTTATTCTTCCAGGGTAGGTTTTTTTTCTTATGGGAATTCTGGCATATTCTCATTTTGTGTACATGTAAACATAGACGGTTTATCAGCAAGATAAAGTCCTCGACTTCGGTTATGCTGGGGAAGAAAAGTTTCAGAAAGAACCCTCGACAGAAAACCCTCGGCCTGCCGGCCTCGGTTTTTCTTTTTCTCGGGTTATTTTCTTCAGTCTTTCTTTCCCCAGCATAACCTCGGTCTCATGCTTTATCCTACACATAAATACTTGCGTGCAATAACCCGGACAAAAGTGTAGACCCCCCCCCCCCCCCACCTAGCGTCCCCACTCCACCGGGCCTGTCAATATCTGTAAGGGTCAAAATACATAAACTTGTATTAAATAATATTTACATGACAGTGTCCCTTTAAGTGAGCAGTACGCCTCGTAGAGTATGGTCACGTGGTCATTTTTTCCCGGAAACGAAAGAAAACGTGGTGCACTGTAAAATATTTGAAAAAATAAACCCAACAAAACAACAAATACCGAAAGGTCCTCATATCCAGAGAAACAGCTAGAGTGGGGCGGGACAATTTTATGCTCGGTCGGGTGGTGTCACATTTTCAAGTGTGTGCGCAGGCACACTCAACTTTTATAGAGCCCTGCTTGGTTAACCAGATTGGTGGAACAGGAAAACCAAAGAAGATTACTTTGGACACTGTTGGTGAACCATATGAAATGTTGTCTACTGCTGTAAAGGGTGTAGAAATTTCAGCCATGAACAGTGAAGATTTCATTTCCTTGCCTACAGTTTACACAAAGGAAAAGATGCCTGTTGACAGGAGTCACATTCCGTCCCAGGACGATATAGATGTATGGCCCCATCTAAAGGACATCGATCTTCATGAGATGGATGTGAAAATCGGTCTACTTATAGGAACGAATGTACCAGAAGCCTACAGTCCCATGGAATTCAGAGTTGGTCCTAGAGGAAGTCCCCATGCTACGAAAACTCTATTAGGGTGGATTCCTTGGAACATTGTTAAGAGAAAAGAAAGTCTACATCAAAATCAGATATTAAATAGAATAGAAACAAAAGCTATAGAAGATATGGATAAACTTGAAATACTTGTAAGAGAATCGTACAATTTTGACTTTCCAGAAAGGTTGATTGACGATAGGAAAGAAAACTCTGAAGAAGACAAGCAATTTTTAAGGAAGGTTGAGCAGTCAATTGTATTCAAGGATGGTAGATACGAAGTAAGTTTGCCATTTAAGGAAAATAATGTACAGTTTCCAAACAACTATCGACAAGCTTTCAACAGATTACAAGGTTTAAAGAGAAAGATGTTAAAGAATCCCAGATTCGCAGAAGATTATATATTATTTATGGAAGACTTGTTTAAAAAAGATTACGCTGAGAAAGTACCAGAAGATGAGTTAGAAAGGACAGATAATAGAAGATGGTATGTACCACATCACGGTGTATATCACCCGAAAAAACCTGATAAGCTTAGAAGCGTGTTTGATTGTGCAGCCATTTATGAAGGTGTCACACTAAACGGATTGCTTCTTCCTGGACCTAACCTAACCAATAACCTGATTGGTGTTCTTTTAAGATTCCGACAAGATAAGATAGCGATTTTAGGAGATATAGAGGCTATGTTCTACCAAGTTAGGGTACCATCAAATGATGCAGACCCTTCGGTTTTTGTGGTGGCCTAATAGCAATTATTCATTAGAGTCTGCAACTTATCGCATGAAAGTCCACATTTTTGGAGCAACATCCTCACCAAGCTGCTCAAATGCCGCTCTTCGATTAACCGCAACCTCGAATGCAGAAAAATATGAACCTGAAACTGTCGAAACCATACTCCGTAACTTTTATGTTGACGATTGTTTGAGATCTGAAAAGAGTGAAGAAATAGCAATTAAACGAATTACTGAATTGAAAGCACTCTGTAAAAAAGGCGGTTTTAATATAACAAAGTGGAGTAGTAATAACAGAAATGTAATAGAATCTGTTCCGGTGGAAGAACGTTCAAAGGAAATTAAAGGAATTGACATAGAAAAGGAAGATTTGCCTGTTGGAAGATCATTGGGAGTTACATGGTACCCCCAAACAGACAGTTTTGGATTTAAAATAAATATACCAGAAAGTAAAGCTACTCGACGTGGAATTTTGAGCAGTACGCCTCGTAAAGTATGGTCACGTGGTCATTTTTTCCCGGAAACGAAAGAAAACGTGGTGCACTGTAAAACTTATGATTTTCTGATGCTTTTTGTTGAGTCAAATTTGGGGAGAAAGAAGGGATACATGGACCTATAATTATGGTATGTAAAAGTACAGATATATAATTAATGAAGCGCGTATCGTAAGTTTGTTGTCATTGCATAGAATTTTGATTATTGTCTTGAAAAGATTCACATAGTCCGCGGTCAGTCTCAACAGTCGTAGCCTCGATTATCTTACATAGCATGTCTAAAGGCGTTCCCTGTCCAAATTTTCATTTTGTAGCCTCGATTGTCACACAAGCAAATTTAATAGTATTATTGCATAATTCATTTTATTTGTACATGTATTTCTTTGTCGACTTGGTTATTTGTATACATATTTATTATTGTTGTTATTGTCTTTTCAGGCAATCAGTTCAGATTTGTAGAATTTCCTCAATAAAATGTAGAAAGAAAGAAAGTTTTTTACTTGGGTGAAAGGAGAAAGACTGAATTGCATAAGCTAAATATAGGCAAGCCAGTTTACCCCTGCAGAATGAAAGAAAGCCCCTGTAGACCAGCCCTGACAAAGCTGTAACCTACACTATCGAAGTATTCATAAATTATACTAACAGCAGTTGAATGATGATGATGAGTTAGTTGTATTTTACGTCCGCTTCCACCGAGGTGATATCGCAGACAATGCAGTTGAATACATTGAAAACATTTATATAGCACGAGCATGACTTGAAAGCGGTATTGCAATACAAATCAATTAACATCCTAGTTACGACACACTCGCTGGTCGATACAAAACACGTTACTGAAACACCCGAGCACTAACAAAGATGGTTACACTTGCGGATTTGGTGAGTTGCTTTACCTTGATCTATTTTGTACTGAGTGGAAATTGGAAGTAAACCCAATTAAATCTAAAATAATGTGTTTTATATATACACCTAAAGATAATAAATTTCTCAAGCACATTTTTTACTAGAATGTCCATTGTATGAAAATTTACGTACCGTTCACATATACCCAACATGAGTTAAATATTATATACTATTCAAAAAAAGTAGGGGATATTTGATTTTTAAGTGTTATTAAAGTCACCTAATGAAACTGACGAAGAAACAAATGACAAAATGAAATGAAGTTCACATTCATCGATTTATTCCAAATGATCGTTAGACTAAGTAAGGCACAGACTGACCATTATAAGGGTAAAATGATACCCGGGGTCAAACAGCAAAGTTACCACAGCATCACAACCAAGTCAGTAACGGGTAAATCCTCCTCTGTTTGCCAAACAAGCATTGATCCGACGTGGCATACTCCTAATGAGACGTCTAAGGTCATTTTGGTCCAGATTGTCCCATTCCTGTTGCAACGCAGCAGCAAGTTCTTGGACATTGGCAGGACGTTGTTGACGTTGACGTAACCTCTGTCCAAGCATGTCCCAGACATGCTCGATGGGGGAGAGGTCGGGACTCAGTGCTGGCCAAGGTAATGTGGTGATGTTCTGTTGTTAGAGGTAACCTGTAACGATCCTGGCCCTGTGATATCTTGCGTTGTCATCCTGGAAGATGAAACGGCGGCCATGACGTCGTGCGAACGGCACAACATGGACTGCCAAGATGTTGTCCCGGTAGTACTGGCCTGTAACACGCCCTGCAACAACATGTAAAGCCGTTCTTCCAGCAACAGGGATGCCTCCCCACACCATAACAGAACCACCCCCAAATCGATCATGTCTGATGACGTTAACGTCTTGGAAGCGCTCGTTTGGACGACGCCACACCCTCCTACGTCTGTCCAAAAAATCAACAGTGAACCTTGACTCATCTGAAAACATCACATTGCTCCAGCGTCGATTATCCCAGTGTTGACGATCCCTACACCAACGACGTCTTGCCTGAATGTGATGATCTCTCAAACAAGGGATCACGCGAGGACGTCGGGCGCGAAGGTGACCCCTATGCAGTCGATTCCGAATCGTCTGGCCACTCACTCTCACACCAGTGTCTGTTTGAAGACGAGCGCTGATCTGATTTGCTGTGATGACACGATTTCTCAAGGCCAAGGTACGGATAAATCGATCCTGGGCTTGAGTTGTCGCCCTTGGTCGACCTGAGCGTGGTCTGTCCTGTACAGATTGTGTATCACGGTATCTGGACCATAGCCTGCTTATGACAGACTGAGAAACATTCATCGTCCGCACCACAACCGCCTGTGTTGTGCCGATCTGTAGCATGCCAAGGGCACGTAACCTTTCATTTTGGGTAAGCCGACGCATATCAAAATTTGTTTTCTGGTCACTAAAACAATTAAACTGATGTTTCCACCCTGGAATTCAATGCCACAATGACTGTAACATTCAAAGTCAGAGTCGTGCAAATCTTGGGTTGGACCCCCATGATGATCCCAAGCATCACCTGCATTCCATGCGGTAGCTATTGGTGCGTTTGGGCGTCACATGTAACTGGAAATGTTTCTTCTGTTAGGTTCTATAGTGACTTTTTTCGTAGTCATTTGCATATTTTAGTATTATGCCCCCAAAATCAAATATCCCCTACTTTTTTTTTGAATAGTATAGTCCATCAAATGGGCGCAAAACCAGACCCAACTTTTCTAGAGTAAAATTTTACGTAGAATACGATGCCGAGTGGTAATCAGTCCGCCGTTGGGGCGTTTTCGAGATATGCGGGGTCAAAGCTCAAATGAGTTCATTGGCACTGAAAGTGAATGCGCAGTCATTTTTGTATCATGAAAAAAAACCCGAAAATGATCGAAAGTAATCACACTTTCAATAAAAATGTAAACTTGCCAAATTCACCTTTATTCTTTGTGACCCCAGAGGTCAAAAGGTCACATTGTCCGTCTTAGCATTAGGAAAATTTAAAGTAATAAATGTCAGCGTAAAATATAAAAACTAAAGCGAAACCTGTTCTAATTAATAATAGGAACATTAAAAATTTATCTTTAGGTGGTCTTAGCACCGAACTTTTACTTTGGAACGTCGAAAATGATCTTGCATAACAGAACCAAAACGCCATGGAACCTGTTTCAATGGGGCCGTCAGATAAATGGGGCCGTCAGATAAGCCGCCCATATGAAATGTTTATGTTCATGTGTAGGCAATTGGCCTGTTATTATCATACACTGGTTACCTCTAATAAAAACAGCAGTGCATTTCCGCAGTTTTGTATTGTTTCTGAATATCCCCTACTTTTTTGAAGAGTATATTATAATTTTATTTCTAAAGCGCTACATTATAGCAATAGTTATTTCTAAGCGCTGTACAGGCATATACATGCAATATAGATGATTAATATCTACATTCAAGTTAAACCAACTGTGTCTATATATTTTTTAAGGCTTACGTCGAGCTGTATAAACTATATGATTTATTGGCATTAAAACTCCAATGGCTGGTTAACAATGCGTAATTAAAGACTATAATTGGATCTTTGTAGAAATAATCATAGTAATTAAATTAAGGTGTCATACGATTGCACATAATATAAACTACGATATCATAACATTCTTTAATTACAATTCTCAGTAGGGGATGGGTATAATTTATTGTGTAACATTGTGATTATAATCAAAACAATAAATCCCGTCCTATACTCCAAACAAGACATAGCAAGAAATACCTCCTATTGCGAACAGTATAATATACCTAGAATGTTCTACACCAACTCGGGGGGTTTAGAGAAACTCGACTCCCGGTCCGTCCCTTGTAACATCAAGGTCGATAGTTATTCATTTCACGACAGACACTTGTAATTGCCACAGTAGTACATTTTATCACAAGCACGGGACACTAGGGGACCAAGGGTCCCTGACTTTAGCCTCGCGAGGGATTCACACTCTATTGGAGGTCCGGTGGGGTACTCTCCTTGCTTTTATAAAAATGACCATAATAAAAGGTTTTCTGTAATTTGTCCTGGTGTTTCTAACTTACTCACAAATTTGGTGTGTGGCAATCCTATTTGAAGTAAGTTTTGAACCCAACATTGAATTCAGTAACCCTAAAAATCCTTATTTTGGTTTCAGTTTTGGTTGTCGTTTTAAATTTACACCATCTGGACCATTCTTAATTAGTTTTTTTAGATAGAGATTGAACCCAACAATCACCAAACCCTATATATAAGACATATACCAAGCCATATCCAACGGAAAAAAATGACAGTTAATTCAAATTCCATCTATTTAGATTTCATTTTGCCGGCCATTTTGAATTTCTACCATCAAGAATACTCGGAATTTGATCCCAACAACTCCAAAACACATATATAAGATATATTACCAAATTCTGCGACTTTGGACTAAATTTTGCCGGACATTTTGAATTTCTGCCATCATGGATTCATTTTGAGATCAGTATTGAACCCGGCGACATCGAGAACCGTGTAAATGACGTGTTACAAGTAATATCCAACAGGTAAAAATGACGATTAAATTAATATCAGCTGTCGGAGACCGATAACCATATGAAAGACAGCAAAAGTCATATCTTACGAGACTATCGCTGCCTTTTGATTACCATATTTATGGGGGGTTTTTAAATTCCATTATATTACCAAATTTGGCAGGCATTTTGAAAGAAATGCCCGGCGCCATATCAAAAATACATTTTTTAAATTGATGGTTGTCAAATTGAATTTTTCGGCACATTTCGCTCGCATAATCCCTCTGTGTTTGAGGAATTTAAAAATAAATTATTTATCCTCCCACTACTAAAACACACTTATTACGAGATATGGCTCTTCGAAAATTCCTGAAGACCGCCATATTCAATTATGTTGATTACGTCATTTTGTCTGACATATTTATCATTGAACTAAACTGCATTGGTTTCTTTTGCAATTTGTTTAAGGTAAAACGCTATCCCACCCAACATAATAATACTGCAAGAAGTATATAAAGCTGTAAGACGCCATGGTACGTCATGGTTTTTGTGGCGTCATAGTTGGGACCCAAAATGGCGCCTGGAAATGAGTTGTCTTAACTTTCCCTATATATGGCTTTGGTTACGGTAAGGTCGTAGGGATAAAATGGCAGCATTTTTTAACTCGCGAGTATCGATTTCCTATAGGTCGGTAATACATTTATTTGCACTAAAGTACACGGTTTCAGAGATTTCGTCGATTTTCTGGTCCACTGGCGGCCATCTTCCAATTATGTTAATTATTCAAATTTCCCCAAGACCGATAACGGCCGCTTTTGTTATGGGAGTACTAGAGGCCATACCTGAACGGTTCCCAAAGAAATGATTTCTGTTGCAGTTTGTTCTAGGTCCCCCGACACATATTGTTATCTCTACCCACCTATTTCATGACTGGAAAAAAAATTGAACCATATGTTAGTCCCGAAATGACATAGTTTGTGGCGAGTGGACGTTAAACCCCATTTCTCTCTCTCTATCATATTTCCATGTCAACACCTATACTAAGTCTTTCCGTTATTTATGTATTTATACCCAGTCGTCAGCAGACTTTGGATGATATTGAATTAGAGACTTAGCTACTTTAAACCGTATTTCTTCTGTCTTATATAAAGGAAACCTTATCATCAGTTCAAAGTTTACTTGGAACTAAATTAAACCAACCTGATTAAAACACAGATCCTATTTCGTTTCGTTTTTATAGTTCAAAATTTCGTTTTACTTGTCTTTACTACACTAGAATCTGGAAGTGTTGTTTTTATTTGACGCCCATGTATAATTAAAACGAATTGCAACGAAAGCATACATTAATTTCTTGTAAACAAAATCACATACACGAGTTATCTCCCTTCAGGCGAGTGAGCGTAAAACTCTGATTTGGGCTCAACGTTGCGAGGCTTTTAAATTCAATTAAATTGTTATTTTGTATTTCCAAAGTCAACAATTTGGTGTTATTGGGCAGTTATTGGGTGTTATTGAGCAGTTATTGGGTGTTATTAATTTCTTGTCAACAAAAATCACATATAAGAGTTATCTCCCTTCAGGCGAGTGAGCGTGAAACTCCGATTTGGACACAAAGCAGCAATGCTTCTTAAATTCAACTAAATTGTTATTTTGTGATTCCAAAGTCAACATTTTGTAGTTATTGGTTGTTATTTTGGAGTTATTGGGTGTTACTGGGGTGTTATTGGGCAGTTATTGGGTGTTATTGGGTAATTCGACGCGCTCGTTCTGGATGGCCAATGAAACGGTCTGTTACGGCGAGCTTTAGGCGTGTTTTGCACGGAAATGTGGGTAATGCTGATTTGTTAATCAAATTTCTGATGTCATAGGGTCAAAAGCCTCTCGTATGACCTCTGACGCGACCTATCGCTGTATATATAACCGGTCAGATCTTCATGAATTGTAGGCCATCGAAATTATAAAAAAACCAAACCGAAATGAAAAGAAGATCTGTATTTTAATCAGATTGTAAATTAAACATGTTAATGGGATTATAGATAATTTACAAAGACTCTATTGCAAGCGAAGATATTAGCCTTTGAAGGTTTGACAGACGTGTGCAATAATTTCAACCACCGTACTGGTTGATCGAAGCTAAGTCTCGGTCCTCCATATTTGATTAAATCAAAGTATCGCTGAACCATTCTAATATATTTAATATCGGAGAAATCTGATGCCATCGAGAGTTGATTAAGGCCTGGGTCAGTTAATTAATGTCTAAATAATACTTTAGAAAACATTTCAGGCCTAAAGAAAGACCTGCAATAGCAGATTTAGCTCTTGCATAATGCATGTTTAAGCTAACATCTCGTTGGTATTATTTAATAAATTGTGTACCATAAGTGATACACATATACATAGACGTACGGGCACGATGTCAGTTAAGGGGAGGGGGGGGCAGAACCCGAAATGCCCGAAGAAATTTCGAGTTTACAGACAGCGACGCAGGTCCTCTTCGAGAGTCGGAGAGGAGCTTACCATGTATGGAACCCCCAAGACAAATTTTGGAATATTTGACGGACGCAAACGCGTTTTCCTGCTACTAATTCCAACCCGTGAACAAAGCGACTTCTAATATAGCTTAATTAAACATACATTATGCAAGAGCTAAATCTGATTATTGCAAGTATTTTTTTAGGCTTCAGATGTCATAGGAATTAATTAAAATCAACTCTGTAGACCCACGGATGGCTTGGATTCGGCTTTGATTTAAACAGGATTTCATTGATTGATTAAATTTTTAAATGGCGTCGTAAGCGGAGATTAACCGTTACTTTGACGTCATACTCCCGGAAATTTTAGATCGAGGCTAAATGATAGACTGTACGAAACGAGGCCGCTGTTGAGCGAGGCCGCATGTCAGTCAATTTGATTGAAAGTTCGATATATACGGCCTTGATATTATGTTTAGTTGTGGTTAAAATGAGAGTTTGGATGTCGGTATTATACGCTCTTTTGTCACTTGCGTTTACAGAAAAATTATGGAAATTGATAAACATCGCAGCTAACATCACCCCATTTGATCACTGTTTCCTATTTTTTTTTTTTTTATTTGTCTGCTTCGGGAGTTACGTAGGCCTAACAGTTACAGTACAAGAGTACACGCAGGCTAACAAGAAGTCGGCTATAATTATGGAATACACAGACCATCATCGGTGGGTCTGGAATACACAGACCATCATGGGTGGGTCCGAAACACACAGACCATCATCGGTGGGTCTGGAATACACAGACCATCATCGGTGGGTCTGGAATACACAGACCATCATCGGTGGGTCTGGAATGAAATCAACGTATTACAGTGAATGCAGTCCTTGTCCCCTGTACAATTTTTCTCTGCACGTATGGTATGGCCGTTTACCAGTAGCAGACTGGAACTTATTTGATGAACTTTTTAGGCTGCTCTGACTTTCCTCTCTTTTTCTTTTTTACTTTCAAACGTGGCATATCGACGATCTGTTGAATGCTGAACACCAAAAACTAAAGATCAAAAACTACCGAAGAATACTTACATACTGCATTGGGATGTTTTATAACTAGTTCATAAAGAAACTGAGAGTCTCCCACAATTTTATAAGTGGTCTGGTCTGACCCACCTACGGAACCTCAAAAGTCTTATGCGCGATCTGGAGTGATCCATGACCAACCTAGACTGTCTCACTAATATTTATTCGTGGCCTAGTGTGACCCATTACTCACCTAGAGTGTCCATCATTTTCATACGTGACAGACAGTTGCCCACAACTTGTATGCCAAACTGCACGCAGCGATCCATCTACGTCATACATCATTATGATCACTGTCCCAATTAGCCGCCATTTAAAACGCCCACGTGATCATTTTGGGGAGGGACTTATCGGCCGGACTAACGCTTTGTGTACACAACAGAGTAAAAATAACCCGAGCACGCACGTGTTTTATGTAAACACGTGTCTTTAGCATAATGTAAACTTCTGCCAATCCGGTAAAGGCGATATATAATATGTACTAGTGGGTAATATTGCAATAAATTCTTTGCCATTGTAAACTGTCTTTAGAGTTTCAATCTGTTTATCTTTCAAAACAAGGTTAGATACTCCTAAAATTGTCTTCGCAAACAAAACCGCCTCTGTGAAATTACCTTTTATGGGCGCCGCCATATTGAATAATTAGAGGACTATTTTGTGATTCGGCTTTGATAAGTTTGACATCTTTCATACACATAGCGGCTAAATAAAAATATATAATTTCATTCAATATGACAATAGAAGATAAATAAATACTTCTAAAAATTCCACCCTGGAATTCAATGCCACAATGACTGTAACATTCAAAGTCAGAGTCGTGCAAATCTTGGGTTGGACCCCCAAGATGATCCCAAGCATCACCTGCATTCCATGCGGTAGCTATTGGTGCGTTTGGGCGTCACATGTAACTGGAAATGTTTCTTCTGTTAGGTTCTATAGTGACTTTTTTCGTAGTCATTTGCATATTTTAGTATTATGCCCCCAAAATCAAATATCCCCTACTTTTTTTGAATAGTATAGTATCGCCCAACTCATTGTGTGCTTTCTATTTCAGATGATGTTATTTACAGTCAAATCATCATCTGCCTTCGCATTATGGACACTTACTTCATTCCTGTGTCACTGGACAGCAAAAAGATATCTGGCAACACTTTGGGAGGGTGACGAATTAATATATGCATCCATAATAACCACCGTACAATGTTTTACATGTTTCGTTTTTGTGGATATAATACCTAAAACTGACGTGAAGAGTTCCATTGTAAAGATTGTTGCCCACATTCTGGCAACATTTTGCACCAATTATAGTATGGCTTATATGAATGCTGCTTCAACATTTACTATTAAATTATTAGAACCAATCACATCCGCTGTTGCTCAAAGTCTATTCCAGGAAACATTGATACCGCTGTCGTCACTAATTAGCCTACCACTTATTATCTACGGAGCCTTGTTGTTTACCGGGAGTTCATTGGGTGACATTGTAATATCTCCGGGAATCTTGCTAGCTTTCATGTCAAATACAATTTTAGCAGCAAGAAACATAGCCATTTTAACAGAGCACAAAACGAATTCTGAGAGTCGTTTGAGGAACTGGAAAGGGGGTTTTCTGTACGTGGCCAGTGTCTTAATTGCATTAGACATAACCGAAAGAACTGGAGTTCTTTCTAAATCTGAAGTACAACTAGTGCTTCTGGTAGTTGGATCAGGAATATTCCATGTCGGGTATTCATATATCAGTACACATGTTATATTAAAGACTATGACAGTGTTTAATCATTCTGTTTTAAATATCTGTAAACGATTGTTTGTTGTGATTCTGTTGTATGTTGGAGGAGGACGACGAGCTTCTGGTCGAAACTGGCTGGGTTTACTTGTTTGTTCTGTGGGACTGGTCGTCCATGTTCTTGACAAATCTACCAAGCGTGATCACAGAATGGAACAGGTATCGAGTAAAAGAAACGGTAAGGGTTTAAGTAAGTACATACAAGTGAAATATTTAAATAGGAGGAAGAACAATATAAACAGAGAGAGAGAGTCTTTTCGGGACTAACGCATGGTTCAATTTTATTTCAACAATTCGCTTGCGTGTAGGGGCCTTTAGCAGTGGAAGGGGGACCCGGAGACAACCAACGAGGTTGGACAGGCGAACCTCCTCCTTGTCGCATACAACCGGGGAATCAAAACCACGCCAGTTGACTCAATGACAGACCTTATGATACAGACCTCTAAACCCAGCAAGTATGTGGTGTCTACCCATAGGAAATCGATACCATATATTTACAAAATTCCATAAATTTTTCAATCCATTACAACCACCGCCCCCTCTAGATGGAAAATTCATGACGTCACTGTGGAATCCACCAAACTATATAAACTGCCACAATAAGCATCCTAGAATATACAAATCCCATCAATTTTGCGTTATGACGTCAGTCGATCAGCTGAGGGGAATCTAGAAATGGCTCCACTACTGAAGTCTTACATCTTACTCCAGCCACAGTAGTGGACCGTCCTAAGGCCTTCCTTTGCGCAAGTTTTGTAGTCATTTGACTACAAAAAAGTTACTGGCCTATAACTCCCTTAATTTCCAATTACACTGACCCCAAAACTGTACTGTACATAGCTTAACATATAATAAACCAATTCTCATTGAAATAAAGGTGAAACCTTACCGAATAATTATATTATTTGATTTAACCCAACTGCTATGCGAAATTTTTGTTCAGTTAAAATGGCGGGTGTACCAGACTCACGTGATGTTTATATCACTCGAAAATACAGAAAAACTGTTCGGTATGATAAAATTAAGATTTCTGTGTTCCACTTTTCACTTTTTGTAACATAATCACTTATTTCCATGCAAACTATGGTGATATGTGTTGAACAAATTGCAACTGCACCTATTTTACTTGCGTAAAGAGTCGAATGGTGCATCAGTTGCAGCCGTAGATAAGAATTATCTCGGCTAAAAATTGCAGCTAAGGGGAATCCTGTGTGCATTTCACTCTTGCATCATGTTTGGGGAAGGGTGAAATTCAAAATAGCTTCATAGGTTATAGCGGTAAATCTATCCATTAAAAACATTCGTCATATTAAAGACAAATCTAAGATGGCCACCATAATAGTCATTGTCATTTCTATGGTCTTGTATCACACTGATCAGCAGTGAATATTCGCTAGGCCTCTACAATCACTGATAAGGATGACATCGATGCGAAAATATTAACTTTTTTCCTCCGACAAATTAAATTCTAAAACATTTATTTTTATGTATTAGAAAAATAAATAAAGACGTTTGAAGTACTTGTAGGTAAAAATTATTCGGGCATTCTGCCCAATTCAGTAACGTCCTATGTAAACAATGCACGCGCCATTGAGCCAATGATTGACGTTGTGTGATGTGACGTCATGTATTGAAGGCAGTCATCTTTACCGAGATATTAGAAGACTTTCGTAATCCTCTGTGAAACAGACCGGTCTTGTATGTGGACGGGCTTCATTATTGCCCGGAATTGTATTGCTTTATATTAAACAATTGCGTAACAAGACACAATAACATACAAATAATACACGGAAGCTTTTCGAGAGAGACTATGGGGTTAAAGGGTCGTAAATACGAACTGCGCATGTCATCGTGCTAATTTTAGGATATATACACGTGGGTCTGTTTACCTTTCTAACGCAATCGTAAGGCCTAGTACAGGAACTTTCCTGACAAATGCCATTTTCATCCTGTAGTTAATCACGTGACCAATGACCTCTGGGTCAACCAGTGTAGTGCGCGAGTCGACGGCAAAGACGAATGCTGCACAGAGAGGCGTGTGTGGAGAATGGGTTATTTATATGAAATGGTGGCCATCTTGGACGCCATTTTGAATTTCACGACATAAGATAAAACTGGTGGGATTTTTAAATTTGTGGTAGATACAATTATTGCAGGGTTTATAGGCCAATTAGTGCTTGAGGGGGGGGGGCAAAATAAAAATGGCGCCATAATTTACCCCACGAGGTAAAGATGGGTAGGACGATGGAGAGCCAGTAGATCGTAAACCAAGTACTTGAATAGCCTAGGGCCTGTCTCTCATCAAGGGTTATTTTAAAAAATATTATTCAATTTTAATTTTTAAAAAAAAAAATTCAGCCTGATTAATTGGAAATTTCGTATACTATGATGTTAATGTTTTGCTATTTTTGATAGTCTCGGTCGTCCTAATATAAAATAATATACAAATTTATTATATATTTTTTTATATTTTTACAGGCTTGGTCAAAACGATCGCATACTGCATGATACCCTTGCTGCTGTTTGGCTCCATAACGATTACGTCCATTTTAAATCTAAATCGATCAGTGTTCGTATTCAATTACACGCTCCACAATCCAACCCATTTAGAAATGAAGGCCTACGATAAACGTTCGCCCTTATTGAAAACAAGCGATGAAATAATACAGGAGGCACAAAGAATACATTATGACCTGTTTACGGAATTGTTGAAACCTTATAAAAATGTAATGCTTTTCGATATTGCGTTGCATGAAAATAAGGGCGACCCGGCTATTACCATTGGTGAAATGATATTATTACAAAGATTGAACAAAACATTAGTTTATTACTGTGATTTTTATCGGTGCAAAAACAACAAGCTCAAAGATGCATTGTCGATTATTAAGGATTATAGTCCTCAAAACCTCGCTATTCTTTTGCATGGCGGGGGAAATCTCGTTGGGTGGATTGCTAATGACAAATTAAGAGAGAAAATACTTAATGCGTTTCGGGGATTTCAGTTCGTTCTGTTTCCCCAGAGTATCTTTATGTCTGGTGGAGAAAATCAACTCAAACATTGTGAAAATTTGTATCGAAGAGAAACCAATTTAACCATGATTCTTAGAGACAGAAACACTGCACGACTTGCTCGAAAACATTTTGCTGGACAACCGAAACTTATCATGGCACCAGATATGGCTTTTGAGATTGGTCCAGTTCGACGATTTATAAAACCATTCTATGACATTTTATGGATTCGTAGGACAGACCAGGAACAGATTGATGACCAAATACCATCCCTACCAGCTGATCTACAGATTCGCATTGAAGACTGGCTAAGCTGGTCAACAGCGCGGAGTAACATCAACATGGAAAACGCTTATCTTATAGCCAATCATGGACTTCTATTCTTACAGAGGGGTCGGGTGGTTATTACCGATCGTCTTCATGGTCACATCTTAAGTATTTTATTGGATATTCCCCACGTGATCCTCAATAACAAGTGGAATAAAGTCAGTAATTATCATAATACATGGACTAAAAGTCTCAGAAATACGCGAGTTGCTGATAACGGGTTTCATGCTATAGAACTAGCCAAACAACTTCTGGTAGAATATTCTGATGTTTTACCTGAAAAAGTTCCGTTCATGACAGTTGAGGATCATATCCATTCAGATTAAGTGGGGGACAGGCGAGCGTATTTTTTCGCCCGATCGCGGCGATTTTTAAAATCGCTCAAAAAATACGCCCGTGTGCCCCTTCCCTTTACGGCAACGACGATTCTGCTCGGCAAACCATTCGCCCGATTAATCGCTCGTATCTAGCATGATGGATATTTTCGGGCGAATATTTTTCGCCGGTGATCAAATTCGCTCGTGTGCCCATGTCCAGCATATATTGTCGGGCGATCCATTTTTATAAGCCAATCGTCGACAACGTTGATATCGCATGATCTCAAAATGGCTGCCTCCACTGCTAAATCGTAGGCCTATTACTATTATATTATCAATCTATCAAGTCCACAGGATATATGTCGTATTGGTAAATGTTAGCGGGGAGAATTTCGGCAGGCTTTGTGACGCGACCTGCCGGCTGGAGTCCAGCCATGAAACTATTCAATTGTTTTTTTTTCAGACAACTAGTATCATTATGTATAGCATTCGTTGTAAAACTAATTCTAAGAGATTTTGATTTAACAGTTTTTACGTATTTTTGAAACAGGTTCCGATGCGTTTTGGTTCTGTTATGCAAGATCATTTTCGACGTTCTAAAGTAAAAGTTCGGTGCTAAGACCACCTAAAGATAAACTTTAAATATTCCTATTATTAAGTGTGATTACTTTCGATCATTTTCAGCTTATTTTCATGATACAAGAATGACTGCGCATTCATTTTAAGTGCAAATGAATCTATTTGACCCCGAATATCTCGGCATCGTATTCTACGCAAAATTTTACTCTAGAAAAGTTGGGTCTGGTTTTGTGCCCATTTGATGGACACCCCCCCCCCCTCCGCACTGAGCCTCCAGACTATATGTTTTGATGTCAACACTTAAGCGTATCCATTTATAGTTAGAGAGAGGGAGAGAAATGGGGTTTAACTCCCACTCGACACAAATTAGGTAATTTCGGGACTAACACATGGTTCAATTTTATTTCAATCATTCGCTTGCGGGAGGAAACCGGAGGATCCGGAGAAAACCCACGCGGTTGGACAGGCAACCCTACTCCATATCACGTACAGCCGGGGAATCGAAACCCCGACAGTTGACTCAATGACAGACCTTATGAATTATTAGTGGGCAGAAATTCGCCCATGTATCAGTTATCACTCGTCACTTCAGTCAGTTATATAGAGGGATAACTCGGTTTTTTCCTTTTGCGTTCGTCACTTCCGATTGATTACGATCTATCGTAGCAATGATCTATGTGGTAAAATAATATTTGGAACGTGTTTAACCAGTTCTATCACATATGTGATAATGACTGGCATCAATATTGTCCTTTAAGCGAGTTTTGTGGTTGCCTGGTGAATGAGAGTATTGGGATAGATAGATAGATAGATTTTATTACATAAAACACCCATTTCGGGCAGCATGTAAATAATACATATTATGCATGAAAAATAAAGAAAAAGTAAATAAAAAATGCGTAAAAATGAATGGAAACATATTAAATGTGGATGAAAATTATAAAAGATTAGAGATGAGATGTACATTTACATACAATGAGGGAGTATGTACAAAATACAAACTTAAGTTCAGAATATCGCATAGTAGCTCGAACTAAAAGTAAAGAGGTCTTCGAATTGTTGGTTATTGTTAAAATCTGATTAAAATACAGATCTATATTTCGTTTCGTTTTTTATACTTTCGATCGCCTACACTACATGAAGATCTGACAAGTTATAGCCATAGGTCACGTCAGGGGTCAAAAGACCGACTTATGACCCTATGACGTCAGACATTTGATTAACCAATCAGCATTGATGTTACTAGTGGATTACCCACAGTTCCGTGAAAAACACGCCTAAAGCTCGCCGTAACAGACCGTTTCATTTGCTTATCCCTGACACCATTCAGAACACCAGTTAAATAACAACTCTTCCAGAACCTAGTGTAGTAAAGACAAGTAAATTTTGAACTATAAAAATGAAACGAAATAGAATCTGTGTTTTAACCAGATTGGTTATTGTTATTATTATTATTATTATTTTTGTTTATGTAGAAGTGGGTGCTACGTCCCTTATTTTAAAAGCATGTTGCACAAAGATGCACACTGTTTTTGCCAGAGCAAATGGCGGGTTAAACATGTTTTCAAAAGAAAATAGATAATTTTGGATCTCAAATGCCCATAAACAATTGTCTTGCGAAGTTCCTCATAGCGGTTGCACTCACGTGTGTGTCTCTGTGTGTCTTTGTGTCGCCTACAGGCCGCACTTCTTAACTGATGGTCTTGAAACTTTACATACTTATTCCTTATACCCGAAGGATGATCCCTATTGTTTTTTTAGGCATGCCCGACCCACAGGGGCAAAGCCACGCCTATTTCTTGTATTTGTTTGTTTGTCGTCTACAGGCCGCATTGTTTACCGATGCGACCTACTATGTTCTACTGGGTCGATTGGTTTAAACAATATTTTATTCAATAAACTGAATTGGATTGAACAACAGGCAAAGGCCTATATAAAGTCTCTCCAACCATATAAAATAGTTAAATCTTATGTTTACAATACATTGGTGGGCATATGTACAGGCAGTGAGTTACAAACATACATGTATATACATTTCGTGGAGTGTAATTTTAAGTTTTAAAGATACATTCCCGGGTAGAAACTGGGTGATTTAATGATATATTTGGACTAAAAACATATTCAAACTACTTAATTTATCATAAGTTTGCTTCAAATCCTTCTCAAAACATTGCAATTGTCGTGGAATACCCTGGCTATAAAAAATCGATCAAAAGAGGTCATGTTTATGTCACGTGACTTACCTCTCTCGGTACCTAGCAGCGCAAGCGAAGTCCGAGGAGAATTCATTGCATACACAAGACGATGTTGTCTTTAATCACTGACTATTAATTGCAAATATCGAAGCCTAATTAAATTTTCGGATTATCCACTGCCCGCGTCTTTTTTTTTTTGTGATTTTTATCTCAGAAAGTGTTGTACGTCTAATTCTTCATAACGTTTATCAAAATATACATCAAGCACTCAATCTCCACGTGCAACCTTCGACGTCACGCATGCAGACACTCCTAATCGTCGGCCTGTCGATTAGGAAAACCATTACCTTTTTTACCTGTATGCACTCCATGAGTGTTTTTCAGGGAATCCAGTATTTTTCTAGTAAGATTGGATATTTCTACTTTCCATATACCAAAATTGCCATACTTTTATTGGAAATAACCACCCGATAAATACTTTTCTGGAAACGTAGCTTTAAATCTTAAAGTGTTAAAATCTCTTGCTGTCTTTAATGAATTTTTGCACTATTTCAAATATGTTAAAATTGGTTAAAAGGCAAGTAACTTCAATAATCACTTATTCAACCATTTTATTAGTGAAACAAAAGTGTGCCCTAGGTGTAATTCTGCAGACGAAGATAATAATAACCATTATGTTTTCATATGTCTAGCATACTCTGCCCCAAGAACAATTCTCAATAATAATCTATACCACCTTAAACAAAATGATACAATTGACCTGATCTTATATGGCAACCCCGCTCTTTCAGATAATACCGGGGCGATTGTGTTGTAGTATTCTGAAATGAAATGAAATGAAATGGGGTTTAACGTCCTACTGTTCTGCTCCTAAACTGGGCGAATGAAGACGGGCATACGCCATACAGTGTGCTATGAGGGAAATTTTGCCAGGGCAGCGGCGCTACGGCCTACTCTTATATCGAATTCCACACTGCCAAGGGATCTTTTACGTGCACGCCAATATGTACACGGGACCTCGGTTTTTCGTCCCATCCGAACGACTAGACAGCTCTCCTTGTCAGGACCTCCGTCCTGCATCACTGACAAGGGGAAACCACGCCGGAAAATCTGGATGAACTTTCTCGGCCAATGCAGGGATCGAACACCCGACCTCTAGGAGGGTTTAGCGTACTACTTTTCTGCACGGACTGGGCTAATGAAGACAAACATAAGCCATGAAGTATGCTATGAAAGAAATTAGGCCAAGACAGTGCCGCTACGGCCTGCTCTTATATCGAATGCCAACTGTCGAGGGTTCTCTCACGTGCACGCCAACGTGCACAGATGGGCTCAGTTTGTCGTACTATCCGGACGACTAGAGGTTAACCAGTAAAACTGACAATGGGGAAACCACCCTGAAAAATCCTGGGTCTCCCCAAGTCAGTAATACAAGACTGAGGGTTTGCTGTCCGGACAATCCTGGTGCACTGCTGTAATCTGATTAAACCCCAAGTCCTATTTCGTTTCGTTTTTTTATATTTCAAAATTTCGTTTTACTTGTCTTCACAACACTAGGAGCTGGAAGAGTTGTTATATAACCCGCGTTCTGGATGATGTGAGGGATTAGCTAATGAAATGGTCTATTACCGGAGGTGCATGGAACTTTTAGTAAACCACTAACATCAACGCTGATTGATTTATCAATGTCTGGCGTCATAAGGTCAAAATTCGCTCGTATGACACCTGACGTGACCTTCCACTATAATTGGTCAGATCTTCATATAGTGTAGGCCGTCGAAAGTATAAAAAAACAAAACGAAATATAGATCTGTATTTTAATCAGATTTGGTAAACTGTAAGGCGTATACCCGTCATTCATTCCCATTATAAACCTGTAACGTTAATGAGAGAAAGAGAAATGGAGTTTAACGTCCACTCGACACAAACTAGGTCATTTCGGGACTAACATAATATGGTTTAATTTTATTTCAATAATTCACGTGCGCGTAGGGGTCTTTAGCAGTGGGAGGAAACCGGAGGACTCGGAGAAAACCCACGAGGTTGGACAGGCGACCCTACTCCTTGTCACGTACAACCGGGGAATGGTGTATTAGTATCAAGAAATACTTCGGTACACAACAATGGAGTAACTACAAGTGACCGCTTTCCCTCGGTTCCACCTCTATCGGCAGACACCAGCTGATAGTCTTGATTATTGGGTGTGTAACATAACCAGCTAGTACATTGAAGAATATATGCATAGGAATATGGTGACACTTGCGAGATCAGTACAAGTGATTTGATTTGAACTTTTGTTGTGATTTTGCCCTGTATAATACAGGTGTCCGTCAGGATAACCGGGACTATTTTCACTGTTCCACGGAGTCCCGTACTACCAGCGGGATTTAACCTATATATCGCTGTTTTGGCCGTAGCGACGAAATCACCTTAGGTGGAAGTGGACGTCAAACTTTAGGAACGAACGAATGGCTACGGCCTAGATTATGTTTAGACTTCAAAATTGGTAACATTGATCGGACGCCTTGGAACACCAAGTGGAACTCGAAGAAATACCCCCGATCATAACACTTTTTTGATAAGTATTATGTTCGTTGTAGACAAACATTTATTAGTCAAAAATGATTTACATCTAAACAACATCGAAATGGTATACTTCAAGAAATCAGCATGGCGAACCTCTTCCTCCACACTACGCATGAGCGGG